ATTCTTTACTGACCAACGAGAACGACTTCGCACTTAGCCTCGTCCTTGCGCTGTAATTTCGGTACCAGATCACTGAATCTCGAGAACTCGGAAGTGGCCTATTCTTCTTATCATTTCCTCCCTTCGTTTTGCTCCTAAAGACATTTTGACCGAGGCTGGCGCTAGAATTCAATAAGCAATTTCTAAATTACCATTGGCCTCATTTTCAAAGCGAGTCCTAATGCTCATCCTTTCATACGGTTATAAGTTTTCATTCACATGCAAATTAAACACATTTCACACGAATGATTGAGCACCAGTCCTCGTTTTGGAAAAGAGGCAAAAAGTAATTCGGAAATGGCCTATTGCGATCAGTTCCGTTTGGTCTTTCCACTCTTTCCACGAAGCAATTAGTCGTCTTTAGCAAATCCCAAAAGTTCACACTTCTTTTGCTCAATTTGATGTGTTGACCAGCCTGCGTTAGTCAAACTCGCGACGAAATGATAGAGAATCTCGTCTATTCGTCATTTTTGAGGTTACATTCAGTGTATCATAAACTTGAGAACAAGATGATTATTCAAGAAATAACTGATTATCTAACTAACTTAACGGATTTTCTCCTTTCTCGCTCTGATGTTGGACAAATAGAACTAAAAAATACCAACGAAATCTACCCAGTGATTGACCCTTATTATTTGAAAAGTTCCCCCTTCCCTCCCGTTCGAAAATTTAATAGATCCTTATAATTGGCGTATTTCGTAATTCTGATATTTTACGTGAGTGAAGTTGCAAATCGGTTTTCTCCTTTGTCTTCTTCTGTTTAGGATTAACTGTCTGTCTCTCAGCTTATTAGCGCTCAGCTGAATCAATATGTGTATATGTATGTTGCTAGTTTCATGATTTAATACCTAGCTCATACGCTTTTACAGTGCGCTTTATTCCTGTACCAAAGAAATTGAGAATTTGTACCTTTTTTTTTTTTATTTTTCATCATGTACTCTTTTGATTGTATACTAACACAATGTTTTAGAAAACATTTCGTTTTCAGACTGGACGACACTCTCAGAACGAAACCGATGTCAACATTAATCAGTTCAAGTCAGCATTAATACCAAACAATTTCAGGAACGATTTCATTTCGGCGGCCTTAGCATTGCTCTTATTTAAATAAAGCTAAAACCACATGTCGAAATTAGCCCAGTTCCTTGTTTTCTCAGCTTTCCGAATTAATTTCTTTGTAACTTTAATGACATGAGCTCAAAGAAAAGCGTTATCCACAGAGATAAAACAAAATTAATGTCACTTCAAAGAAATCTTTGCTCTAAAAGAGAAATCTATGATTACTTTGTTAACGCAGGGCAAATTGCAGTTGTGATTCAATGTCTAAAAATCTATCAACGCAAAAACAAACAGCTGGTGTTAAATTAATTCTTATTTTTGAAACATTTATTTAATTGTTGTACTGTGTAAAACAGACACCAACAATTCAAATTACGCAGTATTTTTCTTGTGCCGTACAATTTAAAAAAGCAGTTCACAAGAGCTGTTGGACGTTTTTTTGGTTGACAGAATCTATAAAATACTTCATAGAGAAGCAGAAAAGGTATTTAACCTAAACTTTTTTTTCTTATTTAAATCCAATAAAAAAGTAAGAATAATTCTCGATTATAGACGCCCTCAACGCGAAATCGTTTGAATTTTGGCAATGAAGTTCAATTTTTTTCACTTTTTATAATAAAATACTTTGAAACAATCAGCAATTAAATGTAGTCTGTTTAAAAAATTTGAGTGTTGAAGCTGTCTTTACTATCAACTGTGTCTATTAAATTTGGAACTGGGAGCCTTAATAATGATAACTGAACAGAATGAGATAATGATAACTGAATAATGAGATGAAAAATAGCAGTTATGCAGTAATTTTGTCTCAACAAAGGTCTTTAAATGATGATATCATCTCTAATTTTTAATTTTCAATTGGGTTTCTGTGAATTAGACTCAACAAATTGCCAAATAAAATAGGTGGCGCCTTTACTGAATTCTCAATTTGTGAGGTGTAGCCTCTAGGTTAATTAGTCGAAATCAATGAATTAAATTCGGCAGTTTTAAAACAATGATGCCACTAAGTTTACAGTTGATTTAATTGCCGCAAAATAATATTTTCTACGGAAAAAGTTTAAAATTAAGCTCTATTCGATAGATTATATTTGTTATATTTTATTTTCGTTGGACAAATTTTCAAGTCAAATCAACTTTAAATTTAGCAGCATCATTAATTAGTTGAAATTCACTAAGCACTTAGGCTTATCTCAAATAAGAAAATCCTGAAGTTTTGGGTAAGTCTATCGAAGAATTTCTGAAACCGTCCCTTAAAACAGTTTAACGGGATTTCCCCATAACATTAGCATAGTAGTAGCGATTGCATGCCACGCTTACTATTGTACAATTTTTGACAAACCTGCGCATTGTTGCAAATTTTGAATTCAAAACTCTTAGCAAGGTCTTGAACCTAAGATTCGCGTCTCGCAAATCGAATGCCAGAAACTGTTCAAATTTCACACGTATTCTCAAAGTGATTATAAAATAACGTCATACCTATCAACGGGATAAAAAAAAATTTAAATAATGCTACAATTTCATGGTGAGTTCAATGGTTTTAAATCGCCAAACTCCAAACAAACAACGTCCTCTCGAGTTTAGTAAACTTTTTCAAATTTTCCATTTTGAGAAAGGAAGATCAGTGTTAACGATTGAGTCTGGATTCAATACAGGAGTGAACAATTCCAAAGTGTTCCGGAACCAATCACAACGTCTGGTTTTTCGAGATTTTGTCCGAACAAGCAGGTGGAAAAAATGATAAGCGTTAAAATGAAAACGCTTCCCCAGTTACCCACGCTCTGGTACGAACTTCCACTAACACCTCCCTATTCAGCAACTATGTATTTGTGCATTTGCATTCTCTTTTTTGTAATATATATAGGTGTAGCAAACACATGATGAAGCTGCTCTTTGTCCCGTTTGTCGCTTTGATAATTGCAGATGTTTTCACCACACTTGAAGGTAAAATTTCTAGTCTTAACTAATTATAACGTCGGCAAAATGTCCGCACAGCCCCTCCTTCCTCTCCCCCCACTTTAAAAAATGGCACAAAAACTGGATTGTCTTTGAAAGCATGGCATTGTTTTAGAATAGCATGACTTTGTAGGGAAATCTTTTCCTACTCTCAGCTCATAATAACCTACTATTTACCATTTTTTTAGCTGCTAAGTAGAACATATAGTTGATATCATGCTCAGAGCTTTTTTTACTCAAAAAGCTACAGGGAATAAAATTGTTTGTCTCGAGGATTAAGAATAAGATGAAGTTATACGGAAAACTTTTCTATCTATCAAAGTAATTGCTAAAATAAGTTTTCCTGCAGTGCATCTAATGCACGTTTTGATACTTTTTTTTTTCCTAAACAAGGCAAGTACGAGCATTTAATCGAATGTTCATCCTATGATTCCCTTTTACTTTGTAATTTTTAAAGAAACCTACCCGCCTGACGGTCTTTCTTAAAACCTTGTAAGATGGGTTATTTCCATTATTATAAACAACTTATTTTTCCCACTCTGTTTTTATTTTATTATAGTGAATTTTGAAAGACAAGGAAACTCGTGATAGTGTAGATGAACTGCTCTAAGCTTTTAGAGCCGTTCCCGGTGATGATTTTTGTCAGTTGATGACATGCTCGAGCATGATCGTATCTACAACATTGCTTCTTAAATTGTTTGCCTTAAGCTCTGCTTTACAGTCTTGCCTTTTTATTGCCATGTTTTAGACAAAAGAAAAACCCGCTCTTTAATTATTTTCTTTGCAATTATCTGCTGTAGCGACGTGAATCGTTTTTAATTATCAGAGGAAGAAATTCAAGAGTCAACCAAAAGTCAAACTAAAAACAAGAATTCACATTTAAAATGCTTTTAGGTTTTTTGATTTTTTGTTTTTTTTTGTTGTGTTGTTGTTGCTTTTTCTTTCAGTTTCTAAGCACAAACATTTCTTTAAACGATACTATGATTTAAAAAGGGCTCAAACATATAGCGCACGTCTGATGATTCACAGTCGCCCTGGAGGTCTCACCAAAAGGACAGTTTTTTTTTCTTACCTCCTGAAATCATCTACCGATATACCAGCTCACCAAAGAGGTTTTTCCACCTTTAATATTTACTGAAAAAGTAAATAGCGTTTAAGGCTAGTTCTGATTGGCTGCTCAAACTACGAATATCCTTTACCATTCACCTCAGAGCAACAAGCGCGGAATTTGCGCCCGTAAATATTTCAGCTGTTGAAGAAATAAAGGAGTTAAAATAATCTTGGTGTACTGTATTATCTTACTGTTTTAGTCTTCACTAAAACAAGTATTTATCTCAAAGCGGCGAGGTAAATATACGAGGCACAATACACTCGTCGGACACAAAATAAGACACGCTGCTAAAAGGGGCGTGAAACATGATATGTGACGGGCAGTGTAATCTAAATAAAGCAAAAAAAATGGTGTAAAAATGATTGGTGGAAAGGCGAAAAGAATAAGTTAAATTAAGGGGTGAGGAAATACAAGACCTATTTGGGAGAAAAAAAAATAAAATGAAACATTGGCCACAACAAATGAGACATTTGAAAACTGCAATAGCATAATTTTTGACTTCGCGCAACGCTGGAGGCACGTTGAAAAATATACTTCCTTATTTTATTACTGAGCTCACAATGTACCACCCTTCACTTTATCTTTTAACGTATACTGAAAATATTTTTCTGATACTTATAAAAATGGTAAGACACTATCAAGTGTATCCAGCTTCTAGACCAAGGAGGGGGGGAACACTTTGATTCAGTTTTATTCCTCTTGTAGCACTCAAATTGGTACAAAACTGTCATTAGAAGAATTATTGGTAGAGATATTCGACACTCCGAGAAAGTTCTTTGCTTCTACCTTTACCGATACAGATAGATATTTAATCTGTTGCACTGTCCACTATTTTTCTCAGGTTCTTCTATAAAAATAGACATCCGCAGCGAAGGCTGTAATGATCCGGGAAAAACGCCAAATACATGTGGCATTGCTTACATAAAGGTGAATGACAATGAACACTCTAAGAAAAAGAGAGGGCATAATGTTGTTGTCCTGGATGCAGTAACAGGTAAAGGACTTAAGTGGTGTTATTTTTTAAGTGCCAATAACATTGAGAAAATTAAATTTTGAAAAAAATCGACTACAAATGAGTAGTTATAGGAACTTATTTTTGCAGCGTGTAAAATGAGAAAAAAAATTGAAAATAGGCATATTATTTCATAATAATGCAAGAAAGATCTATATACGCATAAAATAGAAACCTTTTTGCCTGTTATTCCGTTAAATACCGAGAAAAAAAATTTCAATGCAGGAATTGTGGAACACTCCGTCAGTTTCGATACTCATGGAAATGGTGCTGCTGGAAACCAGTTGAAAGGCTTTCTTAACGGGATTACTGGAGAGTAAGTACCAACAAGAGAATATCAGTTCACATCCTCTCGGCACAAGCTTGTCTTGCAAATCCCACTCAAAACTCACGAGGGTGAAATTTTAAAGATCCCGCCCAAAAGTTGGCGTGAAAGGCTGATAAGCATTTGCCTCAGGTGTCATACACAGGCAAACGCGCTCGATCATAAAAATTGTGCGATTATTCGGCGCAAGGTTTGAACACAACAAGTCAGATGAACAAGGAAATAAGCGTGGACATGCCACTGCTTTAATCAGAACTGAAATGGACCAGTTTACCCGTTCAATGAAAAGGTTACTTTTAGTGGTAAAGTAATAAAGGCACCAAAATGTTACTTCAAATCCATGTTAAGTACAAGTTTTTATTTCATTTTCTATAGTTTTTGGTGTTTCTCAGAGAGAGAAACTATGGATGCAATCGTATTAACCATGCGACCTTGAACACTTACCTCATTGAACGATTGCGCTGATAAGCTAACCTTTGCCGTGTGAAACATTTGCTACATTTCCACAATTTCCTTGTCCATTTCAGCAAAATAATCCTAATTGCAGTCCAAGACGAGGGCTCAATACATCTTAAACAAGCTTTTGACGCTTTGACAAGAGTTGGAGGCTACGATCTGAGCTTTCTTGACTACCGAGGATCATATGCTCTTGTCGGACACCCTGCACGTCAGAAGCCATCTTATGTTAAACAAGTACAGAGCAAGAGTGGGCAAGGACCAAGTGTGATCTCCATGACAGTTCCACTCATGAAGAGTACGTTTTACGTATATTTGATAGTTTTTTACCGTGAAATAACAAGTAACCCCTGTGTGATATGTTTGTACGCAAGGTAAAAAGACATGGAATGATGCGAGGATTGCTCATAAACTTCTTACTATTGCAAGCTTAAGGAGAGCTGTCTTTTCTTTTTTTCTTGGATAAAATCACAAAACAATTGTCTCGATGAATACTTCAGCCGATTGTCACAATTGCCCCATGTACGAGGAACGCCATGAACATGCTGTGTACCCTTCTTAGTCCGCCTTAAGCTCTGTATTTTAAATGGATTATTGACAGATACGGGAATGTACAAGGAAAAATATGTTTGAATTTTTTCTTTAAAACTGCTAAAGAATGCAAGTAGCTCCCACTGCGAATGTCACATTACCTGTATTATCAAACATTAGATATTTGTCGTTTATCAGTTCTGTATGAACGTGTGAATTGGTGTAGCTGATTGTTTTTTCATCGACATTTTTTTTTCGTCGAACATGATCTGAAATTTTATTTCGATTTTTCGTTGGTGATTGGCGAGCATTCATTCTGCGCTTGCAAACCTCTTAGAGACTGATATTAACCTTTGATGCTAACGAGTGACCTACTCTTGACGTTTTGTTTATAGATCCTTTTGTAGATATCGATATCCGCAGCGAAGGTTGCAATGATCCCAATAAGACACTAGACACGTGTGGAATCGCTTACATTAAAGTCGATGGAAAGGACCACTCCCGTCATCTCAGAGGACATAACGTTGTTATTGTGGACCAGAAAACAGGTAGAAACCATCACTTAAAAGAGGAAAAGAGCCTGGATAGTTATAAACCTAGTAGAGATCTAAAGATTTTATGACAAAGTTCGTCATTTTTGTCATTAAAACTCTGGCCAGACTCGGGGATTGAGGTGATAAGATTGTGCGGTTGCAAAATGAATGTGATACAGCGGCAATGATCAATCACGATAAAATAACTCATAGAACAAGTTGACCTATCATTTTTGTGTGAATTGGCACGTTTTTGCATTGCATGTGTGGGTTTCTTCAATTGATTATATTCAACGTGAAAATCTCGAAAATACGCGACTAATAATGCCAATTTCCTTCTCTATATGCAGCTAGTGTGCTTAAATCAGAAGCCTTTGATACTCATGGGGATGAGTCCGCGGGCAATCGTTTAGGAGTTTTCCTCGACGCCCAGGAAGCAGAGTAAGCAGTTTTTTTGGCTTTAGTTTAGTTTAGTCTTGTTTTATAAATCAGAAAACGGACCAATTTAACCGTTTAATGAAAAGCCTAATTTTAGTGTCAAAGTAATAAAGGTGCCAGAACGTTACTTCAAATCCATGTAAAGAACATGTTTTCATTTTCTATAGTTTAAATGTTTAACAGTGAGTGAAACTCTGGATTTAATCGTTTTTACTATGCCATCTTGAAGACTTACCTCTTTGACATGATACGATTGAACTGATAAGCTAACCTTTGCCGTGTGAAACATTTGCTACATTTCCACAATTTCCTTGTCCATTTCAGCAAAATAATTCTGATTGCAGTCCAAGACGAGGGCTCGATACATCTCAAACAAGCTTTTGACGCTCTGAAAAGAACTGGAGGTTACGATCTGGGCTTTCTTGACTATAGAGGATCGTATGCTCTTGTCGGACACGCAGGAGAGCAGAGGCCATCTTATGTTAAACAAGTACAAAGCAAGAGTGGGCAGGGACCAAGTGTGATCTCCATGACAGTTCCACTTACGATAAGTACGTTATACAATTATTAAACAATACTTGTATGTGGAAAGCTTAAGTTTTCCTTATGCGATACATTTATACGCGAGATAGAAACCATCTTGACATGAGTTCGAGGATTTCTTTAGGTTTCTTGGATAATATGACCTTCAACTAATTTTTCCGATGAATGTCTCAGCAACCTATCATTTTAGCCTAACACAACGTCACTAAGCAAATCCTTAATTTCAAATCTAAGTTTCCGTAATTTTAAAATGAAATTGGCAATCTGCATGATTGTCACAATCATGGAATGAATTCATATCAGAGATAACTCGTTTAACGTAAACAGAATGTTATTGTTTGAAAAACTTACTCAATGGTAATGCCCAAAGAGCATAATGAAAAATCTTGGTAAGCAAACTTCATCTTTTAGATGCTGTGTATTTATAATAACTGCCAGTAAGGCGATATCGAGCTTGTTTGCTGTGTCGTTTCTAATTGAAACTAATCCCTGTTTTATCTTATGTGGGTAATTTGAGATCTAAACGAGTCAACCAACAATGGGTGCAAGGAAGGAATCCCTTAGTCAAGTCCTATCCATTGAAGATCCACAATACTTTGTTTGTTTTAAAACGTACCATTCTTTCTTCCGTTTCCCATTTATGATTCAAAGCACGTTTTCTTTACTCTCGAACTTGAAGTTGAATTCGTAATTCGCTTTTGATGTGACCAATCTTTTTTCTTTGTTTTTGTTCAGGCGTCATTGACGAAGGGGACGATAAATGTGAACCCAATATCATTTGACATCCATTGCATGTAACCAGCTGTCGTCATACATCTCAAAAAAATTCAAAAAAGACAAAGATACATGTATGAAACATTAAGATTGTAAGGTAAATAAAAATCAAAAGGTTACTTGCTTTTTTTCTGTTCCATCATACTTGTTTCAGATGGCCAACTTCAGTCTAGTTCTTTATTTTCATTTCTTCCCCTCATTTTGCACTTAAACACAATTGGACCGAGGCTGGCTTGAATTCAATTACGACCGTTTGCGTTTTGATCTTTCCACTTTTTCCACGTGGCAATTTGTCGTCTTAAGCTAAAATCAAAATTTCACCCTGCGTTACCTCAATTTGATGCGTTGACTAACCTGCGTTGTTCAAACTCGCGATAAAATGATAGAAGACCTGGAAAGGCCTATGGTGCCTTCATGAACTAAATTAATTTCGTCTGATCTTCATTTTTGACGTTAAATTCAGTGCATCATAAACTTGAGAAAAAGATTATTATTTAAAAAAAAACAGATAACTTGACAAATGGAACTAACAAATATGAACAAAATCTACTCTGGACAGATACTTTGATCATTTGAAAAGTTCCTCCTTCCCTTCTGTCCCAAAATTTAATAGATCCTTATGATTGGACTATTTAGTTTTTTGATATTTTACGTGAACAAAGTTGTAAATTAGATTTCCCATTTTGCTTCTTCTGTTGGGAATTAACTGTCTGACTCTCAGCTCATTAGCGCTCAGCTAAAGCAATATATTTATATGTATGTTGCTAGTTTCATGATTGGGCAAATCGGTGTGCCCACTTAGAACAGACGCTTTTATAGTGTACTTTATTCCTCTACCAAAAATGGCATAATCGTATACCCTTGTGTCTGTACACTGCCGCAATTTTTCAGAAAATGTTGAAATATTTCGTTTTCATTCCGCACATGTGGTCAGACTGGACGACAATCTCAGAACGAAACCGATGTCAACATTAATCAGATTAAGTCAAAATTGATACCAAACAATTCATTGCATCCAAGAAAATACCGTTTCATAAAGATCTTGGCCTTCCTCAAAGCAAAAAAGGCAAAATCCAGCAGAATTGATCAATATTAGAAGAAAATTTGGGAATAGATAGTGTTAAACTGTCTACTGTGGTAATGCAGAGGCAAAGAAGAAAGTGCAAAATAATTATAGTAAGCACATATTCAAATTTTATCGCAAAGCGAAAACTGGAGGAAAATATAGACGCTTAATATCCGATTTATATTTATAAAAACGTTTAGAAAAAAAAAGTGTCTGAGGTAATTCAGGGCTAAGGCTGTTTGTGAGTGACCGAAATACAATGCCAACCTCTTTCAGACTCAATATTCAATTCAGAAATGTTATGATAGATTTTGACCGTTTTTTTTAAATCAAACTCTAAACAGCAGGGCATTGTATGAAGCCCTTGGGTCTGTGATCTATCAAACTCTCTTACTTGTCTTGCTACTCATCTGTTGACAGTCTCCTTCTTTAGTCCACTCACGTTTTGTCGACTTGCAAGAGGAAACGAATATGTCAATCGGTTCTCTGCTTCTACAAATATCTCATAAACACTTGATGAACACTTAGAGGAATTTTTTAACGCGTAGGTTTTTCTGAAATGTTCGCTCTCTGAGTTTCTTTTCACGCCGCTACTCCATAGGTATGAAATATAAAATGGAAATAACAAAGTTTATTCAAAGGTAACCATCAGCGATTGATTGTTGAATTTAATTGTGTCAAAAAACTAAATGAACTTCATTGTATTCAGGTGGAATTCAAAGTAAAAGTGCAAAAGAGCACGATTTTCGGTCAATAGGGACCTTAAGCAAACTTCGACGGCGAAGACAGCGAGAACATGGAAAAACAAAAGATCTGATTGGCAGAACAATAGCTCAGCACGTGCGTTTTAAAACTTTGTACATTTCTTATCCGTCCTATGCAAAATAACAACGTGAAATCACCACAATTTGCGTCGTCTGCGAACCGAAACCGCGACGGCAAATTATTTTAATTTCCATTTGGAACTCAACTCTTCTTTTATACGTTATGCTGAAGTTGAGATGTGGCGCTGTATGAGTCGATAAACACATGGCAGAAATTCATTAATTAATCGAGGTCTTCCTTGGCGTTGCCGTCCTGACTGCTTAAGGTCCCTAACATTTTCGTGTCGACGGCATTGATATTGCTCTAATGTAAATAAAGCTAAAACCACATGTCGTAATTAGCTCGATTCCTTGTTTCCTCAGCTTTCTGAATTCATTTCCTTGTAACTCCCTGATGACACGTGCTCAAAGAAGAGCGTTATCCACAGAGATCAAAAAATTAATGTCACTTAACAAGATCTTTGCGCTAAAAGAGAATTCTATGATTTTCTGCTTAGCGCATTCCAAATTGCAGTTGTGATTCAATGTATAAAAATCTTTCAACGCAAAAACAAACAGCTGATGTTGAATTAATTTTATTTCTTAGATATTTATTTAGTTGTTGGACTATGTAAATCAGACACCCACAATTCAAATTACACAGTATTTTCTTGAGCCGCACACTTGAAGAAAGTACTAGACGAGCTGTTGGACGTGTTTCCGAGGAAAGAATCGATAATACACTTCATAGAGAAGCAGAAAAGGTAATTGATCTCAGGTTTTTTTTTCTAATTTAAATCCAATCCAAAAGTAAGAATACATCTTAAAGATAGGTGCTCACAATGCGAAATCGTGTGAATTTTGGCACTTAAGTTCCATTTTCTTCACTGTTTATAACTACTCTAAAACAATCAACAATTAAATATACTTTGTGTAGAAATGTGAGCAATGAAGCTGTCTTTAATATCAATTATTTTATTAAAGTTGGAACTCGAAGCCCTAATAATAATATCCGAACAAATGACAGAGATAAAAAATAGCAATTATAACAAAAAAAATTAGGTTTAATTTGCACTATTACCTCTGCGCTATTCTATTTGTTTATTCTAAAGTTATCTAACTCCGAGTAAAAGGATGGGATTTTTTTATAACTTACTTTTTTAAATCCGTCGCAATCAATTTCAAAATTATTTTTAAAAGTTACCCCTACATATCTGCATGTGATGGAAAATGGACAATTATCCTTTGCGATAATTGTCTCAACAAAGTTATTCGAATAATGAAATCATCTATCGAGTTTCTGTAAATTGCTAAAAAAATTAGTAGCGCCTCTGTTTAATTTTTTTGTGAGGTGTAGCCTCAAGATTGATCAGTTAAAATTGATAAATAGAATTCAACAGTTTAAAGATAATGATGCCGCTAAGTTTACAGTAGATTTATCTGCCGCGAAACAATACTGTTTACGGAGAGAGTTTTAAATCAAGTCCTATGCGATAGATTATATTTGTTTTTCGCAGGTATTTTTAAGTTAAATCAACTTTAAACTTAGCAATATTATTCATTTGTTGAAATTAACTAAGTAGCCAGGCTTTATCTCAAATAAGAAAATCTTGACCTTTTGGGAAAATCGATCGAGTAATTTCCAAAACCGTCCCCAAAAACTGTTAAATAATGGGATTTCCCTATAAAATTAGCATAGTAAAAGCGATTGCCATGTCACGCCCACTATTTCACAATTTTTGAGAAACGTGCGCACTGTTGCAAATTTTCAATCCAGAACTCTTACTAAGGTCCTGAACTGAAGATTCTTTCGTCAATCGAATGCTAGAAACTGTTAAAAAAAAAAAAATTTTAAATTGCCATTTCGAGGAATGAAGATCAGTGTTAACAACTGAGTCTGGATTCATTTATAGGATGAAAAAATTCCAAAGTTTTCCGGAACCAATCACATCGTACAGTTTTTCAAAGTTTTTTCAGAACAAGCAGGCAGAAAAATTGACCAATATGAAAATACTTCCCCATTACCTACGCTTACACCCCTCCACTTCAGATACAATAGGTGTTAGTGCAATTGCATTCTCTTCTGTGCTATACATAGGTGTTGTCGAACGTATAATGAAGCTGCTCTTTGCCTCGTTGGTTGCTCTGATAATTTCAGATGTTTTCACTACACTCGAAGGTAAAATTTTTAGTCTTAACTAACTCTACTGTTGGTAAAATGTCCGCACGGCCTCATGCCTCATTCTGCCCACAGTTATTTGATAGAGAAATTTTAAAAAAGTAGCGTGAACAATGGATCGCCTTAGTTAAAGATCAGTACAGCGTTATACGGAAATCTTGTCCTACTCTCTGCTCTAAATAATCTACTCTTTACTATTTTTTTAAAATAATTATTTGGTATTTGTTACGTAAAATGTAAAGTTGATATTTAAGGGCAAGATTTCCATATAGCCCTACCCCAGCTACAATTGGAGTTTTCTTGAATAAAAACACCATGGAGAATAAATTTGTTTGCCTTAAGGACGAACTTTTTGTCTAAGAATAAGATGGAGTTATGGGGAAATCTTTCCTACCTAAGAAGTAGTTGTTAAAATAAGTTTACCTGCAGTGCATCTAACTAATTCAGGTTTATGATGCTTAATTTTTTCCCTTTAAAAGGAATTCAATCGAGTGTTCATCCTGTAAATTCGTTTTTTCTTAATTTGTAGGAAAACCACCTACCGGGCGTTCTTTCTTGAAACCTCGTAAGACAAGTTGTTATATTGTTATAATTAACGTTGTTTGCCCATTCTGTTGTATACTTTACAATAGGGAATTTTGAAAGACGCGGAAACTCGAGAATGTGTAGATGAGCTGTTTAAGGCTTTTTGTTCTTTTGTAATCGTTTTAAGTTATCTAGGGGGGGAAATTTCAAGAGTCAACACAAAAGTCAAACGAAAATCAAGAACTCGCATTTAAGGTGCTTTGGGTGTTTTATAATTCCTAATTTGACTTTTTGTTGTGGTTGGTTGTTGTTGCTTTTTGCGCTGGTTGATAAGCACAAACATCTCGTTAAACGATGCTGTGATCTGAAAAAAAGGCTCAAACAAATAGCGCACGTCTGGTGATTCACAGTCGCTCTAGAGGTCTCACCGCAAAAACACTTGTTTTCTCCTACTTCCGGCAATTATCTACCGATATATCACCTTAGCAAAGAGGTTTATCTACCATTAATATATACGGAAACAGTAAATGGTTTTGAAAGCGCGCTCTGATTGGCTTCTCAAACTACGAATATCCTTTGCCATTTACCTAAGAGCAACAAGCGCAGAATTTGCGCTCGAAAGTATTTTTATTGTGGCAGGAATAAATGAGTAAAAACCATCTTGGTGTGCTATACTATATCACTGTTTGGTCTTCACTGAAACGAATATTTATGTAGAAGTGGCGAGGTAAATATCCACCGCTAGTTGCCTCAATTTCGGTAAATGGTTGCTAATTACATTTAAAATCCATCTGGTTTGATTCTTTTCTTATCTATTTCAGGCATTCTTTCGCGAGGGCGTAGAGCTGTACCAGACGGTAACTTTACTTAAACGTACATTGTTTCACAAACTTTCTTTTACATTTTCAACAATGCAATGACTGAGTTTCTAAGCCCCTTTCTTTAGAGTCACAGAACAAAATATGACTGGGCAAGGGCCCTCTTCACTCAAACACGTTTACGCAGCATTCAATTCATTCAGCTTTGTTCCACTTATCCCATGTAGTACTCCAATTGGCGCAAAACTGAGACGAAGTAAATTATTGTTAGAATAACCCGTCACTCGGAGAAACTTCACCGCTTCTACCTTTACCGATGCAAAGAGATATTTGAATTGTTTCATCGTCTGTTTTCTTGTTGTTTGACAGTTTCTTCGATAAGAATAGACATCCGTAGCGAAGGCTGCAATGATCCGGGAAGAACGCCAAATACATGCGGCAGAGCATACATTAAGGTGAATGGGAATGAACACTCCAAGCAAAACAGAGGGCATAATGTTGTTGTCGTGAATGCTGTAACAGGTAAAGGACTTAAATAGTGTTTTTTAAGTGCAAATGACATCGAAAATTTGAAATTTGGAAAAAAGAAATCGACTACAAATGAGTAGTTAGAAGAACTGATTTTTTGCAGCGAGTCAAATGAGAAAAAATAATCGAAAATAGACATTATTGCACAGCAATGCAAAAAAGCTCCATATATGTAGGAAATAAAATCCTTTTTGTCTTTTACTCCGTTCAATACCAAAAACAATGTTCGATGCAGGAATTGTGGAACACTCCGTCAGTTTCGATACTCATGGAAGTACTGCCGCTGCAAACCAGTTGAAAGACTTTCTTAACGGGATCGCTGGAGAGTAAGTACCAGCAAGAGAATATCAGTTGATATCCTCTTGGCACTAGCTTGTCCTACAAACTTTCATCTTTTTGCCTTTAAAAATGATATTTAACATGGGCCAGATCTTGAAATTTTACGCAGAATCTATTATCGTTAATGTGACCCTCTACGGGATTTCAGGGAATAAGGTGAACGTACGCACAAAGCACGTTATGACACGCTCGCACGCTAATGGCATGACACGCTTACCATGCAAATATGCGCATAAAAACAATTGATTTTAGAAAGCATGTTGTAGCCTTTGTCATATCGGGCTAACACGGTAGAGCTCTGTTTCTCTAACACGCTAGATTTTCTTTTTTAACACGATAGGTTCCTTTGTTCCTTAATACGCTAGCTTGCCTTGTATAACCCAGCTTACTTTGTTACTTGTGTTTGTCAGCTTCTTAGTAAATTATTGTGGGAATGGTGTTTGTACAGTGTATTACTTAAAAAATATAGGAGAAAATGAAGACCTTCTGTCCTCTCCGAAAGTTGTGATAAAAAAGGAAACATTCACGGCAAATCACGGCTCTTTCCCCCAGGATTTTCACCGGGAATTCAGTGAGCACGAAGTGTTTCACAAGGTCCAGAGGAGCTCAGTTTGAACACATGAATTACTTTTTTATAACTTAATTCTTACCTTGTAATATATAAATCCTTTTCGCTTCACGAAGTTAATAAGCCCAGTACCGGATCTTTGTGAATCATTTCGCAACAGATATCCGACTCCTTGTCCCCTAAGCGGTCGCTGTTCGTCACTCTAAGTAAACCGGCATTTCTTAAATAAAGAACCGCTAGTTAGCCGGCGCAAAACGAAGCTTGATGGACAACAAGTCGAGATATTCCTTTACGTTTGGCGAATTAGTTGCACTGGATACTGAGTATCATATATCGGCCGGGCGCATCGGTGAGCTAAAAAGCCTTAAATCTTAGGACGTACTTCTTGCACAAATCGAAGGCAAGTTTAACTTTAAGAAGCATGTTCTAAAATTGGTACAGTCACCGTGTTATATCGTGCAAAGTTACGAGCAATATTTTAACACTTTCCTTTGTTTCTACCGTGCGAAGCAAGACAATGGCTGCGAAGTGAATGAGGCAAGCAACTTACACGCAGCTAACGTGTTGAAAGCTCGCTCTTTTGTTTTAGCGTGCTAGTGTACCGTGAGCGTGTGTTCACCTTATTCCCTGAAATCCCGTGGAGGGTCACAAATATAAACAAGGGGTCCTAAAATCTCATCCATTATACATTAGCAGGAGTAATGGGCTCCTGACATTAGGGAGAAATTGAAAGATATTGGGCCTAAATGTTGGCTTGAAAGGCTGATAAGCATTTACCTCAGATGTCAGACGCAGGCAAGCACAACCAATCTTAAAAAAATTGCTGCAACACACAACTGTCATTTGGCGCAAGATTTCAACACAACAAGGCAGATGAACAAGGAAACCAACCTTGAGTTGCCACTGCTTTAATGAGAAAATAGTCCTTGACCAGATTACCCCATCAATGAAAATGTTAATCTTAGTGGCAAAGTAATAAAAGGACCAGAAAGCTACTTCAAATCCTTTTTAAGTCAAAGTTTTCATTTTCTATTATTTGAACGTTTCATAGTGAGTGTGAAACTCTGGATTTAAGCGGTATGCGACCTTGAACTCTTACCTCATTGATACTATACAATTTCACTGACACGCTCACCTTTGCCGTGTGAAATTTTTGCTTCATTTCCACAATTTATTTTTCCATTTCAGCAAAATAATCCTGATTGCAGTCCAAGACGAGGGCTCAAGATATCTTAAACCAGCTTTTGATGCTCTGACGAGTATTGGGGGCCGCGATCTGGGCTTTCTTGACCACAGAGGTTCATATGCTCTTGTTGGATACTCGAGGGAGAAGAAGCCATCGTATGTTCAACAAGTACAGAGCAAAGGTGGCAAAGGACCAAGTGTGATCTCCACCACTGTTCCACTCACGAAGAGTACGTTATACATATATTTGATAAGTTTTATCCAGTGAAATAAAAAGTAACCTGTGCGATATATTTGTACGGGAGATAGAAAGAGCTTTTCATGGAATGATGCGAGGATTGCTCATAAATTCCCTACTATTGCGAACTTAAGGAGAGCTGTCTTTTCTTTGTTTCTTGAAGAACGACATTAAACAATTCTCTCAATTTCTCGATGAATGCTTCAGCCGATTGTCACAGCTGCACGATGTACAAAGAGCGCCATGGACAAGCTGTGTACCCTTCTCAGTCCGCCCTAAGCTCTGTATTTTAAATGTGTTATTGACAGATAAGAGATTGCTCTGTATTTTAAATGTTTTATTTACAAATAAAAGAAAGTAAAAAGACCTTTGGAACCCTATCGTAAGAAAAATATGTATCATTAAATTTCAGAACTTGTCGTTTATCAGTTCTATAAGAACGTTTAAATTGGTGTAACTGATTGTTTTTCCATTGAGAGCTTTTTTGTTTCGTCAGACATGGTTTGTTTGTGACTGGTGCAGGTTTATCTTACTCTTCCCAACCTAAGAAAGACTGAGAGTAGCCCTCGTTGCTAACGAGTGACCTACTCTTGTCGGTTTGTTTACAGATCCTTTTGTAGATATCGATATCCGCAGCGAAGGTTGCAATGATCCAAATAAAAAACCAGACACGTGTGGAATCGCTTACATTAAAGTTGATGGAAAGGACCACTCCCTTCATCGTAGAGGACATAACGTTGTTATTGTGGAACGGAAAACAGGTAAAAACCACTACATTAAAACGGAAAAAGAGCTTGGATAGTTATAATCTAGATATATTAGTATAAACATACTAGATATATTTAGATTTTATGACAAAGTTCGTAATTTTTGTTGTTAAAACTATGCTTTGGCATTGGCCAGACTCGGGGATTGAGGTGATTAGATTGTGCGGTTTCAAAATGAATGCGATAAAGTGGCAATGATTAATCATGATGAAATAACTCATAGAATAAAAAAGTCGACTTATCATTTTTCTGTTAATTGTCACGTTTCTCCACTGCATGTACCTGTTTCTTTGCGACAGGAATGATGCCAGTTTCTTTCATCTTTATGCAGGTAGAGTGCTTAAATCAGAAGCCTTTGATACTCATGGAGATGGGTCAGCGGGCACTCGTCTAAGGGATTTTCTCAACGCCCAGGGAGCAGAGTAAGCAGTTTTTAGGCTTAAGTTTAGTTTTGTTTAGTTTTATTATTTTTGATATTAACTATCGCTGTAACTTGAGAGCCGAAAATAACAGCTTTAACATCTTTTAAATCCTATACATTTATCAAAGATTAGTGTGCTATCCTTAAGCCATGTGATATTTCTTGTTTAGTATTCAAACCTCTCTGATGCAATCATATTTTACCAAAATTCTGGGCTGAAAAACAGCGTTTTCATACTTATTCTTTGTTTTTCAGTCATTGCGTGTTTTTCCTTTTCTTTTCAGTAAAATAGTCCTGGTCGCCGTGCAGGATTCGGCCGCCTCGCACGTTGGAGTAGCGTTAGACTCTCTCAGAAGGGTTGGTGCTATTGATCCTATCCTGGTGGAGTACCGAGGATCTTATGCTCTGATTGGAACCCCGGATGCAAATAAGCCCCCATGGGTCACACAGGATCAGCACCCTAGATACAAAGGACCGAGTGAGATATCCATAAGAATTCCTCTCTCAGGTAAAAAAAAAAAAAGCTGTTCCCGCGCAGCATTTGATTTCAAATGAGACTTTCATTTTGTTGCTGCAGAGTATTTGCCACGGATGAGTGCATGGTGAAACTCAAAATCATCGATTTTCCAGGACAATTGAGTTTAATCACATTTAAACATTTTAGATTGTCAGAAGGCACTTGGGATGGAAAATTATGGAATACCCAACGGAAAAGTGCGAGCATCTTCGGAATGGGACTCCAACCATGCCGCCATTCAAGGACGACTCCATTACAAACCACCTCGCGGCAAACAAGGAGCATGGTCAGCACGACATAACAATATAAATCAGTGGCTTCAAGTTGATCTGGGAAGTGCGTTCATCAAAGTAACGGGTGTCGCAACTCAAGGAAGATACAACTATAACCAGTGGGTAACGAAGTACAAGCTGCAATACAGTAATGATGGTGCCACCTTCACCTACTACAAAGAACCTGGACAAACTGCAGACATGGTAAAAAAGAATAAGACATTCAAGTTGATTCATAGGGTTGCTTTAGTTTCTCTCTTACTCTTACGAATTTATCCTCCGCTTTTAACCTTTATATTTTCGCTATTTTCCTTGAATGATCATCATTCCTACCCCTAATCTGCTGCACAACTTCGTTTCCGCGACTAGTTCAACAGCACTCTCAGTCCCTGTATTTATCGCTATTTAGTTTTAAATGAAGAGATGCTCCTCCGATCCTTCTCCTTTAGGTTTTTTCTGGAAACACGGACCGGAATACAGTTGTCTATCATTTCCTTAACGCACCAGTTACGGCTCGTTATATCCGTTTTCAACCAGTGACTTGGTCGGGGCATATCTCAATGAGAGTCGAGTTGTATGGTTGCTCAGGTACTGTGATATGTACATGTAATAAGCCCTCCGGTAAATGCATGATGCAAAGTACATGTGGCGTAAATATGGAATACTTTATGGATAGGCTGTCCGTGTGATATTTAAGCACGAGTTGATTTCGATTATCAAACGAATGAGACTTCTGCTACAAACCTACGAGTGCGTAAAGTACCATACGGACAGACTTTCCATGGTGTAGTACATTTTTTATGAAAATAAGGAAATTTAATTCTTATTTAACATTTTATTTCGAAACAGATTAAATTCAAAGGCTCATAAATCGTTCATGATCGATGAAAATAATACAAATTGCCTTTCCAAGAGAAATAATGCAAGACATTATCGACAGTTAGCGAAGAATGTGAAGATAACACTCAACACTTGAAGCAAGGCATCCTGAGCTTGAGTGTTGATTTTCATCTATCCTTCACAGTAACTTTAAGAAAAAAATCTTTAGTCTAACCAAACCAGGTTAGGGGCATTAAATCTATTGTTTTTAGTCGCGATAAGATGCAGAGTAGTTGAAGGCCTGTCACATCTCCAGAAAGGGTTTGGTAGTATAAGAAAAATGTCTTTTTTCGGCTCATCTCATTTTAAGCACGTTTTCCACTCATTTATATCGTGAGTTGATTTCCTAAAGTTTTTTTAGACATGGTAAAGGCACTGAAGTGGGAAAAGATAATATCTGAAAAAGATTCATCTGCAGAACTTTACTAGCTTTTCTCTTAATACAGTGTCACTGTGCTACAAGAGGGTGATTGCTTTCTGCTATTGAGAATATGTTTCACGTTAGTTATTTCTTTTCCTTTCTTTTCATATATATTCATCTTTACTCATCTATTCATTTGTTTGGTTGCCTTTTTTCTGTTTTTGCTTTTTTGACTTAATTCTAATAAGCTTGTGGAAAAGCTCTTGGCATGGCAAGTTATGCAATTCCCAACGGACAAGTGAAAGCCTCCTCGGAATGGGACCCCAACCATGCCGCCATTCAGGGAAGACTTCACTACTTACCACCTCCAGGGAAGCAAGGAGGGTGGTCAGCTAAATATAATAATGCCAAACAATGGCTTCAAATTGATCTGGGTGCGTTGTTCAGAGTGACGGCTGTCGCAACTCAAGGAAGATCCAACTATAACCAGTGGGTGACGAAATACAAGTTGCAATACAGTGATAACGGTGCTACCTTTACTTACTACATGGAGGCAGGGCAGAATGTAGCCAAGGTGAAACAAACTGCATGTATAGAAATAAATCACACAAACTTAATCCTTTCTTTATTTTGGTCGAATTTTATATGAACAGAGCCTAACTGCCTACCAAGAATTTTGTTGTCATCATGTCTTCTTAGTGTAAAGTAATGTCTTTCCTTTTCCTGAATTTTTTATATATAGGAATTTGTTGCAAACAAAGACCGGAATACTGTTGTGTATCATTCACTAAATCCGCCAAAAACGACACATTTTATTCGATTCCGCCCGGTCGCCTGGAAAAGCCACATATCAATGAGGGTAGAGGTGTATGGGTGTTCAGGTACAGTTTTACAGAAAGGAGTTTACATTTTCTATTACTAACACATATTTTTAGCATAAGATATTTCCTTTCTCATTTGCTTGTGTGTTTGTTTGTTTTTTTGTTTTGGCTTAATGCTAATTAGCTTGTGGAGAAGCTCTTGGCATGGCAAGTTATGCAATTCCCAATGGACAAGTGAAAGCCTCTTCGGAATGGGACCCCAACCATGCCGCCATTCAGGGAAGACTTCACTACTTGCCACCTCCAGGGAAGCAAGGAGGCTGGTCAGCTAAACGCAATAATGCCAATCAATGGCTTCAAATTGATCTAGGTGCGTTGCTCAAAGTGACGGCTGTCGCAACTCAAGGAAGATCCAACCATGACCAGTGGGTGACGAAGTACAAGCTACAGTACAGTGATGATGGTGCTACCTTTACTTTCTACATAGAGGCAGGGCAGAGTGTAGCCAAGGTGAAACAAAACTGCATGCATAGAAACACATTGCAAAAACTTAATCATTTTTTATTTTGGTTGAATGATGTATGAACAGGGCCTATCTGTCACCGAGAATTTTGTTGAATTATTCCTTTCAGTCAAATTGTAAATGATTGATGAGGATTAGTGGTAACGAGATTGGCGAGTTTGTAAGAAATCTTTTTGCTTATAAAAGAGCTTTCAGACCAGTTCTGGTATTTGCTCAACACAGGCAGAGCCTTATCATATGAAAAAAAAAACTCGGAATTATGAATTACAAGGGTAAGTTTGGTTTTCGCTGGTTCTTCAATCATCTGGTTCTTTCAATTGTCTCGAATCTGAAATTTTCCCGCAGCCATGCTGTGAATAAACCTTCATATTTGAAGCAGAGGACTCCTTACTCCAGCATACCCTCTTAGTTATAAGTGGTGTTTTTTCTTTTTCCTGGATTTTTCTTATAGGAGTTTGCTGCAAACAAAGACCGGAGTACCATTGTGTATCATTCACTAAATCCACCAAAAGTGACACGTTTCATCCGGTTCCGCCCGGTCGCCTGGAAAAGCCACATATCAATGAGGGTAGAGGTGTATGGGTGTTCAGGTACAGTTTTACAGAAAGGAGTTTACATTTTCTATTTTTAACACATATTTTTATCATAAGCTATTTCCTTTCTCATTTGCTTGTGTGTTTGTTTGTTTTTTGGCTCAATACTAATTAGCTTGTGGAGAAGCTCTTGGCATGGCAAGTTATGCAATTCCCAATGGACAAGTGAAAGCCTCCTCGGAATGGGACCCCAACCATGCCGCCATTCAGGGAAGACTTCACTACTTGCCACCTCCAGGGAAGCAAGGAGGCTGGTCAGCTAAACACAATAATGCCAATCAATGGCTTCAAATTGATCTAGGTGCGTTGCTCAAAGTGACGGCTGTCGCAACTCAAGGAAGATCCAACCATGACCAGTGGGTGACGAAATACAAGCTACAGTACAGTGATGATGGAGCTACCTTTAGTTACTACATGGAGGCAGGGCAGAGTGTAGCCAAGGTGAAACAAAACTGCACGCATAGAAACACATTGCAAAAACTTAATCATTTTTTATTTTGGTTGAATGATGTATGAACAGGGCCTATCTGTCACCGAGAATTTTGTTGAATTATACCTTTCAGTCAAATTGTAAATGATTGATGAGGATTATTGGTAACGAGATTGGCGAGTTTGTAAGAAATCTTCTTGCTTAAAAAAGAGCTTTCAGACCAGTTCTGGTATTTTCTCAACACAGGCAGAGCCTTATCATATGAAAAAAAAACTCGGAATTATGAATTACAAGGGTAAGTTTGGTTATCGCTGGTTCTTCAATCATCTGGTTCTTGCAATTGTCTCGAATCTGAAATTTGCCCGCAGCCATGCTGTGAATAAACCTTCATATTTGAAGCGGAGGACTCCTTACTCCAGCATACCCTCTTAGTTATAAGTGGTGTTTTTTCTTTTTCCTGGATTTTTCTTATAGGAGTTTGCTGCAAACAAAGACCGGAGTACCATTGTGTATCATTCACTAAATCCACCAAAAGTGACACGTTTCATCCGGTTCCGCCCGGTCGCCTGGAAAAGCCACATATCAATGAGGGTAGAGGTGTATGGGTGTTCAGGTACAGTTTTACAGAAAGGAGTTTACATTTTCTATTACTAACACATATTTTTATCATAAGCTATTTCCTTTCTCATTTGCTTGTGTGTTTGTTTTTTTTTTGGCTCAATGCTAATTAGATTGTGGAGAAGCTCTTGGCATGGCAAGTTATGCAATTCCCAATGGACAAGTGAAAGCCTCCTCGGAATGGGACCCCAACCATGCCGCCATTCAGGGAAGACTTCACTACTTACCACCTCCAGGGAAGCAAGGAGGCTGGTCATCTAAACACAATAATGTCAATCAATGGCTTCAAATTGATCTAGGTGCGTTGCTCAAAGTGACGGCTGTCGCAACCCAAGGAAGATCCAACCATGACCAGTGGGTGACGAAGTACAAGCTACAGTACAGTAATGATGGAGCTACCTTTAGTTACTACATGGAGGCAGGGCAGAGTGTAGCCAAGGTGAAACAAAACTGCATGCATAGAAACACATCGCAAAAACTTAATCATTTTTTATTTTGGTTGAATGATGTATGAACAGGGCCTATCTGTCACCGAGAATTTTGTTGAATTATACCTTTCAGTCAAATTGTAAATGATCGATGAGGATTAGTGGTAGCGAGTTTGGCGCGATTGTAAGAAATCTTCTTGCTTATAAATGAGCTTTCAGACCAGTTCTGTTCCAGTTCTGTTTCAGTTCATACAAAAAAATCTCGGAATTATGGTTTACACAAGTTAGTTTGCCTTCAGCTGATTCTTCAACAATCTGGGTCTTGCAATCATCTCGAATCTGAAATTTGCCTGCAGCTGTGCTGTGAATAAACCTTCATATTTGAAGCAGAGAACTTCTTACTCCAGCATGCCCTCTTAGTTATAAGTGATGCTTTTCTTTCTCCTGGATTTTTCTTATAGGAGTTTGTTGCAAACAAAGACCGAAGTTCTGTCGTGTATCATTCACTAAATCCACCAAAAGTGACACGTTTTATCCGGTTCCGCCCGGTCTCCTGGAAAAGTCACATATCAATGAGAGTAGAGGTGTATGGGTGTTCAGGTACAGTCTTACAGATGGGAGTTCACATCTTACTAATTGCTTAATGGCTCTACGGAAGTGTGACCCTCTCTTAATTGTTTGCATTTGGATGTCAAAAGCTGTTATTTATGCTGTAACAACAAGGTTGTTTTTGGAGTGGGCAGGGGGAAATGGAGGGGAAAACTTAATTCTTATATCCGTTGCGATTGCAAAACTACAAATTGCAAACTGAGTCTCGTTACCTATCTAAAATTATTCGAGAAACCCCCTAATTACGCTTATAGAAACTTCACTGGTTCGTTTTTACAAAGTTGTTAAAGCTTTTTTCGAAATGTTTCGCTTAGTGTTGTGCTCTATACAAGTGCCTATGATAAGAATTGAATATTCGTAAGTTTTCATTCTATTCCATTTACAACTCATGTCATTTGAAAAAGAACAACAGCCGCGAAAAATGACACATTTTATTTTCAGCTAGAGATTATTGTGAACAAAATCCATGCAAGAATGGAGCTACCTGCAGCAATGTCGAGGAAGGTTATCAATGTACTTGTAAACCTGGTTATTCTGGAGCCCAGTGCGATCAAGGTGTAGTTCTATAGAACTTTCAAAAAGTTTTCCCTTTTTATCTATACCTAATAAACTATTTTAAACTATGTATACTAAGAAAAATATTATCCTAGCTATTTACTCTTCTTCAAAATAAATCACAATAGCCAAACTAACCAAGGTTAAGGAAACGCTTAAATTATATATTGCAGATATAAACGAATGCTCCAACAATCCGTGCAAGAACGGAGCCACCTGCGTCAATCTTCAGGGAAGTCATCGCTGTGATTGTAAATCTGGATATGATGGAAACAATTGTGAAAATGGTTATAAGTCACCTGCATTTTTTAAATGAGTCTGAGTCTGTTTCTTCAAATTTACATTTATTTTGTTACTCAAGCGCTCCGCGGGAAACCTGAATTGAAATTTGGAACGTTCTCAAATGCAAGTCACAAGTCTTTCATTTAGAGAATTTCACGCGAATATGAATTCATTTTTGTGCTTGTGAAAGCCGCCCAAAGACTGGGCCCAGATTTTAACGTTAAAAGCGCCTATGAACAGGCAGACATGACTTTCATCTCGTGTTTTTCATATTTATTTTTCATTTTAGTAGCTGTAATTCATTTGCAATCAAATTTGTTTAGATAAGTAACTCCAGTAGATTTGTAAAAATGTATCAAAATGTCTAACTGAACGATGCACCAATGAAAACCGACGTGGACGACGCTGTTTTACAGAGTTTAACGGAAGGAACTTTACTCCACTCGGACTACAGCTGCAAATTGAATGACTTAATTTGTTTCCTTACAGACATCAATGAGTGCACTAACAGTCCGTGTCAAAACGGAGCAACGTGTGTAAATCTACAGGGAAGCTATCGATGTGACTGTAAATCTGGATATAATGGGAACAAGTGCGAGAATGGTAAAATATTCTATAGAAAAGTTTCTTTTTGATAATAATTTAGCACTATGGTGGTCTTCTAGGTAAAAGTAGATCACTTATGCGCACATTTATTCATAAGTTCTTAATCAATTTTCATCCAATTTCGTTCCCATAGTTTTCTTAGGAAGCAACAAAACCTAAAGGCGAGGTCGGAGTGAGGCATATAGAGAAAGCACGTATTTTGCTAGCTTTTAAGGTGGTAACGCCTTGCTTGCGTTAGTGGTCGTTCATTATGAGGTTTACGGTTTTGTGGGCGCAAAGTGATCAGCGGAGAAGGCACGAATCTTCCGTTTCAAACCTTTCGCGGCCTTGTTGCTCATTGTTTTAGAGCACAAAAAACCTTTCTAAATGCTACCATGATACTAAACATATTTTTTCAAAATATCCAAAAGAAAATCTTTCCAAAGATTTATTGGTTGTCTGATTAGCGGATCTATTAATGGACTGGACCTACTTAAATGTATATGAAATTTTGCGGAGAATGTTGGGGAGAGCTTCAAAAGACCTGGGCCCAGATTTTTTAACGTCAGAAGCACTTAGGTAGAATGGATGCGGGTTTATATCTTGTTTTTTCGTTTTTGCTTTTCATTTTAGTCGCTGCAATACATTTACAAACAAAATATTGATATAATAATTTCGACAATAATTTTTTTACAGCATATTCTACATTATATTTTCTCCTATTTCAAAATTATTAGAATAAACCAAAAGGAAGAATTGTTTGATTTATATATTATATATTATTATTATTATTATTATATATTACAGATATAAACGAATGCTCCAACAACCCGTGCAAGAACGGAGCCACCTGCGTCAACCTTCAGGGAAGTTACCGCTGTGATTGTAAATCTGGATACAATGGAAACAGCTGCGAAAATGGTTAGAAATTGTTTATAAGTTTTCTAGTACTTTTCAGTCTGTTTATTTAACTTCTGATTGTTTATTGAACTGTGATTGTAAATCTGGATACGATGGAAACAATTGTGAAAATGGTTATAGGTCACCTTCACAGGAAGCCTAAGTTTAAAATTTTAAATCTTTTTTAATTGCTTTTCACATGACGTTCTTTTTGCAAATTTCACAACCTTATGAAAAATTGCGTAGAATACGTAGGAAAACTGCACGAAAACTGGGCCCATGATGTAACGTTAGGAGTGCCTACGTACCCGCACATACGGGTTTTTCTTGTGTTTTTTTTTTTTCAATCTTTTTTTCTATTTTAGTCGCCGTGATCCATCTGTAATCAAAATAGTAAGATTAAAACTGATTGAATAAAACCGGAAAAGAAGGAACGTTTTATTTAAATAAATATAGATATAAACGAGTGCTCTAACAGCCCGTGCAAGAACGGAGCCACCTGCGTCAACATTCAGGGAAGTTACCGCTGTGATTGTAAATCTGGATACAATGGAAACAACTGTGAGAATGGTTAGAATTCCTTATTCAGGATGGTATTTCTTTTGTTACTCAGACTTTTTTCACAAGACTTTCCTTTGGCAAATTTCACGCCAATATGAAAATTCGCGTAGAATATTGTTAAAACTGCGCAAGGACTACGCCCAGATTTTAACGTTAGGAGTGTCTAAATACACGAAGATATGGGTTTCATTTCGTTTTTGTTCTATTTTTTCCATTTTAGTCGCAGTAATCCATATGAAATCAAATTATTTAGATTAGTAACTCCAACCACTTGGTTAAAAATAAGAAAAAGACTACTAACTATTTACCCTCCTTCAAAATAAATCACAATAGTAAAAAAATCAAGGCGTAGGAAACACTTTATGTATGCTTTACAGATATAAATGAGTGTTCCAACAACCCGTGCAAGAACGGAGCCACCTGCGTCAATCTTCAAGGAAGTCATCGCTGTGATTGTAAATCTGGATACAATGGAAACAACTGTGAAAATGGTTATAAGTCACCTACATTTTTTTAATTCGTTCTCAGTCTGTTTATTAGAATTTGCATTTCTTTTGTTACTCTAGCGCTCCGCAGGAAGCCTGAGTTGAAATTTGGAATGTTTTCAAATAACACGCATTCCTTTCACTTAGGAAATTTTACGCTTGTATGCTTGTGAAAGCCGCCCAAAGACAGGGCCCAGATGAAAACGTTAGGGGTGCCCAAGAACACGCGGATATGGGTTTCATTTAGCATTTGTCCTATCTATTTTTTTCCATTTTAGTCACTGTAATCCATTTGCAATCAAAATATTAAGATTATGACTCCAATAAATTTGTAAAAATGTATCAAAATATCTAACTGAACGAAGCACCGTGGTGGACGACACTCTTCTACCTGGTTGAACGGAAGGAACTTGACTCAACTCGGACTACAGCTGCAAATTGATTGACTTGATTTGTTTGCTTACAGATATTAATGAGTGCACCAACAGTCCGTGTAAAAACGGAGCAACGTGTGTAAATTTACAGGGAAGCTATAGATGTGATTGTAAATCTGGATATGATGGGAATAACTGTGAGACTGGTAAGTAATGTTTCCTTCAGCACTACTTTGCTGTGTTTACTTTCATCGTATTTTGTTGTTGATGTTGTTTTATGCCCTTGTGGACGGCCTCACTGAAGCAATAGAACCATCTGTGTGAATCTTCAAGAAAGTAATCGCTGTGACTGTAAATCTGGTAACAAAGGAAACGACAAATACACTGACGTAAAATTCAATTTGAATAAGGTGTTTTTTTGATTTGTTAGTGTCCTCGTTACCTTTGTTAACTTTCTTTTGTTTCTGCTGTAGTTGTTGTTGTTGGTATTGGTGTTGTAGTTGTTGTTGTTGTTGATGTAGTCGTTGTTATTGCTGTATTATTTACGGATTGTTCAAAGGTAAGGAGAAAAGGGTCCAATTTTTTCGTATAGATTAGTTCCAAGTCCAAATTGTGGCAGAAACCCATTTCTGCGACATCAAATTTGAGAAAGCAAAACACAACATGGATATATGTGGCGTTTAATGTCTGTTTACTATTTACCATGTATCTTCCATGACAACAGAAACTTAGTCTTCCGAGCCTGCCGTTTTGAAACGTTTTCTTAGCTGGTGGCTACCACTTTTCAACTTAAAGTTGAGGTCGGATTGAAACTGTAATTTGACATCCGTTGATTTGGCAAAGATCCTTTAGGGAACTATTTCACAGCAATTTATACATTTTATTTTTTTCTATTTCAAAATGATTAGAGAAAAACAAAAAGAAGAAACGTTTGATTTATATATTACAGATATAAACGAGTGCTCCAACAACCCGTGCAAGAACGGAGCCACCTGCGTCAATCTTCAAGGAAGTCATCGCTGTGATTGTAAATCTGGATACGATGGAAACAACTGCGAAAATGGTAAGAAATTGTTCATAAGTTTTCTAGTACTTCTGTCTGTTTATCTAAGGTTGTATTTCTTTTGTTACTCAGACGCTTCACAGGGAGCCAAAGTTTAAAATTTTGAATCTTTTTAAATGTTATTCACATGACGTTCTTTGTGCAAATTTCACGCACAAATGAAAATTTGTATAGAATACGCAGGAAAACTGGACGAAAACTGGGCCCATATTATAACGTTCAGAGTGCCTAAGTACACGCAAATATGGTTTTTTTCCTGGGGTGTTTTTTTCTCTATCTTTTTTTCTATTTTAGTCGCCGTAATCCATCTGCAATCAAAATAATAATAAGTTTCAAAAATAATTAAATGAAACCGAAAAGAGGGAACGTTTTATTTAAACATTACAGATATCAACGAGTGCTCCAACAGCCCGTGCAAGAACGGAGCCACCTGTGTCAATCTTGTGGGAAGTTACCGCTGTGATTGTAAATCTGGATACGATGGAAACAACTGTGAAAATGGTAACATATCCCTTAGACTTGTGTTGCTTTTTTTTAGTAGGCAATCTGTCGACTTAAAGTAGATCACTTTTCTGCATTTTTGTTCATAGGTTTTTAGTCAGACTCTTACCAATATCCTTCTTCCGAAAAACTAGATGGTCTTTCTCGTAGGGTTTTACTTGAAAGGCATTGAAAACAACAGAAATAAAGCATAGGCAGTGAGCCTTTTAACAAATGACCAAAACGTTTGAGATCTGATGGTGACGCCAATTTTTTTGTTTGTTGGTACACTAATTCACTTACCACTGCGACCTCAATTCATCATGAAAATTGAGATTTACTACGAAATAATTTTATTTAGTGTTGACATAAATTTAATTCGTGTTTTGCAGATGTCAACGAATGCACAAACAACCCCTGCAAAAATGGAGCTACTTGTGTCAATCTTTCAGGAGGTCATCGCTGTGACTGCGCAAAAGGTTATTCAGGGAGTTCTTGCGAAACAGGTGAACATAACACATGGACAAATTGAAAATGACATTTGGAAAAATTTATTGAACGAGTAACTGGGGGTCGATACAAATAACTTATCAATCGAGCCTGTTTTCTTTCTTACATTTGAAGTCACACCCTATATGATTTCGACTTTGCGTATACCGCTCTTAGTATACAATTGATCAGTTAATTTTTGTTCTCATGGTTTTCTTAGGAAGCAGTAGAACCTTAGAATGAGGTGGAATGAGATAATATTTTGGTTTAGAAATTCTCAAGGTTATTCAGGGCTTTTAAGGGGAAAAAAAAGTATTTTGCTGCTTTTTAATAGCCATGATACCTCGCTTGCGGAGCTAGTGGTTCCGTGTGCACTTCATAGTTTTGAGGGCGCAAAGTGATGACCGGAGAAGGCACGAATCCTTCTTTTTAAGCCTTTTGTGGCTGTGCTGCGCATGCTTTGGTGCACGCAAACCTCTATTAATGCTACCATGGTTCATAATATTTTTTTAAAGAAATCTTTTAAAGGATTTTTTAATTGTCCGAGTAGCGTATATATTAAAGGACTGGACTAAATTTGAGCAGGTGACATCACGTCTTGGATAATTTTGACGGTTCACATTAAACCCATTTACAGGAGAGAAATTTTATTTAACTAACTTTAAATGTAAGGCCATTTTGTGGATTTATAGCTATCAACGACTGTGCTCCGGATCCTTGTTTGAACGGTGGTACGTGTGTTGATCTTGTTGATGGCTTCCGTTGTGATTGCGCGGCCGGATGGCTTGGTATTACTTGCGATGGTGAGTCGTCCTTTAATCATGGATCGTTTTCACAAGATATCTCGGCAACCATGTTGGTGAACTAAGTCGGTTCCGAGAGAATTGAACGCTTTGCTGATGTAAATTCACAAACTACATTTTTACAACTTTAGATGTTACTCATTGTTATCAGATGGCGAACATGGCTCACTTATTGATTTAAAAAAGTAGCTCTGAGTGCCTTTCATTAACGTTTTCAAATGATCTACAAAACACATGGGTTAAATGGAAAAGAGGAACAATCATATGAAATTTAGCGAGCCAACAAAATCAGAGAGCATATTTGAACCTTTGGCTGGCAGGTAGTTGTTTAGGTATTAGAGCACCTTGTTAAAGTCTAATATTCCATTTATCTTCTGTGTATTTCTAGAGCCAGAGGTGGACGAGTGCGAGGAATAAGTCGAAAGGAAATAGAGGATGCATCGATCTCAATCAAAACTTTTGTTAGACAAGCAGGAACAATTTGCACTGTAACACATAGGCAGAAGAATAAAGTTTAATTCTGGAATGTTGTACAGTTATGTTAACTTAAACATACGAAATATTTATAAACTTGCTTTGTTTTGTTTTGTTTTTAAAGCATTGTATTGTTAATTTAACCGCGGCTATAAAGGAGTAAAAAGAAAACTCCGAACCTGACCTTTAAAACTGTGGTAATTTAGTATTAAAAACTGAGTTGATAACAAAAATGGCCACCGTAAAGAGTTAAAAAGCTGACATTTCGAGCGTTAGCCCTTCGTCAGAGCGATTGACAAAGGACTAACGCTCGAAACGTCAGCTTTTAAACTCTTTACGGTGGCCATTTTACGTTATCAACTCAGTTGATAATACTAATTCACCCTGTTATACTCTCCCACCGACACGACACCAGAGTTTCCATAAAAATTTGCCCCCCCTTAAAAATGTGGTTTTTACTGCATTATTCGACTTCACCCGGAGAGTGGGATCTGGAAAATTGGCACGTCAGTACCAAATACAAGATGAATGCATCAGGCCCAACTTTTTGTGTATTTTTTTTTATCTTAAATATTTGATTTTTATCTCTTTCTACTATTCCGGAAAGCTTATGGGATAGACAGAGAATCTAACTTCGGCTGGAAACCCAAAGTTGCTTTGCCTCAGGATTCGTGTCATAGCGCTGTATTAAAATCACTGCGTTTCGGTTCGTTTAGCATCTGACCAAACTGAGAATTTCTCACGTCTGTTTTTACACTTGACATTAAAAAAGAAAAAAGAAAACCAACAGAAAAAAACGACGATTTATCAGATATTTATGACCAATTAAGATTACTGAAATGAATTCCAACTAAAGTATCATAAAACGAATGTTAAAATCATCCTAAAATGAAACTACTGCCGACTTCTAATCATATTATAAATTCTGAAAAGTGTCTTGTATCTACGGCATATCTTAAATCAATCACTGGTTTCTTTAATTTTTACCGTTTTTTTTTTTTTTTGCTTATTTTTATTATTTTTATTTTTAACTTTGTATATAAACCACTTAGAACCCATGATTCCTCGATTCATTCAGACGAGGGGCTAACGCTCGAAACTTCAACTTTAGAATCTCTTAAAGGTGGTCAATTTTCACCATCCATCTAGTTAATAAAACCAAACGAATCTTTTTGGTTTTTATTGAGTATTAAAAAAAAAACAACGACTTCAAACATCGAAAAAATGTTTGTAGATCTATGTCACAGCGTTAAGTGTTATTAGAACGTGATAACATGTAGTGTGGGAGTTTAAATTTTGTTTGAACTGCTTGAAATGTGTGTTTTTTCTTTAGGACTTCCTGTCAATTTCTTGTCATTGACATGTTTCCATATATTTTCTGTCGAAGTGAAATTCTGCTTTCGTTGCCTTTTTTAAAAAATGTTGCTGTAGTTGCTGTTTAGATTCTTCGATTACACATGCTGCAACATTATTCTGATTTATTTTTTTTGTTCATGAGTAGTTCAATACAATTGAAATTGAAAAATGAATACGAAATAATAATAACCAAATGTGTGACTGAGAAAGACAACAAGGTGAAAAAAGGAATGATGGACTAAACATGCATAGAGAAGTGTCAGAAAAGATGCATTACAAATTATTATTGACTAACAATTGAACTAATTACATGTATTTTTGCAGCGTTCTCAGCACATTATCCATTTTGAACTATGGTATATTCTTCTTTCTCGGATGAACATTATTCTTTTCAAGTCTCTCAAAGTCGTAAGAATTTCTTCTACAAAACTTGTCATTGATTTGAATTAGTTCAAGTTCAGAAATGAAGTTTGATGATATAACAAATATTAGCGCAGCTTGGCGACGAAGCTTTAAGGCTGTACTGTTTTAATGAAAGCAAGGATGGAGGAAACAAACCTAATTAAATAAAATTATAAACTGTGAAATAAATTGTCCGCGAAATCGAATATTGTTTTGTCAAAAGCGAAAAGAAATAAACTTAGAGAGAATTTCTTTTAGCCGCCTATTTCAGATCAAAAGTATATACTTGAATTCGTGGTTTCGCATCTTAAGAAACATGATTTAGTACTGATTTGATGAAAGTTAATTAGGTACTAAAGCGTTAATGTTGATTCAACTGTTCATTGCTTACATGATACAACACGCATATCTATGAAAAAACATAAATTACAAATTGAGGTAACGAGATCTTGGGTTTAACTTTACACAGTTTTTAGAAAGGTCAGAAACCATTCTTTGTTCGCCCTACTACCCTAACATACACAGGATAGAAAAAAAAAGAACGAAAGGTAGGTTATTCGATCCCAGGTAAAGTTACTCCAAATATTTGCGGGTCAACCTTGATCGAAATACGTTTCCTCAAAAATAAGTTAAAATCTTAAGATGTGCGTGGATTATTGATAAAATACATTTTCATAAATAATAGATGTGATGTTCACTGTGAAGCGTAAATTCCCTGGCTACCTTTTCGTGGCAAACAGCCAACACAACTTTTACTATCTAAACGTTTTAGTGCGGTATCAATTTTTCATCAGGATCCAGACCTTTTTTTTCGACTTTAAAAAATATACTGTATCTTATAGCGGGAAAGATCAAGAAATGTTCAATCGTTTTTCTTAAATTGGAAAACATCTAGTGTCTATGGTCAGAACTTCTTCTCGAATGGATAGTCGAAATCGCGGCTTCGAAAAGGAACTCGTGCAATAAATGTTGTGACCATCGTTTCGCAAAATGGTATTAGCGTATAAAAAAAGGCACGCTTGTTACTAGGTGTTAGCACGATTATATTAATTCTTGGAAGGTTTCGTGTGTTGCTGAAAACCATGAATGATTGCTAACCTGTGAGATGTTAATTTTTAGAGCCCGGTTTTTGCGCTGTTACTTTTTTGATTCTATTTCAATTTTTCAATTTTTTTTGTAATAAGAATTAGATAATCAGTTCCCTACGCATTGTTTGATGAGTTTTGGCGGAATATATTTACCATGGCAACGATATATGACGTCATAAGTAACCAAGTAACCGGAAGCCGAGACCTACCTTCATATAATTCCACTGGTTGCAATTTACTTAATATTAAAAAAAATCAATTCGATTACGTCAACCCTACCAACTTGAATGGTACGAAGTTGGCCTCATGTCCCAGCCATAGTATGCCTGGTAAGCCTGGTCTTGTGCAGCCTATCCCACTTTTTTCATACCTATGTGTGTGGGTTGGTATGAAAAGGTCTTATTTTACCGACCTATTCCACAGATACGGTGAACTTCATAATGAAGAAGTTTTTACTGTTTTCCATGGCCACCCTAATGATGATGGATCAGTGCTGGAGCCAGTGCAGAACAGCAAACTGGTGGGGTTCGTTTGACAAAAAGGGATGGTCCAAGTGTGGATCTTCTGTTGAATACCTGAAAGGGTTTTATAGAAATAACAAGAACAACAACGACCCAATTTCTTTGCTTGAAGAAGGAAGATGCTGTAAGGCACCTTCACCCAATCAAAACCAAGCGTCTACTTGTAAAAATGCAAACTGGTGGGGAGTACTGGACAAGTGAGTATCTTCTTACATAGATTACTTTGCCAACACCACTTTCAGCAGCTACTTGTTCATTTCTCGCCCACCATCTGATAAACACTGTTCAGCATCGGTGGTCCCTGATAAGAAAATGAGACGGGTGATGTAAAAATTGAGGTTAACATAAATATTTGCATTTTTCATCTATATCAATCTGTATTTTTCGCCGTCGATGAGGTTGTGTTAAAACTTGGGGAAGTACAATGTAAGTATCTCATCCACTTTCTTCTGATGGTTTCAGGGTATTTTGAAAAGAAAAGTTACTCCCTTTCATCCCATGAACGCAGATGACGTTGGCCCCACAAGTTCATCCTAGGTTCCTAAATTGTTTTAATCTTTTAAAGACACTTGTGGTACATGAGAGTAACTTTCCACGTTATTCGAAGATTAAAGTTTTTCTTTTACGAGAGAAAATTTTCCTATATTTTCATCTCTAGGACTAATCGTTGGGCCTTTTGTCCAACTGGATATTTTTTGCAAGGGTTGTACCGCTCCAAAAACCACAACATTCACAACATAGAGGAAGGCCATTGCTGTAGGCCCAACAACTTGCCAAGTAGCTACCTGCGCTGTTATGAACATGACATCTCCTCATCATTTGATAACAAAGGCTGGAGTGAGTGTGATAGCGATCATTACTTGACAGGCGTTTACAGAGGAGGCTGTGACAAGTTGCAATGTATCGAAAAAATCAAATGCTGCATGATGCCGGATAGCTGCAAGATGGCAAACTGGTGGAAAGCTTTTGACAAAAAAGGCTGGGTCCAATGTGATTCAACAAAGCATTACATCACTGGGCTATATCGGAATAATAACTGGGGCAAAAATGATAAGATCTTCCTACTAGAAGAAGCGAAGTGCTGCCCAGCTCCCCCTCCATATCAAAACACGGGATCGACTTGCAGAGATGCCAATTGGTGGGGTGTTCTCGATAAGTAAGTTATCAATAATACATCAAACAATCAGTTAAAGTTTATTTTCTTATTATTTTGTCTTTTTCCTCCGCACAATATATACATCGCTCTACTCCTATGTATTGAGCACTGTTTTACGAAAGTCAAAATTTTACACTTTACACACACACACACACATATATATATATATATATGCACTGATGAGGCCCAGAAGGCCGAAACAGTACTGTCTGCAGTTAGTTATATATATATATATATATGTTTGCAATAACACAAATATGGATTCGTTATAAAGGAATAAACTTTCCTCTTAATTTTCCTTTTATAAGAACAAACTCCTGGGCTGTGTGTCCTGCTGGCTATTTCGTGAGAGGCTTTTACCGAAATAACGGTGCTTGGTTGCATCACTTAGAGATGGGCAAATGTTGTAAGCCCAATGGTTTTCCAGATAGATATGAACATTGTTACAACGAGGATGTCAAGAGCTCGTTTGACAGAAGAGGCCTCAGCAAGTGTCAGAGAGAAGGTTACTATTTGGCTGGAATTTTCAGAGGAGGATGTGACTATTTGTACTGCATCGAATCTTTCAAATGCTGCAAGATGAATGTGGGTGAGTAAAAGATTCTTGTGAATAAGTTATTCTTGTTGATCAGTTTATCAGCTCAAAATGTACACTGTACACTGTATCTTTCCTCATGCAAAAATACGAAAGCTTGTAAAAAGAGAAACGAATTCTTGCTCGATGAAGCAACAACCACAACAACAACAACAACAACAACAATAATAACAATCTGATACCTCAGTACTTAAAAATTGTTTGCTTTTGCTTCCACATATACGGGTAGATGAGTGTAGAACCAAGAATCCCTGTCAAAACGGTGCGGCTTGTTCCGACAAACCAGGGACGTACAAGTGTACCTGTAAATCTGGATTTACAGGGAAGAACTGCGAAAGTGGTAAGAGAAGTTCCCATACGACTAGAAGTTGTTCCAACACATAATAGCACGGTGATCATTTAAGTATCTTAAAAGCTGGGAAAGTCTAGTTAGGTCATCGGGTGGCGACGTAAGGATTCTATACGAAAATAATCTATACAAATTGTAAAGTTAGCTTAAGCTTTATTTTTTCATTATGAAGAATTAAAAGCGAAATCAACAATTTTTAAAACAGCCATTTAAACTCGATAACGCGGTTGCAAGACAGCTTCTTATCCCCATAACAGATCATTTTGGCGGCACATTTTTTTGCCGAAGCCTTTATGGAGTAAAGCTAACCTTTTGCTCTAATTAAGTGTGGGGGAACAAAGAATATAACTGAAAGAAACATTATCTTGCAGACATAAATGAATGCTCGAAAAGTCCATGCAAAAATGGAGCCAAATGTGTAAATCTTAAAGGAAGTTATCGTTGTGACTGCAAATCTGGATACACTGGAAAAAACTGCGAGTCAGGTCAGAGGAAACAAAATTATGTGACTACATATGTTGCCTGTGGGCCGGTTATTTTATAACGTGCGGTTAGCTTTGTTTAAGTTGGTTTTAGAAACCTTAAGAAAAAAAAAAAGGAGTGTTGCCAGGGAAATTCTTTTAATTCTGCTTAAATAGATTACTATTTTACCATAATGCAAAAACGATAACGATGACAATAAAAAAAATATATTTATATATATCAGCATGATAAAAATTATTGGTTTTTAAAGATTGAAATATTTCAATGTCGTATCATCGCAGATAAAAACGAGTGCAGCGCTAATCCCTGCAAAAATGGAGCCACCTGTGTCAATCTTCAAGGAAGTTATCGCTGTGATTGCAAATCTGGATACACTGGAAACCACTGCGAGTCAGGTATAAAAATGATTTGTGCAATGTATGTTATTGCCGCCCTCATCTTGGAGAAGTAGGTAGATTGAAAATTGTATCTGATTTCTGAGTCTAATATTATCAAAGATAAAAACGAGTGCAGTACAAGCCCGTGCAAAAATGGAGCCACCTGTGTCAATCTTCAAGGAAGTTATCGCTGTGATTGCAAATCTGGATACACTGGAAAGCACTGTGATTCAGGTATAAAAATGAATTCTAAAATGCGTGTTTTTGGTGCATTCTTAAGAGGACTTTTGTCCCACAAGATGGGCGGAACGTATGTAACTTTTAAGAGAAACCAGTCTCATTTTTTTTCTTTTCTTGTGATTTTATCTTACAGATGTAAATGAGTGCAGTAACAATCCATGCAAAAACGGGGCTACATGTGTTAATCTTCAGGGAGGTCATCGTTGTGATTGTAAAAGTGGATATACGGGAAGCAGTTGCGAATCAGGTAAACTTGGATGCATTTCATTGCTAAAATGTTCCTCTTTGTTCGTGTTACTGAAGTAAAACAAAATTTGTATTTAAAATCAGTTCAAAAATACTTTTGTGGCAGTTGAAGCCTGTCAATAATTTTTGGTTTATTCTTATTTTTCAAACAGATATAAACGAGTGCTCCAATAGTCCATGTAAGAACGGAGCCACATGTGTCAACCTCCAGGGAAGCTATCGCTGTGATTGTAAGACTGGTTACACTGGAAACAACTGTGAGACAGGTATTGATTTGTTTCAAACTTAAAATTAAATGAATCATTAAATAACACGTATTACATTTGATGTTTCTGTTTGTTCACAAACACTGGGAATTTTTGTTGGGGTGAATTAAAGCGTACGGAGTTGCCTGTTACTCCCGTGTTGCGTGACAAATAGAAAAAGCACAATTAGCTAATTTTGCCTCCCAAGGTGGGCTGAATGTGTGTAAATTCGAAGAATAACCACCTCATATTTTTCTCTTTTCTTGTGATTTTATTTTACAGATGTTAATGAGTGCAGTAACAATCCATGTAAGAACGGGGCTACATGTGTTAATATTCAGGGCGGTCATCGTTGTGATTGTAAAAGTGGATATACAGGGAGCAGTTGCGAATCAGGTAAACTTGGAGATATTTCATTGCTAAAATGTTCCTTTGTATTCGTGTTACTCATTTGACATTAGATTTCATCCACAAGGTTTATGTGCTAACTGACGCTTGTCAAGAATTCATGGTTTATTCTGATCTCTTAAACAGATATCAACGAGTGCTCTAACAGTCCATGTAAGAACGGAGCCACATGTGTCAACCTGTCAGGAAGCTATCGGTGCGATTGTAAAACTGGATATACTGGAAACAACTGTGAAACCGGTGCGCAACTACCTTTGATCACTTAATTAGTTAACGCTAGTAAGTTAGATACTAGGTAAAGGGGTTGACTTCTAAAGAAATTGAGTTAGTGTGTTGTCAGAGAGAAAATGAGTCGTAAACACTGTAATCACGAGTCACTTAGTCATTATATCAATTAGGAAGCCTAGATGTGTGTTTACTTATGACTTTACTTACATACAATGCGTCATTTTTAAGTTATAAGTACATGCACACAATTCTCTAAAGAAGTCATGCTAATAACTACAACAGTTGTTTATTCACTGTATTTGACTCAGCATCTTTTATGGATATTTTTTATTTATTTGCAAAGGAAGCCTGATGAAAGAAAAACAATTAAATAAAAGGGTACTAAAATATTAAAAAGAAAAGAAGCCTCAACCTAGCTGTGTTCTATTGTAAAGTACACAGGAAGCGGTTAGAGCAGAAAGAAAGGGAAACACATGACATTGCTGAGTGAAAAAAAAAAAAATTAAGACAGTGCCTAAAAAGGAACTTCTGTGTGAATTGCTGCGATTTTATATGCCGATACACAGGAAACAACTTTTAAAGAGGTTTTCAATTATTGTATTTTGAACCCTTTTGCTTCAAATACATTATTCGACGAGCTGAAGAGGGTTACGTCCAAAGCAACCTTAAATGTGGGGATTGGATTCGATATTAAATGTACTGTCTATTATTTTCAGACATTGATGAATGTTCGAACAATCCCTGCCAAAATGGAGCTCTTTGTGCCAACCTTCAGGGAAGTTATCGCTGCGACTGCAAGACTGGTTACACTGGAAACCAGTGCCAAACAGGTATGAGCAATCAGTGAATAAGATAACAAAGTTAGATCAATTATTATGTTCGTCGATTGATGCGGAGAAATGAAATAGAACTGGTTCTTAATAATCAACGAATATGTAGTGAATACCTTTCAATCGGAGTTTGCAATATACCGTGTACAATGAGTTTAATACAACCCATTCTACTTACTGTAACTTGTTCTTCTTTGCATCAATATAGCTTAATAGTAAAGCATAATCAGAGGTCATTTTCCTCTTATATCAAACCTGTCTATTCCACTGTTACTATCCTTTGCAAAAATGAAATTTCCAGACATCAACGAGTGTGCACCGGCACCATGCCAAAATGGAGGTACATGCGTTGATCTCGTTGGAAGCTTCCGCTGTGATTGCCCGGCGGAGTTCGAGGGAGCAAACTGCGAAAACGCAGCAGGTACTGATTACCTTTATCAATAAACACAATCCTTAAAGTTTGTCTCCATAATCTGCATGTCAGTTTAGAACTCGAGACAACTTCGGACCGTGATTCATCGTGGCTTCATTGTTGATAATCTGCTTCCTTAAAACTCACAGACATTTCATGTGATAGGAACAGAGCATTTTAATGTGGTTGAGTCTGCAGCTGAAAATTTTGCTTTTTGATGTTAAGCTGATGAAAAAAGACATTGGAAAAAAAAAACTATAGTCAAAGAATAAAGGGCAAAAAGAGACTCCCCTCGTATCTGTATTTCTAAAAATGACTACTTGTTGAATCAATGAAGTGGGGTAATATAATCATGAACAAAAGAGGTGAGTTTTGTTGTCTAGATTAATTATGATAACTAATCACATTTAATGTATATCTGATTGCCTATCGTTTTATTCCTTTATTATCACGGAAGAGCATATAAAAATATTTCTTTTCAAAACCTTATCCTTTAGAAAACGGAATAGAGGAGTGCGAAATGTAACGTGATTACTCTCAGTGAAAGCCATATACAGGTAAATCTGTGATTGCAATATGTGAAAGAGTTTCGAGCCTGTTTGTGTATTAAACCTTTAACCCCTTAGAGTGACTAGCATCTAATTTCTTTTTGCACTATCAAACCTGAACCAAACATGAAGGTCACGAGGATAAAGAAAATGGATCAATATCAGTATCTGGGCAACTGTCCACCTACCCCTCCCCTTAACTCAACAACAGTCAATTGACAACAAGTTAAGGTTAATGTTGGGTTAGGGGAGAGGTAGGTGGGCAGTTTCCCAGATACTGATATTAATCCAAGAAAATTATCTTCAACCAGAGAAGCTCCTCATTGTAAAACAAATTTTCTTCGTCAACACCTTTGGAAATGTATGGAGAACAGTTTAGAGAATACGCTTATTTCTTCCCTCTCCAGCAGAGAAAGCTGTAATTTCATTCGCTAATTTCTGTTCAATAATTAGAATATCATGTCGACGACGACGATGACGATAACGATGATGATATTAGGAAAAATTCGCTCTTCTTGAACCTATTAGAACTGAACTTAAAGCAGAAATTACGTGTAAAGGTGTTGCTTATGACAGGTAATACTATCATCATGGTTAATTTTATGACATCAAAAATGATCAGTGCCACCCTAAGGGACAAAGATGTTACAAGATAGGTTTGATGATTGCTGCTATTATGTTTTTTCCCTGTTTTTCCTTCTTATTTTCACTTTTTGTTCATTTTATCTTCTCCAGGAATGACCAGTTATTGCCACTCAGTATAGGTCAGACATAGATGGAAAATATATCACGAGTGTTTAGAAAATCCTCTACTGTAGCATTATCAAAAACGTGTATTATGTTAACGATAAAATGGCTTTTAAAATCAGATCTCGTGTTGTTGTTTTTGCCGCTACTGTCATCTGAAAAGCTCTGGGTAGCTATAGTAAAAACCTTACTTGTTTCTCCCACTGCTTTATTCCTAACGGGAAATATCAGCCACCGTTACGGTAATTTCCTTAATTTAAGGGAGCTAAATTGTACACAAGAATTATGCAAAAAAACAAACAAAAAACCAAAAACAAAAAAAAAATTTATATATATAGGTCATTGTGCTCATTCAAGACTTAAAGACAATCGTTCCTCTTTACCTGGTCTGTTGATTGAAAAACAATACCATAACCTAGGAATGCGCGCGCTTGTTCGCCTGATTACGTTATTTTTATGCGTAGTAGAGGGTGCGCCATGCAATACTGAGGAACACTTTAAAGAAAACGTCTCGCCTCAGTGACTAAAAGCGAGCGTAGGGACTAAGTTGTCGTCATTTTCACTTAGATTATGCCTAAAGAAGAAGTGTTCCCAGAAGATATACACAACCAGATAATTAAATTTCTAAATATCTCATTGCTGCTTAGCTTTCAATTAGCACTTACGTAATGTGGCATAGTCACAATAAGCGCCTTAATTTTTTAAGGAAGCCTTGATATGTTTTTCATTTATTTTTGGTGCCGCAAAATTAAAAAAAAACTTTTAAACCTTGCGAGCGAAGGCACCCCGCCTTAATACAGCTTAACTCACAGAATGTCCCCATACAGTTGGAAAATAATCCTTACCAGCGACAATATTATGAATAAAGATGTTTCATCCCTTTAGATTCGAAGAGTTGCTGAGTGCAGAAGCAAACAATAATTCGTGGTCTTACATATTTGTATTTCAAATGTATATTTCCTCACTTTAAGTTCTTGCAGGTACTTAAACAACATTTCACCTCTGCGAGGGATCTTGAAAGTCACGACGCCTCAACATGCTTAAAATGATTCCATTCTCATGAATGCACTTCCCTCGCTTTTAGTCTTTAAAGGTGCAAATGATCTTGCCAGCTTAGAAATTTCTATGCCTTCACATGCTCAAAGGATTTCCTTCTCTTAAATCGAAATTTTGAAAATGTGATGATATTGACAATAGTAGGTAGTAAACTAATTAATTTCTTTATTTTTCCACGTAGTTATTCCCTTGTCTCAGCTTGAAGGTTAGAGGCTTAACTGTCACTTACTGTCACTTAAGTATCTAATTTGTCACCTAGGTATTTTCTCAGTGTTTATTTAGGAGATCGATAACCACATTCGGCGTGATTATGCGACTCGCGTAACCATCGTAATCGAGCCAATTTGAGTATTCTAACTGAATTCGCCCCTTAAGTTTGGTAACTGAAAGAAATAAGCTAGCCTTTGAACTTTGACAGTCAGGAAATCAAGATGACTTAACAAGCTTCAAATTGTCTCATTTCCAAAAAGTAAATTATAAAATCATGTTAACATTATTTAATTAACTGTCAGCTATTTATTCACCTGACTAAGCGTGTGAACTTCACAGGTGTTATTTACACAGAAATTACCAACTTTCTTTTTTGGTTCCTTATAAATCAAATTAAAAAATATTCTCTTCGCGCAGATCGTAACGTCCTGGGAGCAGAGCTTGGAAGGTATGTTTTCCTTTGGTATAAGTTCGCGAGAATGTTCGTATGAAGTCTTTCTTACATCAATGTATCTGTAGTCACCATAAGGGATTCCTACAGGTTTTTCCTTAATCTTCAGAGGTTTGTGATTCGGGCAATTTCGCATTGGCTTCATTGAGCTCTTTCAGTAAAGATTTGGATCGAAGAGCTAGTGAAGTAAGATGCATTTAGTGAGTCCGTTTAAAGACAAAATAGATGCTCAGTGACTAAAAACGTCTGGAATGTCGCAAATGTGAAATTCGCGGACTGTTGATGAGATAATTTTTCTTTTCAACTATCCTCACTGAGCAATGTCCTGCTTCGACTTAGACTGAAAAAACGTTTTAGCTAGTAATTTACATCTCTTCCACGTAACATTATTTTTTTTTCACCGATCATCTTAGAAGTCACTCGAAGAATACTGAACTCTTCGGGACTGGTCATTAGAGACCTTTATCAGTTAGGACGGCAACGCTAAGGAAGACGCCGATTCAAAAATGAAAATATATTTGTAGTTGGAATCTCGCGAATGATTGGATGTATTCAGAATAACATATGAGAGGGAAGGTTTCCTTTTCTGGTGACAGGGCAGTGGTCATTGAAAGTCTTGAATTTTATTCCCAGACGAGGAGGATAACTAACTCCTCCCCTCCTCTTACGCTAGCTCCTAGTCTTCAATATTTCAAGAATGTTCTGCGGTCAATTGTTAACCAGTTAAGTAAACTAAATAAGTGGCGATTAATAGTACGAGTTAACAATCAATGACGCTGCTGCAGGATTCCTTTTCAATCATTTTGTCTGCTCTTAAAATGTCTGCATTTTTTGTTTTTTTTAATTTAGGTACATCAACTGGGAGCATATTAAAAGCGCAATGGAAGTTCTTTACTCCTTGTTGATCATTCTTTTAATGGCTGACACCTGCTGCAGCCAGACCTGCTCGAATGCAAATTGGTGGCATACTTTTGACCGAGAGGGATGGTCTTATTGTGATCACAAAAATCAATACATGACTGGTCTTTGGAGGAATGATGCTAAAGGTTCAGATGATGGTATCTATCTCATAGAGTATGCTAAGTGTTGTGTTGCGCCTTACGGCATGAAAGATGTACCAGCATCCTGCAAGACAGCCAACTGGTGGGGAGTTCTTGATAGGTAATTTGGCAAAAAAATTTTTAGGCTCTTTTCATTCTTACGTTAAAAAAACAATTATTACCTTTTGTTGCATTTATGTTTTTATTTTCTACCTCATTTTCCTTTTTTTTTTCTTCGCGATAGCACTAACACGTGGGCAACCTGTCCAGATGGGTATTTTATGGGAGGTCTTTATAGGACAGGGAAAAACCATTGGCTGCATAACATCGAAGAGGCTCGATGTTGTAAGCCAGAGGGCTTGCCAGATAAATATGCAGACTGCTATAATGAGAATGTTTGGGGTTCGTTTGATGGTAAAGGACTTAGCGAGTGCAAGCGAGAGGGCTACTATATGGCTGGAATATTCAGAGGGAAATGTGACAAGCTGTACTGTCTTGAAGAGTTTAAATGTTGTCGAATGATAGGTAAATGCGATGATATCATAACTTATATAATAAGCTGGGATTATGCATGGTAAAGCCATCATGGTCTCTATTCATACAAGCCAGCTTAAATCCAATGTTCAAGGTGTTACGCTCCACTCTTGCGTACTTCTTTGATGTCAAATTATCCTATTACAGCTCCACACATGACTACACACTGTTCAGTAACTGTTTGATAAACTAAAATTATTCCCTCTTATTTTAATGCAAATCCATTAATGAGGAAATCAAGACATTTCTTCTTCTTTCCTAGCTATTGAAGGCCCGCCTATCCAAGCTGATGAAACAAAAAGCAAAGAGTAATTCCCAAAAACCAGGTAAATTTCATTGCTTTTATCCCTTTTCCTTTGACTTTGGGTTCTTTTTAAATGCAATGAGTTCAAGTTCTCTGAAAAGAGGAAAAACATTGTTAAAGACTTTGTGTGACGTAAGGCTCATAACTATAAAAACCATTTCTGAATGAACAATTGAAAAAGGAATAAAATATGATAAATCATTCAAATAAATGGGGCGAGCTCAATCATAGAGTTTTGAGTATAATCATATTCAGGTTTCCTCTCTCTCTTCCAGATTCGGCGTGCGGTAGAGGCTAAGTGATGGGTTAGATGGAAATTGTTAGCGCAAAAGTTTTAAACGTACGTCTACCATATGGAAATAGTGTTGCATGACATCAACAATAAACGTGTTGTTAGTTCAAATTTCGTTTTAGGACTGTTGTTTTACTTTATGTATTCCTACACCTGAACGTTGTAACCCTTGGTCGTGTCTTTTCAAAGACAGCGGTCAAACTTTGGCGCATGTGTGAACTTGTGATAGCAGGTGGCTTTCAGGCCTCTCATAAGAGTCATGAAAACTATTTAACCCCCTTACAATGACCAGAATTGCGGTCTAATTTCTTCTTGAAGTGAAAAAGCAAGCACTAGAGTGAAAATGAAATGAATATCCTTTTAAGAAGCTCTTGAATTTCCTGAAAAGTATCGAGAACAGTGTGAATCGTATGAACATCGATGTTAGGGTAAAAACATTTTTTTTGATACCGGTCAAAACAAAATTTGATTAACAGATACCCACCAAGAAAAAAGCTTTATGTTCGGGAAGTCTCGAGTTTTTCTTTTACCCAACCATTTTTTCGTTAGGCGAGGACCTAACAGCTGCTGTTCAGCAAATGAGCCGACTCTTTCCCCTCTCCTCTCGAGCGGATTCAAAAGAGCGGCTGTTTTCGAGTCTGGTACATTTTGGTTTGCCAGGGTAACGCAACAGTTGATCTGAGGAAGTCGAGTGGAAGCCTCTTACGTGGGTTTCATTGGGAATGAGATTTAGTCTTTTTCATTTCCTTTTGAGAAAAGAAATTATCAATTTGAGCAAAGCGAACTTATTTGTCAACAGATATTGCCTCGGATTGAATATTTCATATCACTTTCTCCAAATTAATAAATTTCTTTTTTTTTTTTCAAGAGATTTTCATGTTCCAACTAACATCAAGTTTTCCTTTTTGGGACATTAATCCTTCTTATTTTATTTTTGTTCATTTTATCATCTCCAGGATATCATTGCAATACAGTATACAGACAACAGTTACGATAACAAAACGAATAAATTTATCAACTTTGTTGAATATCCAAGGTGTAAAGGTATCAATATCGTCCAAATGTATTAGATATAACGATCCATGTAAGAACGGAGTCAAATGTGTCAACCTCCCAGGAAACTATCGCTGCGATTTTAAAACTGGATACACTAGAAACAACTGTGAAACGGGTGCGCAATTACCTTTGATTACTCAGTTAGTTAGTTAACGCTAGTAAGTTAGGTACCGGGTAAAGGGGTTTATTTGAAAAGAAATTGAGGTACTACGTTGCCAGAGCGAAAATAAGTTAGATGCACTAGTTACGAGTCACTTACTCATTATATCAATTATGACTATATAATATACAATAAGTCCTTTTTTTTGTTATATAATGTACACGATTTTCCCAAAGAGGTCACGCTAAAAAATACAACAGATGTTTATTCATTATATTTGACTCAGCATTCTTTTTATGTACGCTTTTTAATTTATTTGCGAAAGAAGCCTTATGAAAGAAACATGAAAGAAGAAACAACTAAATGATGAATAATGAAATAAAAGGACAAGAGACATCTTTAACTACTTCAACATAAAAATATTAAAAAGCTCAAGAAGTCTCAACCAAGCTGTGTTCTATTGCAAAGCACGCAGGAAGCGGCTAGAGCAGTAAGAATTCAAAGGGAAACACAAGACATTGTTGAGTGAAAAGAAGATAAAAATTAAAACAGCGCTAAAAGGGAACTTTCTGGGTGAATCGCTGCGATTGTATACCTGGATACAGAGGAAACAACTTTTAGATCTGTGTCGAATTACTGCATTTTGAACCCTTTTGCTTCAAATATATTATTTGAAGAGCTGAAAAGGGTTATGTCCAAAGCAACCTTTAATGTGGGGATTGGATTGGATATTAAATGTACTTTCTTTTATTTTCAGACATTGATGAACGCTCGACCAATCCGTTTCAAAATGGAGCTCTCTCTCTTCTCACACTATCGACATGAAGGTCATGAAAATCATCGTCAACCAAAGAAGCTCCTCACTGTAAAACAAATGTTCTTCGTCAGCACCCTGGGAAATGTATGGAAAACAGTTTAGAGAGAATACGTTTATTTTTCCCTCTCCAGCAGAGAAAGCTGTAATTTCATTTGCTAATTACTGTTCAATAAGTAGAATAACATGTCGACGACGACGATAACGATGGCGATGATGATGATGATTAGGAAAAATTCGCTCCTCTTTAAGCCATTAGAATTGAGCTTAGAGCAGAAATTATGTGTAAAGGTGTTGCTTGTGACAGGTAATACTCTCACCATGGTAAATTTCATGGCATTAAAACTGATCAATACCACCTTAAGGGAAAGAGATGTTACAAGATAGAGGTGATGATTGCTGCTATTTTGTTTGTTTGATGCTATTCCTTCTAATTTTCATTTTTGTTCATTTTATCATCTCCAGGATATCATTGCAATACAGTATAGGTCAGACATAGATGGAAGATATAGCGCAAGTGTTTAAAAAATCCTCTACTATAGCATTATCAAAATCCTTTTATTATGTTAACGATAAAATGGCTTTTGAAATCAGATCTCGTGTTGCTGTTTTTTCCGCTGCTGTCATTTGAAAAGCTCTGGGGCAGCTGCAGTAAAAACCTTATTTGTTTCTCCCACTGCTTATTCCTAACGGAAAATATCAGCCACCGTTGCGATGATTTCCCCAATTTAACGGGGGGGGGGGGGGGGGGGGTAAATTGTACACCAAATTATGCCAAAAAATTATATATATATATATATAGGTCACCGCGCTCGTTCAAGAGCTAAAGACAATCGTTCCTCTTTACCTGGTCCATTGAGTGAACAATTAAACAATTCCGTGTTCTCGGAATGTGCGTGCACTTCTTCGCCTGATTACGTTACTTTATGTGCAGTAGAGGATGCACGTGCAATACTGAGGAATCACCTTAGAGAAAACGTCTCGCTCTAGTGTCTAAAAGCGAGCGTAGGGACTGAGTTGTCGTCATTTTCACATACATTATGAATAAAGAAGCACTGTTCCTAGAAGGAACACGATTAGATGATCAAATTTGTAGCGTTACCATCCTTTGCCCCAAAAACCCTTTTAACTACGGTTATCGTTGATTTCGAAATAACTTATTGCTGCTTAGCTTCTAAAGCACTTACGTGATGTATTATAATTGCAACAGAGCCTTTAGGGAGCCTTGATATGTTTTTCATTCATTCTTGGTGATGCGAAATTAAAATAAACTTTTGAACCTTGCGAGCGAAGGCCTAAAGCTCCCCGAATATCCCCATACAATGAGATAATAATCCTTACCAGTGACAATGTTATAAGTTGAGATATTTCAGCCCTTTTAGATTCGAGTTGAAGCAAACAATAATTTTGAGGTTTTTTTTCTTGGTATTTGAGTACATATTTGTATTTCGAATGAATTTTTCTTCATTTTAAGTTCTTGTAGGTGCTTAAAAAACGTTTCACCTCTGCGAAGGATCTTGAAAGGTTAGAAGTCACGACGCCTCAACATGCTTAAGATGATTCCACTCTCATTAATGCACTTCCACTCGCTTTTAGTCTTTAAAGGAGGAAATGATCTTGTCAGCTTAGAAATTTCTATGCCCTCGCATGCTCAAGGATTCCCTACTCTTAAATCAGAATCATCAAAATATAATGATATTGATAGTAGTGGGGAGTAAATTAATCATTTTCATTATTTTCCACGTAGTTATTCCCCTGCCTCAGCTTGAAGGTTAGAGGCTTAATTATTGTAGCTTAAGTATTTATTTTTTCGCCTATTTTCATTCATGAGATCGATAACCACGGACGGTTTGTTTATGCTACTCTGTGTCCATTGCAATCGTACCAAATTGAGCATTCTAAATATATTCTCTCCTTAAGTTTTTCCACAAGTTAAGAAATCAAGACGACTTAACAAGCTTTAGATTGTCTCATTTCCAAAAAGTAAATTATAAAATCATGTTAACGTTAGTTTAACTGTCAGCTATTTATTCACCTGACTTAGCATGTGAACTTCACAGGTGTTATATACACAGAGATTGCCAACTTTCTTGCCTGGTCCGATATAAATCAAATTAAAAATCTACACTTCGTGCAGATCGTAACGTCTTGGGAGCAGAGCTTGGAAGGTATGTTTCCCTTTGGCATAAGTTCGCGAGATTGTTCGTATATAGCCTTACTTCCTTTTATCAGTGTATATGCAGTCATCATAGGGAACTCCATCAGGTTTTTCCTCAATGTTGACCGATATATTTCATTTAGAGTGACTTCAGTCTTAGAGACAGGAGTTCAGTAACTTAAAATGTCTGGAATTTCGCAAGTGTGAAATCCACGCCTTTTGGTGCTATTATTTTTAAAACCATCTTCACTGAACAATGTCAGGCTTTGACTTAGAGCGAAAAACCGTTTGAACAAGTAATTTACATCTCTTCGTTTTTCTTGCCTCATTACTCTTTTAAATAAGATAATTTTTTTTTCACCGATCATCTTGGAAGTCAGCCGAGGAATAATTCTTTCATTCTGGTCATTCATGTATCACCTGCGGAAGTCGGAAGATTTTGGCTCTGTCAAGACAAAATTTATCCGATCCCCCCAATAGGGCTCTTTCATATTTTTATGACCCCCCTCCTCCCTCACTGGTGGTTAACTTGCAGTCAACTGTCTATAGTGCCCTATAAACAGTTGAAGGATTACTGACCCTTCCCCTCTTCCTTAGCTAACTCCCAGTCTTCAATTTTGCAAGAATGTTCTTCGGTCAATGGCTGATCAGTTCAGAAATCTAAATAAGCGGCGATTGATAGTATGGGTTAACAATCAATAACGTTGCTGCGGGATTCCTTATTAATCATTTTGTCTGTTCTAAAAATGTGTGCATATTTTGTTGTCTTTTTAGGGACGTCAACTGAGGGAATATGAAAAGCGCAATTTACTCCTTGTTGATCATCCTTTTTATGGCTGACACCTGCTGCAGCCAGACGTGCTCGACTGCAAATTGGTGGATTTCTTTCGACGGAGAGGGATAGTCTTACTGTGACCACAAAAATCAATACATGACTGGTCTTTGGAGGAATGATGCTAAAGGTTCAGATGATGGTATCTATCTCATAGAGTATGCTAAGTGTTGTGTTGCGCCTTACGGCATGAAATATGTACCAGCATCCTGCAAGACAGCCAACTAGTGGGGAGTTCTTGATAGGTAATTTGGCAAGGAATTTTTAGGCTCATTCATTCTTACGTTAAAGAGATTAATACCTTTTTTAAGTTTTTATTTTCTACCTCACTCTTCTTTTTTTTTAACGATAGCAATAACAAGTGGGCAACCTGTCCAGATGGATACTCCACGGGAGGTCTTTATAGGACAGGAGACGACCCTTGGCTGCACAACATCGAAGAGGCTCGATGTTGTAAGCCAGAAGGCTTGCCAGATAGATATGCGGACTGCTATATTGAAAATGTTTGGGGTTCGTTTGATGGTAAAGGACTTAGCGAGTGCAGGCGAGAGGGCTACTATATGGCTGGAATATTCAGAGGGGATTGTGACAAGCTGTACTGTCTTGAGGAGTTTAAATGTTGTCGAATGATAGGTAATTAAAACGCGATGATATCATAAAGCGGGTTGATCATCGTGGGGAAATTACCGCGGGTGAATATGCTGGGATAATAGCAAGGTATCGTGGTCATTATTCATACAAACCAGCCTAAATCCAATGTTCAAGGTGCTACGCTCCACTCTTGCATACTTCTTTGATGTCAAATTATCCCATTACAGCTCCACACATGACTGCACACTGTTAACTATTTGATGAATTCGAATTTAATCTCACTTATTCTAATGCAAAGCCATTTTGTGGAGCTCAAGACATTTCCTTTACTTTCTTAGCTCTTGAAGGCCCGCCCATGCAAGCTGATGAAACAAAAAGCAAAGAGTAATTCCGAAGAACCAGGTAAATTTTAATTCTTTTATCCCTTTTGCTTTGACTTTGGGTTCTTTTAAATACAATGAAGTTTTCTCTGAAAAGAGGAAAAACATTTTTAAAGACTTTGTGTGACGTCATGCTCGTAACTATGGAAATCGTTTCTGAATAAACAATTGAATAAGGAATTAAATTTGACAAATCATTCAAATAAATAGGGCGAGCTCAATAGTAGAATTCTGAACATAATTTTATTTAGGTTTCCTCTCTCTCTTCTAGATTCCGCGTGCGGTAGAGGCTAGGTGAAGGGTTAGATGGAAATTGTTAACGCAAAAGTTTTGAACGTACGTCTATGATATAGGAACGGTGCTGCATGGCATCAACAATAAACGTAATGTTACTTCAAATTTCGTTGTAAGAATGTTGTTTTACTATAAGTATTTCTAAACCTGCACGTTATAACCTTGGTCGTGTACAGCGGTCAAACTTCTGTGCATGTGTGAACTTGTAATAGCAGGTGACTTTCAGGCTTCTCATAAAAAAAAAAAAAAATTTTCTTGATAACGGTCGCAACAAAAGGTCGATCATCAGATACCCACAAAGTAAAAAGCTTTATGTTCGGGAAGTCTCGAGTTTTCCTGTACCCAACCATTTTTGTAAGGCGAGGACCTAGCAGCCGCTGTTCAGCAAATGAACCGACTCTTTTCCCCTCTCCTCTCGAGCGGATTCAAAAAAGCGGCTGTTGTCGAGTGTGATACATTTTGGTTTACCAGGGTATCAAAATTTGATCTGAGGAAGCCAAGTGGAAGGCTTTTTTTTTTTTTTTTTTTTTTTAATTCTCATTCTCTTCCTCTCAAAAGAGGAACACCATAAAATATACGTGCACCACTTCTGTCAAACATAATCAATTTATTATCACTGTTTACGAGGGTTTCGTTAATCCTTTTCATTTCCTTTTGAGAAAAGAAAAAGTTTCAATTTGAGCAAAGCAAACTTATTCGTCAACAGGTATCACTTTCACCAAATTAGTTTAATTCTTTTTAAGAGATTGTCATGTTCCATTGTCTCTTCCGAGATTTAGGATCCTCAAATACAACCTATCAAGATAACATTTCTATAACCCAAAGTTATGCTGAAAATATCCAATTTGATGATAATAAGATTGGCAACAGAACCTGATATCGCTGTCGAGCTAAAACATCCACGACGAGATGCGATTTCTTCTCAAAAAAAAGAAAGACAATGTATTTCATGAAGTCCATTTTGTAATTTCCCATTTAGTATAACATCGAAGTAAAGACCATTTCCATTTTATTCATTTCTTCGTTCAATCTAAAGATAAAATTTTGTATGCAGTGACTGATATCTCGCCTTCGATGGTGTGCTCTACAATAACGATAACAATTACGATGACAAAAAGAGCAATTTATCAAGCATTGTTGAATATCCAAAGTATAAAAGTATCAGTATCGAACATAGTGCAATTGAACATAGTCATACGGCTTCATGGCTGGAATATGCATAGACGATTTTGACTTGCTACATTGTCTTGAAGAGCTTAAAAGATGTAAAGAATTTCAATAGTAAGTAATCTCTCTTATTTATTACTTTATTTCATATAATTTTATTCATTTCTTTCTTTATTTCATTTTATTTTAATTTTTTGATAATCCTATGGTCTCACCTCTGCGAGGGATCTTGCAGGTTAGAAATCACGATGCGTCCTTATGCTTTGGGTGACTCCATTTCCATAAAAGCATTTTCCTTTGCTTTTATTTTTTAGAGGAGCCGATACAACGTTTTACTTTTGCAAATGATCTTGCCAGCTTAGAAAATGGTACTCCTTAACAGACACGAGATGATCTCATTCTCACTGTAAAAAGTAACAAAATTGCAGTAGGTAAGAAATTTTTACTAAAATCATCAGTTTGGCACGCTGTTAATCACTTTCTCCAGCTTAGAGGTTAGAAACCTATATATTAGCCCAAGTGATTTGTCACATTTTTTATCACTTGTATTGGATTGTTATCTTAGTTTCAGGTTTTCATTAATTACTTGAAAGATCATTTTCTACAGGTCTATGCGACTTATCTACATGACCATTACAATCGAAAGCATTTAAGCGCTATAAATGCGCTCTCTCTTAAGTAGAGTTAGTTTGATCATTAAGGGAGCTAGGCCAGCGTTTTAAGAAGGATCTTGGCGGTTGAGAAATCATGATGCTTTAACAAGCTTCAGATTGTCTTATTTTCAAAAAATTAATTAGAAAACCTTGAAAGTGTTGATAATGATGATTAAAAATTTTATTAGCCATATTAAATTGTCAGCTCTCTATTTATTCACCTGCCTTTTATTATGAACCAGATAAGTGTTATTTACGCAGAAATTGCCAATTTTACTTCTCGTTCGAAATAAATCAAATTGTCAATAAATACTTCGCGTAGAATGTCCCAAGTGTAAATCAAAGTAAAGCTTGGAAGGTAGGTTTCTCTTCGGCATAAACTTGCGAGATTGTTCGTATGTTGTGATCTTAGCTTCTATGTATCCGCAGTGATAATACATGACACCCACAACTTTTCCCAAGATTTTGACCCATGTATTCTGTTAAGAATAACTACAGATATCGAGGTTCGCGTGACAGCCAATTTCGCATGGGCTACATAGAGCTCTTTCATTCGAAGCGAAATGGCAAAGTGAGTAATCGAAAAATTAGTAAGTGAAATGGCACAAAGTAAGTTCAGCAATTAAAAACTTATGGAATCTCAAACGTGTGAAATTCATAAACTGTTGAGATTATTTCTTTAACTATTTCAATTGAGGAATGTTAGGCTTTGACTCACAGCCATTTCTGAAAGTTATTTAGATCTCTTCTTTCCTTCTAACAACAGGAGTAAAACAAAAAATGATCAATTGAATTTCCGTACTCTCGTTAAATTTGAGAACTCTTTGATAGAAGGTTTAGAAGTCACACGAAGAATGTCTCTTACAGCTGGCTAAATCTATGAATTAACTACTTAAACTCACATAAAGTACCATTTGTGTTGCTAGAAATGGCATTCTTAGAAAGAAAATAACTCCTTAGCATAGAATTATGAGGTGTGAAGTTCCGATAAGTCAACGAAAGTGTTTCGCACCGCTCGTGATACGGCAATGGTCATCGCAAGTCTTGAATTTTATCTTCAGACGTGAAGGTTACTGACTCCTATCATGGTAAAAGAAACAGATGTATAGAACCCACCATGTATTCAATATCTTGAGAAACATTTTTCCGTCAATGCAAACCAGTTACTAAGTAATCTACTCAAGTGGCGATTGATAGTAGGGGGTAAAAAATCAAAAGCGTTGCTGGAGGATCTCTAGTTTTGTCTCTTGAATAGATTGTTATTCAGTTTCCTACCGAGGAAGTGTTCTCACAAAGAATGCCTTTTTATATATAGGTACGTCAACTGAGAGCATATGAGACGCATCATGGAAGTTCTTTACTCCTTGTTGATCATTTTTTTTATGGCTGACACCTGCTGCAGCCAGACGTGCAAGAATGCAAATTGGTGGCATACTTTTGACCGAGAGGGATGGTCTTATTGTGACTCCGAAAATCAATACATAACTGGTCTTTGGAGGAATGATAACAAGGGGTCAAATGATGGTATCTATCTCATAGAGCATGCTAAGTGTTGTTTCGCCCCTTACGGAGTACATGCGCAAGACATACCAGCATCCTGCAAGAAAGCCAATTGGTGGAAAGTTCTTGATGGGTAAGTTGGCGAGAAGTTTTAAGACTGTATTATTTCGTGGTTAAAAATCAAAACTTTTTGCCACATTGAAGTCTTTAATTCTTACCTAATTTTCTTCTTCTTTTTCTATTTTTTATATAATTTTTTTTGCTGGATAGCACCAACAAGTGGGCAACCTGTCCTGATGGATACTTCATGGGAGGTCTTTATAGGACAGGGAAACACCATTGGCTGCATAACATCGAAGAGGCTCGATGCTGTAAGCCGGTGGGGTTGCCAGAAAAATATGCAGATTGCTATGATGAGAATGTTTGGAGCTCGTTTGATGGTAAAGGACTTAGCGAGTGCAAGCGAAAGGGCTACTACATGGCTGGAATATTTAGAGGGGAATGTGACAAGCTGTACTGTCTTGAGAAGTTTAAATGTTGTCGAATGATAGGTAATTAAGACGTGAAGACATTGTACAGAACGTAAATTATCGCGGGTCAAAAATCTGGGATGATAGTAAGGCTTCCATTGGAACAAACCAGCTTTGATTCAATGTTCAAGGTGCTTTACATAACTTCACATTGTTAATTATTTTGTAATTCCTCTTACCCTCGTACAAAGCCATTGACGAGGATTTCAAAATATTTGCTCTTCTTTCCAGAAATTGAAGGTACGCACAATCAAGCAGATGAAACAGGCAAAGAGTGATTCTCAAAAACCAGGTAAATTCTATTGCACTTCTTTGTTTTGCTTTGAATTTTGATTGTTTTGGTTGTTTGATCTGCAAGTTTGATTTCTGTTCAATTAAATGGTTTTTTTCCGCAAAAAAGGAACAACATTTCAGAGACCAAAGGTATCATCAGGCTCAAAATAATGATGAATTTGTCGTGAAGTCTCACTTAGCTTCTCTGCGGCAGAGCGACATAATCGAAATCTTTGCATTTGTTTTATTATCTTTGATTTTTGTACTATTACAGAAGGGAATGCAAAGTATAAAAAGCAAGTAAAGACAAACTTTAAAAAAATGAATCAGCTCATAATAAAACGTAAAAAAGTAAATATACGCCGAAAGTGTGCTTTCGTGTTGCTAACAGGAAACATGGTTTCGATATCTCGAAAATCGTTCTCTTTATGGACAAATGACCAAGTAATTAATTAGAGTTCATCAAATAAATAGGGCGAATTCAATCATAGAATTTTGAATAAAACTATATTAGGGTTTCTTCTTTCTCTTCTAGATTCGGCGTGCGGTAGAGGCAAGGTGATGGGTTAGATGGAAATTTTAAAGTTTTAAACGCATGTCGATTGTAGGGAAACAATATTACGTGGCATCAACAATAAAGGCATTGTTACCTCTACTTTCCCCTTGAGACTGAGGTTAATCTTATTACTTATCACTACACCTGTACGAAGTTCGAATATGACCTGTGGTAAACGCCATACATCCGCTCTTTAATCAGCAATATATTATTAAAATTGATGGAAAAAAATTGACAAAATCATTCAGCGAGCGTGCCAGGGTGGCCAAAAAAAACCTACGAGATAGGCAAGAGCGTATATTTTCAAAAACAGCGGTCAAACGTCTGCGCATGTGTGAACGTACAATAACAGGTGGCCAGCCTTCAGCTTGTCTTATTGGAGACAAGAAAATTATTTAACCCCTGACAGTGACCAGTATCTCATTTCTTCTTAAAGTGTGACTGTTTAAGCAAACGCTAGGGTCATCAGATTAAATGAAATAAATACCCTTAAAATAAGCCCTTAAATTCTCCTGAAAAGGATCGAGAGCAGTGCAAAGAATATGCACACCGATGTAAGGGTGAAAACAACTTTCTTGAAAAAGCTCAAAAAAAAAAAAAATACCCATCACTTTTCTTAGGCGAGGACCTAGCAGCCGCTGTTCAGGAAAAGGAGCCCACGTTCCTCCCCCTCTCCTCTCGAGTAAACTCCAAAGAGCGGCTGTTGTTGAGTCTGGTGCATTCTATTGTTTGCCATGGTATCAATATTTGATCTGAGAAAGCAGCTGAGGGTGACAGCCTTTTCCCCTTTTTTTTTCTGATTTTTTCTTTTTTTCTCATTCCCTTTCTGTCGAAAAAGGAACACCATAAAAATACACGTATGCCACTTTTAATCAATTTATTTTCGAAATTAACGCGACTTTCATCAAGGATAACATTTTACTTTTTTCATTTCCTTTTGAAACAGGAGCATTTTCAGCTTAAACAATGCAAATATATTTGGTAACCGTTATTGACTCAGGTTGAATCTACCATATTACTTTCGTCGAGTCAATTGTAAAATTGTCTAAGAGATTGTCATATGACAAACATCAGGTTTTCTCTTTTGAGACATAAGTACCTATCATCCTGCTTAACAGGTGAATACACGCTCCGAAACCCTCAGAAATATCATCTTCTTCCTGCCGAAATTGAAAATTGAAGTATCTCTTCAGGCGCGTGCGTTGTTGTTAGCTACTGTGAGGACGATTGTCTCTTTCCTGGATCTTAGAGCTGAATTCGAAGTGTATTTATAGCTTTCATGGCTTCGTCACAGCGGAGGGTGAGGAAATTACAGTGTCCCTTTCGAGATTTAAGAATATTAAATACCAACTATCAAAATAAGATTCCCATAGCCCGACGTTATTCTGGAAAATAACTAATTTGATTACGATAAGATGGCCTACAGATGTTGTTGCATAACCGTTCACGATAAGATGCAATTTCTTCTCAAAACTGAAAAAACAAGGAAAAGAAGCCTTCCAGTTTAAGGTTCACGTTTTTAAAACTTTAATCAGACGGCACTGTTTTGCCCCATTGTTTACATTTTTATTTCGCGTTGAGCATGTATTTCATAATTCTATAATTTTCCACTAGTATAACATCGGAGTGAAGTCCAAGGCGTTGATAATGCTTTCTATAACACTGGTGTCGTTCTCTCATTCGCAAGAGGTTGCAGGTAAATTTTAATACTTTGCTGACTTAAAATGTTTCTTTTTCCACTTTCAGTTAATTTCTTTTTAAATCCGTAGATCAATTCTCCGCCATGACGGATATCTCACCTTTTACTGTGTGCAACTGTTGCACCACTCTCTCCGATCTGTTCAAACTGAACCCTAGCAAATACAAAGAAACAATGTCCGATCACTAGTACTGGACACCATAGTGGAAACAGAGGGGAAAAAACAGATGATCAACATAACTTTCCTTAGATTGAAAAATTCTGGGGCCAAAGATAAGTCCACACACTTTGGCGAGAATTATGTGCAGTAGAAAGAGGGCCTGAGATCCGTGGTGGAATTAACGAGTCTGATAATAATGGCAAAAAAAATTGTAATAAGGATGATGGTGCAAAAATCACAAGGATCATGATGATAAAAGTGATAACAATGAAAAAAAAATGACAAACCAGCAATAGTGCTAAAAACGACAACAGTAAAAATGACGATAATAGTTATTGCAATGATTACAATGATAATAGTAATAATGATAATAATAATAATAATAATTATGATAATTAAAATGATGATAACAATAATAATAATAATGATAACTCAATGATAATAATTATTAAAATGATAATGATAGTGGTAAAAATAATAATAATGGTTATAGCAAGGTAAAATAAGTTTGCTTCAATTATGCAGTCCTTAAAAATGTTCTCAGCATTTTCTTATTTTTCCTTCAAAGTGCGCGACTCAGAACCTCAGTCGAAGCAACTCACGCCGATTCCTGAATTCAGGCCAATTGGCTGTTTCGTGGATAGCGGTGCAACACCTCGACCAATCCCCAAGCTGGTTGCTAATTTCCGTGGTAACATTGATTGGCATAATCTGAATAAAACCGTGCTGGAGTGTGCTCGACGAGTCAACTCAAAGGGTTTCCGTTACTTTGGTATTCAGTTTTATGGCGAATGTTGGAGTGGGGAGAATGCTGAACTTACTTATAACAAGCAAGGAACCTCTAAAAACTGCTTCAGAGGCCTTGGAGAGAGAAAGGCCAATTTCGTGTATGCTTTTGTGGTGAAAGGTACAGCTTAATTATCAAATTATAGAATACTGACAGAAATAATTGCTATTCTAACGAGGTCAACATCTTCGGAGCAAAAATTTAGGATAAACTGGAGAGAGATGTTCACTATACTGGAACATTTATTAGGTCTCAGGAATTCTGAAAGGAATGAGGCCAAGATTGAAATATATATGTACACCCTTTCAGACCAAACTATTACAACCAGTAAGATTTAAACTAAATTAAGAAAAAAATGAACTGGGATGATAGAGAAGCTGGAAAATTAGTACCCAGATGTCAGGGCGAGCGTCTTGGCGTGGTAATTAATTTCCGTTTAACATGGTCCTAAACACTTTCAGATGTTTATTTTTCTCTAAAATCTAAGAAGTTGCCGCACTGGTTTCCGTCTTCACAATTACACAATCGTAATTTTTCTCGGAACGGTCCCAAAATTTAATCGTCTAAGATCAATCATGAGGCAACGGTTGCGTGCTCCTGTTAGGGTGAGAAACCGTTATCTGTACCTTAATTATCATTGAAGTTCACGATAATAATAATAATAATAATAATATATAATATATAATAATATATAATATATAAACAATAACATTTCTCTCCCAGAAATAAACGCGCGTCTGGCAAATGGGTCGAGCTCAAGAAGTGGCCGTGTAGAAGTTTTCCACCGAGGAAGCTGGGGCGCAGTGTGCGGCAAAGAATGGGACATACGCGATGCAGATGTTGTGTGCCGTATGTTAGGTTATCCAGGTGCTCTAAATGCCTATCAGGATGCCAGATATAGATCAGGAAAAGGTCGTGTGCGACTTGGAGATGTACAGTGTAATGGAAACGAGGAGAATCTTGCTTTCTGTCCATACAAAGATTACAGCGTCTGCTCACAGTCAGGAGAAGCAGGAGTGAAATGCAGATCAGTATCAGATTCGATCCAACCACGGATACCTTGTAAGTACAGAAAACACTTCAAATCGTATCACGAATAACTTGAAGCTTGCTATGAATTCCTCTAATCTAATTTGCAATTCAATATTCACTTGATGAATATAAAGTTTTATGTTCAAGCTCTACAAGATCTTTCCTGGATTTCTTTTATAACCTGAAAGCAAGCAGATGCTTTCATTAACTCCCAGACTCTATAGAAAACGAAAGCATGAAAGGTACATATAACAAAAGTAAGGAAAACTGGTCTTTCTGACCAAATAATTTCATGTTGCTCCATTGTACAGTGTAAGCCGTTGAGTCAGAAGCTTTGAGTGCGGTTTCTCCTGGGAGATAAAGATTTATCCTGTTTATTTTTCTCTTGGTCCCAATGCTCTTCAGAAAGAAAGGAGATAGAACATATGCATATGTTAACAGACTCTCCCTCGTTTGGAAAATAACACCTGACCTTCGATAGATCAAACAAGCAATTGAGTAAAAGGGGGTAAGGAACAGGAGCGTTACGTCGTTGGGGAATATAAAAATTTGTTTTTTTTTCGATTAACTGAGTTGTTATTGTAAATTGGCCCCTGATAACTGGCGTCAGAGTGACGATGGGCTAACGTTCGAAAAGTCAGCCTTAGAAACTCTCTACGGTTGGCAACTCAGTCCAACTGTTACTATAACAGAAATATCAATTGGAGGAGATACAGACGAGGAGGATAATTTAATTTTATGAACTGTTCTAACATCAATGCCTTTCAAATGTCAGATCGTCTCAGCGGAGGAAATAGTCGCAGTGAAGGCCGAGTAGAGGTTTATCATGATCGGAAGTGGGGAACAATTTGCGACAGAGGCTGGGATCTCATTGATGCAGGAATTTTTTGTCGGATGCTGGCTTACGCCGGAGCCAGGGCCACTCCAAAGTATGGCCAAGGTTCAGGTCCCATATGGCTCAGCGACGTCAAGTGTATTGGGACTGAAGACTCACTCTTCAGATGTGAAAACGCTGGATGGGGAAATGTTGATAATTGTGACCACTCGAATGATGCAGGAGCAGAGTGCTATTATGATTGAGCTAATGCTGCCTCAGAACGTGAATTTTACGCAGACAAGTCAAACAAAAACCTTTAACTTTTTTTTTCGTTTTATTCTTTATTGAGTATTCTAGAAACCTTAGGCTGTTGAGTATTGACTAGCCTAAACATTAGTAAAGATTAAATTTAATCGTTGTTGTTCAGTCTTCTTACCAGCAGTCGGAATTACTCTGGGAATAAAAAATTAAACGTTTACGTTAGTAGCGATAAATAGTTTTACTCTTGGGTTCCAATGTAAATGAAAAGAAAGAAACTCAATTTACCAACATTACTCCCGCAAAAACGCATCGGGCAACCTTCCGGCTTGTTCAGCTTATACACAAAAAACCTGCCGCAGTTTCGCACCTTGATGACTTGATCACGGAAACAGCATTCATTGAGCCAGTGAAAGCAAACTTTTCCATTTACAATTCCGTCACTTACTTTAGGATGAGGGGAGCTTAACCAACCAGTGACTGCTGTTCCGCACTTTTGGGTTGGAACACATTTAGAAGCCATTTTGTCTCCAGCGGGACGCAAGAAGCGATACCATCGTGGGGAGAGGCTATTGTCACAAATGGCTGCCAATCCCTCAGGAGGATCGGACTCGACGGAGCGATCCCTTGTGCTAAGTTGCAAATATTGGAGGCATTCGCTTTCTGTGGCAAGATCGAAGATTTAATGCCGCGGTATTATATTAAAAAATAATAATGATGATTTAAAAAACATTAGTTATCTTGAAAGATTAAGCCAGGTTCGAATTATTTATGTGTTCAGAAAAAGGCACCTTAGGTAAATATAAAGCCAACTAATTCTTTTGCCACGAGTTTTCGCTTTCAGATTCGTATGAATCCTCGCCAAAAATTCGTTTCATTTTGCCATTCATGTTTATGTGAATTTCTTTACTAGGCGTTTCAAAATATTTGTCGGACTCCCCGTTTTCTCCCTCTGACTGAACCCTCTTCCGTTAGCAGTTAACCTGTGAAAACTGCATTTAGTATATCGATGCTTTGCGGCAATTTCTTCATACCCATCTATACATGTATGTATAATCGGTTGGAAGGCAAGGTAAAGATAATCATAACATATGGACACAGAGAAGGCCAATTTGAATCACCGCCACCAATCACGGGTTCGATGACGAAAAGAGACACATAAAAGTAAAAAAAAAATTATAAACAGACAGCCCCACTGACCTTCTCCTACAAATCTGTAAACTAGATTAGCGTGCATGCCGCCGACTTCAGAGGTGCAATGTAGAGACCGACCGTAGCGGTCATACGTTAATGGGGCAGTAGCACCACTCCAGCATTCTCCATAAAACTGAATACTAAAGGAAAAAATCAAAAATAAAAGTGGCAGGTACAATTTTATTGTTATTAATTCTACAGGTCACGCGGTGGTATATTTGCGTTCAGAAAAACAAGACATTTACTAATTCTCTCAATGGAAAATATCCTTAGAAAGCTCCATAAATCTTCAAAAAAATTTTGACTCTCTGTCGACTATTAAAGCAACTCTGTTATTTGAAGAGTCGTTTGTCTATTTAGTTTACCTACCCAAAATACATATAATTCTTTTCTTTCGCTCTCTTAGCACATTTGTCGACCACTTCCATCGTGTTGTTCCAATCAATATTTCCTCGATAATTTGCTATTAGTTCTGGAAGAGCTCTAGCTCTTGGACTCCTCTTGTCCTTAAAACAGCCAACCTTGACAAATTGAGATGCGTCTGTGAAGAAAAGTTTAAACATGTTTCATAAGTTTCTTTTTTCTAAATCAGTTAATATGTGCATTTGCTAGGGATCAATATCTTTCCTGCTTTCGTTTGATTTCATTAATTTCTTTCGTGAAACTAGAAAAGTGTATGAAATCTTTCCACTCGACTGGATAAATGTTCAGCATCCTTTTGGAATTTTTATTTTGTTTGTACATTTGTTTGTCTGTGTTTGTTAACTGACCTTAAGTGATCATGCCCTGGGCTTTTTTATCATATTTTTCAATCAATATTTCCTTTTTATGTTGCAACTTTGACATTGTGCGATGCATTACAGTGTAAAACTTAGAAAATATTATACAACTGTCTTTGTCATCAGTCTCGAGAGTTGTGCAGATTGGGAACTACAAATTTCACAACTGACTCTCGCATGTGTACTTTCTAAGGCTAAGAAAAAAGATGATTTAGTGCCTTTCTATGGTAGGGTAATTAACAAGTTCAGAGCCAACATAGAGACCAACTTAACCGCTCGCAAAAAAAAATTGTTCTACCTAAGTATCGAGAGTATATACATACTGTAATATTATAACCAAATACACCTACGGTGTTTACACATACATACAAGAGCACATGCATACATTTTTTTCTATATTTTTGAAGGATCATGACCGCAATAACCTCCATTTGGCTGGAAAATATGCTCGTAAATTTGTCCTTGGCCATTATCTGCACCTGTAGACTTCGTTTTTGGAAAAGCTGTTAGCTTCTATAGAAATATACATGTCGTGTTCCCGGACAAATCCTTAAAAATATCTCAAGCCAAATAGAGGCTACTATTTACAAATAAATGAATCTGTTCTGTGACCTATTGGGGTTGCAGCGTTAATTTCTAACAAAAAGCTGTAAGAATTATATGAGCCATTCAGCACTCCAAATGGACGTGACCCCGAATAATTAAGCGTGTTGTGTAGTTAAGATTTGACAACTAGAAATAATTACCGAAAAACTGAACTTCTCTAAAGTAACCTAATAACGCAAGCTAGTTTCCACAATTGGAGAAAAGATGCGCTTTTTCCATATTTTTTGCCCATTTCCCTTTTAGTGTTGGAAATGCTTTATATATATATACATATATATATATATATATAAATAAATAAATAAATATTATGAGAGGAAAAAAAAAAAAAAAAAAAAAACGACGCAACTACATATCCCGACAAGCCTGTTTCGTGAATCGATTCACTCTTCAGGGGTTTAATTTAAACCCCTGAAGAGTGAAGCGATTTAATTTAAACCCCTGAAGAGTGAAGCGATTCACGAAACAGGCTTGTCGGGATATGTAGTTGCGTCGTTTTTTTTTTTTTTTTTTTTTTTTTTTCCTCTCATAATATTTATTTATTTATTCTGCTCTGCTTCAACGTATTGAGCACTGTTCCACGCGAAAATCGACTTGCAGACTTCCTATATATATATATATATATATATATATATATATATATATATATATATACATATAATTTTTTTTTTTATTTTCAACTCACGCTATCACCTATGCGGTTCACAGAGAGAATTTCGTTAACCAATGATATTGTAGTAAGTTGTTCGAAAAGCTTATAAACCCGCTGATTACGATTAATCAGGAAAAAAATGTTTTCTCTGCGCAAATGAAAATCTGCATCTAATAACTTCGTTGGATAGTGCTTTTAATATGGTATCTAGCTTCTCATTTCTTTATCAAACTTTTTAAACGTATTTTCTTTTTTTATCGTTATTTTCTTTCTCTTATTCCCTGTATCATTTTAAACGTAAATGCTGATACCTCACGCACGTGCGCTGTCTACATCAAGTCAACCGAGTTGCTCAATCTTCTTATTACAGTGTAAGAACTAACCTGTCACATGGTATTTACTTGAAGCGTGTTTCCAATTTGACATGCTAAGATCTCAATTAGATCTTTGTGGCAGGAATTCATTCAGCGAAAAGTTTGATCGTTCTTTTCACGCAACTTATCCAATTGACAAGTTCTTTATCATTGATGATACTCACGAAGCACCGGAAACATCCTCTCAACCACAGAGATATTTTATGCACTAATCGGATTAAGGTTTTCAAAACATTCGGAGAAATATAACCGATAAACGATGTTATGAATTGTAAGAAAAGGGGTATAATCGGTAAACTAATGTCTGACTGCGAGATTTAACGTTACAGCAATCGACGAGGAGTAGTTCGAACGAAAGTCTAGCTATTTTTTTTTTTTTTTTTTTTTTTTGCTGCGTGAGCTGCCTCGTTAAATTTTCACAAACCCAACTAAATGTCGTAGATCGTTCCTCTTTTGAAATATATCTCTGGATTATCTTTCACCGATACATGTTTTTCCATGACATCATTTATTTGTGAACGTGGATTTTCATGGTTCGTTTAAAACAAAGCCGACTACTACCTTAAGCTTGATTGTGATGTCCTCGAAATTTCAAAACCTAGGACACAAAGAGTAAAATGTTGCACGAACCTGTTAAGCTTAAGCTGTATTCGAGACACAAGAAAGCAACTGCAGCCAAAGTCTTCAATTTCATTGTTGTAGAAGTGTAAGCTGTTTTAGCGCAAGTTTATGAGCGCATTGTTTTCAGCGTCGCAGAAGTAAGCAGAATAGAAAGCTGAAGGTGTTCGATTGGGTTTTTAAATTAACAGCGCTGGTAAATATAAACGCTTCGGCAGCTGTCGCAAGCAATATTGATAAAATATGATTATTTTCACTGACTAGCTTTGAAATGTAAAGGAGGCGTTACTGCTGCTGGTTCAATATTCTACGTAGCTTTCAAGTTACATTCCTTTGTTTGTGTTTAAGAATTGGGCAATATTTATACAACCTCTCGATTTTCTTTAAGCCACATACATGTGGGAGAACGTCTTCACGAAGACACATTATTATGACGAGAGTTGCGATCAAGTTCAAAATCTTAGACTGTAGCGTAGTTGGTAGGACTTTATCGGTCTGAAAACGATGATAGAAGATGTCAATCATCAGACGCCAGAACGAATCAAACCAAGACAAGATTTGTTCCGTTCTTTCTCTATCTCCGGTCCATAATAGAACAATCGACAGCAAGCAACAAGAGAAGGAAATTTATACGTGATCAAGATAAAAGGGATGGCGCGCCTGAAGCAGTAGGTCAAGTAGCTGAAGAGCGGACTAAAGATACGCACACCTTTTTTTTTTATTTCATGATTTCAATATCTTTTGACAATTGGAACCCTAACACTGAAATAAAATTCACGCTCGACTTAGCCTCCACTCTTTTCCTTGTGTCAAAGCGTCCTAGGTCTTCAAACACCGTTAAACTGCCGATATAAATAGAAAAAAACGGGATAAAAGTCAGTTTTCTATGAAAAACTTTAAAGTACTATGACCATTAAGTATGTTAGATTTATTTAGCACTAATGTGGGACCTCGCTGTTAGGACTTTATTAAAGATAAAGAGTATATCACCCAGTGACCTTTCGGAATGAGTAATTTGTAGATTGGAATATGTTATGATTTCGAAAAGGAATATGTTCTGCGTTAAGGAAATGAATTGACGCATTAGTAATGGAGGGCGGAGGAAATTGGTAAAGGTGGGGGCGGACATGTTTCGTTTCAGAGAGAGAACTCGCAAATGAGGTAGTGGGCGAACTTGCAATGTGGTGGGACCTCCATAAACCGACAAATACTTGACTTCTGATCTCGTCTTGACTCCAACTTGAAACCTGAGTATGATATCCAACTTGAAACCTGAGTATGATATCAGATATTTGCACAAATATGACATAAGGTGATGTGGGCACGAGAAAATATGAACAGTCTTTAATCGTAAAACTTACCCGATGCTGCACTTCCACAAAAGCCCATGGGACAAGCCTGTGTACCCGCTAATTTATAGACATAGAATCTACCGCAGTTTCTAAGCTTGATGTCTTGATCCCATTTACAGCAGTCTGATTTCCAACTGTAGCATACTTTCCCATTAACAATGCCATCAGTCATTTTTGGATGTGGGGAGCTCAGCCATCCCGTAACCACTGTTCCACATCTCGCCGACGGAAGACACTTAGAAGCCATTAGATTCCCAGCGGGTTTTTGGAAACGGTACCACCCAGGCTTGAGTTCCTTATCGCAGGCAGGAGAAGTTCCACTGATTAGGCGTGATGACTCCGAGCGATCAACTTTGTTTAGTTCCTCGTATTGGACGCACTCTTGTTCTGCAGAAAGGGAAGAATACTTGACTCTTCAGTGGAGTGTTCTCACCTTCAGTGCTAATAATGCATGAACATCGACGAATCTAATTAAATTACAGTAACACATAATAATAGGACTGGTTATTAAAGGGCCCACTAACCAAAGACAGACAAACTGACACACAAATAGTACGATGAGGCGATTATTCTACGAACCATCTCCTGCAAATCTGTAGACGACATTGGTGAGTGCTGTACCAACTACAGATTTAGACGTACACGGAGAAGATCTTCCATAGCGGTCGTATGTCTTAGGAGCGGTGGCACCACTCCAACACTCCCCGTAGAATTGAATTCTAAGACAAAAAAAGCTTTGAATTAACTAAAGAATCAGAATTCGTGGAAGCTGACAACCCTGAACAAGATTGTTTGAAACAATCATTCGAAAGGATGCTGCATCTGTTTTATGAGCTTTGAAGACTGTGGATAGAATAGAATATAATTTTTCTGCAGTCTATGGTCTCTCAGGTATAAGTGATATCCCTGACTAGTACTCACGCGAAATACATGTAATTCTTTTCTTTCGCTTTCTTTGCACATTTCTCAACCACTTCCATCAGATTGTTCCAATTGATATTTCCTCGATAATTTGCTAATAGTTCGGGAAGAGCTCTAGCTCTTGGACTCAACTTGTCCCTAAAACAGCCAACCTTGACATATTGAGATGCATCTGAGAGGAAAAGAAGAAAGGAAAATCATTCGTGATCTCTCCACTCAACTGGAAAAGTGCTCACTGGCAACTCGTTGGAATTGCTATTGTTTTTTTTACCAACGTACATTAGGAGATCATATTATTACCTTTTTTTTCTCTTTTGGTTTCACGTTTCCCTTTGTTGTTTTTTCAGGAAAACTTAAAATTCTTTATGCTGGAAAATGAATAGACTGATAATACTGTCTTAACTGTAACTGTACAATCTGAACTGTGAAAAGACACACATCGATCTTAAGAGATCAATAGTTTATTTTATTATTTATTTATTTTCCATTCCAGACACAGGTTTTAGCTTCGAGTGAGTCTTTAATTTTTGAATCAAAAAAATGGCTGGAAGTATAATAGCAGAAAACTGTCAGATTCCCAAATTTTAGGGTTCCTTTTGCCTACTGCGTTGTCCTTTTGTCAGCGTCTGTAAAATATCACTATTCTATTGTAAGCCGACTTTGCTATTCATACGCGTTCTGAATAAACTGTCCACGTGAAGGCAAACAAAATCGTAAGATTTTTAACTGCTTTTGTTTAATGGGATAAATTGGCATATGCAACTTACCACTGCTGCCGAATATTCTCAAGTTACAAAAAAAAGAAAAAAAAAGGAAAGACCTATAATTCTCTATGCTCCTACTAAATGGAGGAGAAACGGAAACATGGCAATTGAAGGTTAGCCATTGACAATCAGTGAATTTCAGACTAGCTGTCGGAAGAATAATTTTGTCATGCAAATGTCTCAACCAGCTGTGGTTAGTAAGTTGAACCCATACCTTAGAGTTCATCAGCTCAGAGCAGCATGCATTTCTTTAGAATTTTTAGCAATGTGCTTTATCAATTCTCTTAAGAAGAAAATGATAGCTCTCAAATGCTTAAAGGAAACGTAGCGAAATTCTAAAGTAGTCAATACAATCACGGAGAAAACAGCCGAAAAGAAATGTCTGACAGGCTATAGAGAGTTTAGAGAGTTAATTTACCCCAGGATGAAACAGCAAAACAATTTCCGGATCAGTGTTTTTTTTTTTGAAGAGTATGCTTACTTCCCAATTCTGTCAAAACAGGCAGCACTGATGGTTCTGTTTCCGAGTGATTTGAATCGAATCAAATTAGAGGCATTTGATTAAAAAAAAAATCTGAAGTAAGATTCATTACAGACCTGCACAGCGTGTGTAATATCCAAAGTACAGGAGAAATACAGAGCATAAGACTAGTAAATTCATATTTTCTTCCTTGTAGCGGGATTTACTTTCTTTAAATCGTGGCTTGAGGGTAACGTAGAGACGGTGACAGGTGTTAAATGTCGGTGTGGGTCGTGGGTAACTTGTCAGCTGACAGCAAACCTTTTAAAATTAATTCTGATAGAGAGAATAGAAGAATCATGTTTCCGTAAACGATCAGTGATATAACTTACCGCAATTTCAATTAAATGAGTTCCAGCTAACTGTTTAAAGTTGAAATCTACTGCGCTTTGCGTCAAATTCGATCTGCCACAGAACTTTAAGCGTGGTATTTTTTTAAAAAACTTAAATACTCATTGCTCATGAAGTTTCTTGTCATTTGCCAGCCCACTAAGTAAACAATGAATAGATTGCCCTAATCTTAATCTTAGCTTGAATCGCAAAGCTTTGTTATACTAAGCAAATATAATAGTCTAAACAACACTGATCACAAAGTACTTCTGGCGTTCTCAGTGATTTAGTTCAAACCATCGATCTAAATGTTTCTTTGTCTTGCGATGGCCGAGAGAGTATTCACTTAGCTTACGGATCAGCTTCACTTGTGTAACGCTTTTCCAGAAAGATAAGATAGAATACAGTTTTGGTTAAGATAACGCCCAGAGAAAGAAAAACCTTAAAAATAAAAAAATTAAAAGGTTTTGTCTCAGCTAGGTTTGCTGTCTCGATTAACACTGTCACTTTTCTAAGCCTTTTTTTTTTCCTTCTACTGTTTAGGTGTTTTCTTACTGTTTTCAATTGTTCAACTGTTTCTTTCTTTTACTTTTATTTTGTTTGGTCTGGTTTACTGTTGTTGACCTTGCTTTATTATTATTATTATTATTATTATTATTATTATTATTATTATCATTTCCCTTTTTACTCCCAAAAGGATGAAAATCTTTGCAAAAAAAAAATCTATCACATGTTAACCCTCTTACAGCGATTGCATTAAACTTTTTAAAGCTACACACCTAGGGCTTTTTGCTATTGATGGAATATGGACAGGGTATGCATGACCCAAGTTTTTTTCATGTTAAAACGAATTGGAGCAAAATCTGGAACATAATCTCTTTTTTTCTCCTGCTCTTTTTCTAAATAATTTGAAGTGACGAGAAGCGGAATCCTTTTCTTCAGAGATTTCAACAAAATTTCCAGAAGTGCGGCCTTTAGAGAGGCTCGTTTAAGACAGTTAACAATAGGTGGCAAAGTCTTAGTGATTTAGCTGTTTCGCATCGAATTTTTTTCTTAATCAGAAACTTAAAAAGGCCGCAATTAAAGTATGCAGGAAAAAAATTATTTACGTGTATTGCGCAATGAATTCACTAATCCTAGTTGCATTCTTAAATTGCCATGATTCTATATTACCTACAGATACGCAGAGAACACCTTAAAGCGAAGTTATGCTAACCTGTTTCCTCAATGCTCTTCCCCTCTTTAAAAAAAGGACGCGGTAAAATGCCCAACTTGTTCCTTAAGAATGGTTATATAATTCCAATTATTGAATTATCTCAAGAACTTAACAGCTGTAAAACAAACATTTTAATGTACTTGAACAAAGTGAGGACTCCATCGCTTGCCGCGCGGTAGCGATTATCTATATGATAAAGAAAATCAAAAGATGCGATATGAATTTCCCGCCTTTCGGAACAAACATATTAATTAAACTTGCAGTAATTATTGTTCTCAATATTGCAATACATCACATTTACCATTTTAACTTGCCGAGGGTAAGAGGATTCTTTTTTCATAAAGCATAATATAAGATTCTTTGGGGGGGTTTAATACAGAAATTCGCCCGAAATGAGACCAACTTGAGGAAAAAAAAACCTAGAAATTAGCCATTATGTTCTGCCTGTATCCGAGCTACAAACTGAAATTTCATTACAAATAAAATGAAGTCAGATGAAATATAATACATTATATGCATAAATGAATTAAGGGGGTACTGTTCTGGTGAAAATGTGGCGCTGCGTCGATAAAGGCATTTCAGGATAATCTGGTTTTATCAGCTGGGTTGATAATGTAAATTGGTCACCGCAAAGAGTATTTATGTACAGTATATAAAGAGAAAATGTTCCCAGCGTTAGCCCTTCGTCAGAGCGAAGACCTGACAGTGAAACGTCAGCCTTAGAAACTATTCACAGAGGCCAACTTACATCATCTTCTCAGTCTATAAAACCGAATAATTAATTCAGAAGTCTCGAGAAAGTTTCGGAGAAATTTTCCAGTCAATGGTTTTCTTTTTCATTTATTTCTATATAATCAAATATGACGCTGATTTAAAACTCTCATAGGGAAAGCGTGAGGCTGTGTCTAGCTTTTGAAATGTAAATCATTTAAGCTAATCTTTGTGATTTCACAAGCAGCTTTGAATATGACTTTATAGTAATAAATACAATAATTTAGTTTCCGAAAAGAACACTCTTTTCGATCAAATAGCTAAGTGGGAAGCGTCCATTTATTTACGGAAAGGTATATGTTTATAAATACATACCTGTCAATTTTAACCGTTTTTTCTTACCACCATTTTATGAGGATTTTATCTTTGAAAATAAATTTTTATAGGATCATTTGGTTTTATCATCTGAGTTGATAACGTATATTGACCACCGTAGGGATTTTCTAAAGCTGAAGTTTTGAGCGTTAGCCTTTCTTCAATTGGAATCAGATCGACAATAACTCTAAGAGAAATGTATACTTGTAATGATCACTTATTTCAAGTTTGTTTTGGGGGATCTAGCACTTCACTTCATGTGCGTAACTAACTATTGCTTGCCTTGTAATCACGGTAAATTTCGAGGTAGGGTCTTTACGATGTGAAAGTAAAGATACGCCAAAAATAAACTGCGTATATTTGAAGCACAGGTATTATAAACGTACATCTATCAGGAAACAGCAATAAATCCAAAAATATTGCCGGATTAAATGAGTACTACATTTTACGTTCTGCTCTCATTTCATGGGCTTATCATCGGCGTAGCTATCACACTTACGACTGTACCACTTGTCTATTTCAGAAGTGTACAACAGTCCTTCAAAGCGTTTCCGCAACCATGTATTTTTGATGGTCGTTCAAACATCGTTGTCGAATTATATTGTTCTGTCATCTGATTGTGCTTTCGAAAAATTCAAGCCTTAATTTTTTTTTTTTAATGGTAAAACCAAATTCTCCTCTACGTCTCTATTTTAAAGGGTGTCACATTGTCATTGATGCGAATATTTTCTTGGTTTATGAGCAAGATTGCACATTTCTGAACGTTCTTATACACATATCTAATGAAATTCCTTGATTACCAAGCTGTATTTTCATTATCTTCCGCCGGGACCGCGAGGCAGCACTGATGGGAAAACAATGCAAATCAGCCAAGCGAATTCGTAAATAGATTACAGGGGAAGCAAAATAGTGACGTAACAATTAGTTTAGTAGCAAACGGGCTATTGCGAGGGGACTTGTGCTTGCATCGTATGGAGATAAACCGTCCCATCTCAACAGCAACTTTATTCTGTCTTATGAAATTCACTAAAATAGATAAATAAATAAATGAATGAAAAAGAAAAAAATGAAAAAAAAAAATTCCGAGCCAATAATTTTACTTCTTTGAGTATCACTTCCTACGCGAGTCCTATGCATTATACAGGGATCGTCAGCCCTAAAAGAGTATAAATAAACAAATTATTAGTCTAAACATTTTCAAACGGTTTGAAATTAAGTTTCTCGTAACACCATATTACAGTAAGCCTTGTATCAATCCCAAAACGCAGTTGTGATCCTTGTCAAATTACATATGATATCGGATTCGAACCTCATTTGACGAGACTATTTAAAAAGTTTCTTTCTTGAAAGCCAGAACAAAATGTTAAACACCCATGAAACATATCCTCTAAGCAAGCGTAAATATGTGGTTTAGCCCATAACTACATTTGGCAAAACACCTCAACAAACATAAACAAATATAAGGACTCAAAAGAAATTAAAGAGAAAGTAACGCGAGGAAAGAAAAAAAAAACAATAAACAAATTGATCGATGTTGTAACTTACTATTCTTCCGTTGCCACAGTATCTCAACTGACAATATGGCGCCGATCGAAGATAGAAGACGTAAAATCCTGCGCAATTACGAACTTTAGCTTGGGTGGACGTGAAACAGCAGTCTCTGTCTTGATTAAAGCAAATTTCTCGAGACACAATTCCATCTTGAACGGAAGGAAGTGGCCCGTTTAGCCATCCAGGTACGATGGTCCCGCATTTGAACCTACTGGGGCAACTGTTGGCCATAGCCGTGCCCGCACGGCCTTCGAATCGATACCACGAAGGCTTGAGACTGATATCGCACGGAGCAGAAGGGGTGTAAGGGTGATGAATCGACCGGTCTGGTGCTTGGAGAATTCGGTATTCTTTACATTCTGGAAAAAGACAAAGTTTGCAAGAGAGCAAATAACTAACTCGTACAGCAACAGCACTTCGATAAGTCAATGCTAAGGAAATAACTTGATAAAAATCCCTTTTCAGTCGAGTGTTGCTGCGTTTCAAAAAATCTATTTTCTCCGCTTTAATTTCGGATTTTATTCGTCCGTTGTCCGATTATCCTTACGTCTAGGATTGGCCGCGGTGATCGCTTTGGGTTACGTTCTATGACACTTCATCAAAATTAAACGCTCTCTATCAGCTGTGGCAAAAACTATTACCTTTAAAAACGAGCCGGTACACAAAATTAGCCATTCGCTTTCCAACACCATTTACACATCGGGTCGACTTTCCATCCTCGTCATAAGTCAAATGTGCATGTGGTCCACTCCAGCATTCACCGTAGAACTGAAGACCAAAGTACACATAGCCGGCCTTTTTTACTTCTTTGGCACAGGCTTGTATCGTGTTATTAATGTTATTCCAATCAACTCGATAGGGCCTGGAGCGATAATTCCTGATTAGAAGGGGTAGTGGCCTTGGTACGTCCAATTTGTCCCCAAAACAACCAATTGGTTCGTAATGAAAGTCTAGAATATTCGAAAACAAAACAAAATTGTTAGGACAAAAATAATACGCATATAAACAAGCAAAGAAACTAATGATTTTTTATGGATATAGCATCGCCCTTGAAAAAAATTGGTTGTTCCAGGGATCCGTTTCTCGAAGGCCCAGGTAACTTAACGGGCTCGTAAAGTGGTTCTGTGTTCATTCAAGATGAGGGTCACAAAAATTTTGAAAATTATGCAATGAAACTATCAGCTAGAAAAACAACATGGACTGGTTCGTTTGCCAGAACATGCTTCTCTATTCTTAAAATTTTGATTTTAAAATACGGCTTTGGATCCGTTTAGTTACCGGGACTTTTGAGGAAACGGGCCCCAGTAAAGGTATAAATAATATAAATATTGGTCTATCAACGATGCTCTTTGTCACATTATAAGCCTCGCAGTTTGACTGGTTTATTTATAAGTTACAGTGACATTTGGTATTGAAATTTCCTCAGCGAGATGATCCACCAGTTGCAACATATATCAAAGGAGTTTTAGTCTGCCTTGTGTGGTTCCTCAATCTGTATTTTAAATTTCCTCATCCTCATTATCAATCCATTTTAATTCCTTCCAGCCCAAGCCATCCTTATTTAACAATCTTTGGTTGTCTCTTTTACTATCAGAGTTAACTTCATTAGAGAAAAAAAAGTTTCTCAAAATATTCACGATGCCAAGCTTAACCACGTGGCGAAACTCATTACTTTAGTTAGCTTTCTTACTTTAGATAACATGTCATAACAAAAGAGAAGAAAAACAGCCAACCGCGGGGAAACTGCTGAATACATATTGCTATCAAAACATGCCATCCTATCATATTTGAAAAGAAATACCATGTAACCTGTAATATGACATAAGCAAAAAAGAAAAGGCATTGAATCTTTTGAACAAATACAGAGACTGAATGAAAATCTGATTGCTATCCAAATTAACTTCGGTTTGGAAGAACCCCGGCAGATAATTTTTCCGAATACACCGAATGTTTTTTGAAAAAAAAAAGAAAAAAAATTACATTAAAGAAAGCTAACACACACCAGCCACTGAACTGTAACTTGACTGGAAAAGAAATTTACGAGCGCCATAGATTTATGAAACTAGTTTCATCTCTCTGGCGTTTAACGCTGGTCACTTGGGTGGATGGATCGCATTGGACAATTTATTAATTTTTAAAGGAATAATTCGTAAATTGATTAGCCACACAGGAAAGAGTTATCGGTAATGTAGAAACGAAAGAGAGTTTAGCGTAAAAACAAAAACAGATCGTCAACTGCATTTAAACAGGAGTCGTTTTTAGTAAGCACGTGGTAAAACATCTACAACGACCAGTTTCATACAAGTAAAGATTATTTCGAAACAAAGGAAAGCTCTCCATATTGAACTTTTTGACTGTTCTTGGGGTTTAAAGTCCTTTGGCTATTTACGTATATATTATGAATCAGAATCGTGCTGCGTAAGATTAAAATTCTAAGGTTAAACTAAAGTTTCTTGAAGAAAGTGCGCATGCTTTTTATCTCGAAGATTATTATTTTTTTCTTTTACGCACAGTGCTATCAATAGTCTTTACCTTCTTCATCTCGGAATAAATTAATTTTCTCATTCTCCTCTGCCGCTATTAAACAACTAAGGAAGAACTGCAACAGAAGAAACCGAGGCGTGATCATTGTTCTTTGGGCTGCAACAAAGCTCTGTCAAGGTCTGATCCTTTTTGCGCCTTCAAACCGATTTTATTTTGTTCAACTCGAACATGATCAACAAACAAAACCGCCAACACAATATTGTTTAGATTGCCACAGTATTTTTGTAGTTGACATTGTCTAGAGAGCATTGAAAGAAGTTAGTTTTACAAAGAGATCTTGAAAGTGTCAACACGACAGCTGCTAATAACATACTGTTGACTAAGCACTCCAAATGTTCCGTGGCACATGTCGATGTCACCCTTATAGCGTTTTTATTTAATTAAATGGTAGAAATTTGACTGAATACTGAAAAATTTGTTCTGAGGACTGAAAATAGCAACTCAAAACCGCGGTGATTATTAGCCTAGCTGATCATCATCATCAGTATTGTTTTGATAACTCTTTACGTTAGAACATGAATTTTTGAGATATGTTCCTTTTCTTTCGCTGATATAATCTTTGACAGAGGAGTGGTCACAGAGTGGTTGGATGTGAATAACAAAGCTATTCTGACAGACAGTCCGCCTCAGCTGTGGAAACAAACTTTATTAAAAACATTAAAATCGGACACAGATGAACCGGACACGTTTTTACTCATCGTAAGCAAACTATGTCTATTAACCTGAAGAATCAACATTAATAATCTGAACGGAAATTCGCTTTTTCACTTTGCGACTAGCACTCAATACGCCGAAATTTCTTCGTCAAAATGCAATGCATTCACGAGTAAATATTCTTAATTCTGAAACGAATATGTTTGTCCACAGTGGGTAGCTATGTTTAAACGAGGGTCCCAGTGAGTTTATGGATTTTACGGCTTACGGTTAAAAATTTTGGCCAATCTACGGCTAACAGTTTATCTATTTCCATTGTAATCACTAGAACTTTTTTTTATGGTTAACTTTTTTTTTACGACTAATCATTGAAATTTGTCAATTTTTTTCGGCCAACGGTCAACGGTTGACTCTAGAAAGCTATCTTTCAGCCGTGAATGAAGCAATTACCGAGAAAAAAATTGATACAATACTCTGTCGGACGAAGAAACGACCATGACCATCAATGAAAATTGTAAACATTTTCAGTGGAGTTTGCACTGAGGAATACTGGGGAAAAAAATGATCTAAGCAACACAAAAGAAAGCTCAAGAAACTTCGGAATAATTTAATATTATCAACTTAGTTGATAACGTAAATTGGCCACCATAAAAAGTTTCAATGCTGACGTTTCGAGAGTCAATACGTCAGAGCGAATGGCCTTCGCTCTGACAAAGGGCCAACGCTCTTAACGTCAGCTTTGAAACTTTTTACAGTGGCCAATTTACGTTATCAACTCGTTTGATAATACGAAATTACCCTGTTATGCTCTTCCAGCGATGCAACCCCACAGTTTCTCTACAAACTTATCCCCTCGTTCAAGAAACTTCAACTGCAAACTAAAAGGAAAGGCATGGGAAAACACACCTTGATTTGAAAAGTAAAACGCAATTGGGAAGGGAAAAGAGGAATGGAAGGTGAATTGTACTGCATCACGGAAAGACGGAAAGGACACATAAGTGATTAAAGAAGGTAACAGGTGATTGTGATTGACCTTCGGGATGCAACAAGGAATGAAGAGGGAGATAGTAAAAACAAATACGAAAATGATATATGCAAGGTCAGGGGAACGTGTTATCGCTTTAAAAGGCGACATTGACAACGCAAAGGGTGGTCACAAATTTAAAACCTTGATAGAATGTTATAAATGAATATGTTATCTTGATATCAGCTGTGTTGAGCAGATAATAATGTTAAAAATGACTGGCTGATACAGTGGGTCAGTTCACTACCCGTTTCATTACTGAAGACCTCTCCTAATCACTGCCCGTTTCCGCAATATGCATACTGGCAGCTGATCTTATTGTTCAGCTTGTAAACGAAAAAAGATGAACAGTTTCGAATCCGAATGTTGACTTTTTTGCTACAGCAATTGCCATCCCATTTGAAGCAAACATCTCCTTCTTGAATTCCGTCTGAAACCTTCAATTTACAAAAAAAAACCAGAAAGAAAATAGATGGAAACTGGTTAATGCGTATTGATATGGCATTCCTAGTGTTCATTCCATTGGTTTGGTTTAAATTTGTCTTAACAAGGAATACGACTGACAGAGATACAAAGTTTGGAGTTAGTGCAAGTTAGTTCATTAACTTTCAACATGAAGTGTGGAATAGATGCTTTGGTCAATAAATGTTTATCTAAAGGTGAAGAGATCTTCTCTTCAAAAGAATGCCCCAAGCGAAATGAATGACTACTTTTGACTAATGAGTGGTAGTGGATGATATAGTTACCACTGCTACCTGACCATTTCCCATGTGTTGACATTTTACTTTGAGTAAACAAGCCACTCCTTCGTTATACAGATGGTCACGAAAAATCATGGGCCAATATGACACAAAGAGATAATCCAAATTTAAACTGAGGATTACCTGAGGATAAGATCCGCTGTACCATCCTGTACCAAACGTTTGACACCTGCTGGATGGGACACATTGGTCTGCCATGGCATTACCTGCTCGGCCAGTAAATCTATACCAGCGGTTTTCATCCAACTGTCCATTGTCGCATCTAATCGGGCGTCCATAGTTAGTTACATGAAACTGAGATCGGGAGGCGTCGTCAAAAATTTTGTAGCTTTTACATTCATTTTCTGCATAAGAACAACAGCAGAATTTGCATGAAGTATACACAAAAGAGAAAATATTGGTATACTGTTACAAAATTGCGTAAGGACGCTTTAGTATCGAAACCGTACAGCATTGCGATGACAATTGTGCTAGACCGCACGCGTACCTACCTGTAATCTATTTTCTTCGTCTGCTTTTTCTTTCGCCCGTTGTCTGTGACTCTTACTATGATGTTGTTTAATAATATTTCGCGCAATAATACTTCACGCACAAAATCAAACCCATGAAAACAAAGTTTTTAACTATCGAGGTCTTGAGCAAAAGGTCGTTTGGGTCCAACTCGGCACAGTATTAAAAGACAAAGAAGACAAATCGACCTTTATAAGTAAAAAACAGAACAAACAGTTCTTTGAAAGCAACAAGAATAACATAAAAAATTAATGAAAATAAGGAAACAAGGCTTTGACTTGACTAAAGCACGTGCCTTCCGTGTAACGGCTGGGTACAATGGACTCTTTAATCCACCTGCCACATGTGGATTAACCGAAATAGGAGGAGAATCAATTCCAGTAATCAATTAGTCGCTTACATATGTACACAAGTACAACAAGCATCAATGTAAATCTTTCCTAGTAAGTGCTAACCTTCAGTAAGCATGTAAACGAAGTTGGCGTGATCCTTTCCCACATATGGAGCCGCCGTGGTGCATCTCTTTGATAAACCGTGTTTAGCATAGGTACTTTGACTTGCTGATCCACTCCAACACTCTCCATAGAATTGGATCCCGAAAAATGAATAGCCCCTCTCTTTAGCCTGAATAGGACAAAAAATGCTCGTCATATTTCTCGTATAAAATTTTGAAAAACGTCAGTTCAGTGTAACAGGCTTCTTACAGAGCTTTATGCGCAGAAAGAAAATAAAGTTACCAAGACGACCGTAAGTACCGTGGCGAATTAAGAGAGATGTCTGTGCAAGTACCTCCGCCATTTTTTTTTCTTTGCAACTATTATGAAAAACATCAACAACGACAACAATGTCAACAATAATAATCAGGCAAACCTTAGTGGCGCATTTTTTAATGACAGAGTTTTCCAAATCAGTCCAGTCCAAGATATCTGGCCATTTTGCATTTTTCACGCGGTAGTTTGCGAGCAAAGTAGGCAAGGCCCTATTTAAGCGTATGTCCTTGTAACATCCGACGGGTACGTAGTCTATGACGTCTGTAAACAAGAAATGACCGACAAATTGTAAGTTATTTCATTTCGGAGTGACTTTTCTACATGACCATGAGTGATTTTAGCGCAAAAGATCCCGAAACATGCTGGGATCAGTAAAAATAAAGAATTTAAAAAAAAGATACAAAACGAAAAAAATTAAAACAACTAAGAAGAATCAGACGCAAATTAAACAAAAAAGTAGCACAAGCAAAGAGAAGAAGTAATAAGCCAAGGGTACTATGAAATATCCAATAAGTGTGGTGAGAAACTCGTTTTGTTTGGTCAAAAACTCTTTGGAATATTGAGGGAATGGAAAATTGACAGAGAAAATAGTGGACTCTCATCAAGGAGAACTTTAGAGAGGAGAGATAAAATAACCTGAAACAAAAAAAAATTAATAAATAAGCTCCACCATGAAGCAGCTAGTTATCAATTCTTTTCTTATCGAATGAAAAATCTACCCGAAAACTCGAAATTCTCGATTAGAGAACACAGAAAAAAAAACCATGGAGTATGCAACGAGCAGAACAAATAAAAAATCGGTTACCGGCTAAAACATTTGGAAATATTTAAGAAGAACATCCTCAAACGATGGAATAAATATAGGAAGAGACCTACCGATGCTGAATACTTGACTCGCAAGCAGAATGCAAACGATAGTCTTGAAAACCATGTTCAGAACGTACAAAACTGAAAAAGATAATGTCGATGCTCCTTGTGTAATTATCCCAGTTAGTTGAAAGGGGAAATAAATGAGAATGATAGAAACAATTACTCGGAATCACATGGGTGAGCCACCTTTCTTCGACGACTAAAAAAAGTGACATCAAATTCTCAGCGAGGCTGATTTAAATTGTAAAAACAGAAAATATTGACTGGTTACGTGTGAATGTCATATGACAGGCTGGGTAAAGACATTGGCACATGCTCTAAAAGGTAAGCTACCTCCGGTTTTTATGGAGCCTTTCAAGAATTTTTCAAATTAAATGCAAAAATTGCATGTTTGTAAAGGTAATTTCCGTGTACGTCTCATGTATCCGGCGTTCAAAATTGTTCTAGGATGCCCTCTTATTACCAACGATTTGTAATTGGGCATTACACTAAAATAGATAACTCGGGAAATAACAATTGTCAAAACGTCCTGCTAAGATCCGGAAAGAGTACGAAAACGACTAATTTAACCCGTCCATGAAATTACCAGGCCCGTGTCACGCAAAATTGCTGTCTTGATCACATACGGTGCAGTCACCCGGAGTGACTTCACAATGTAAAGTTTACGTCCTCTGGGATATCCGATACCTTCCAATTATTGTAACATTGTTACCAGGAGATTTAAATGCGCAAGGAGCAATGAAGATCAACTTACAACAATAACCTGTCGAGATTTAAGGAGTCTTAACAATAAGCAATTTGTTTCATCGTTGGACAAGGTATCCTGGGATTTTGCGCTTTGCGTTCGAGGACACTACTGACATGGTCGACGCCTGGTATAACATCTTCTATGGCATTAAAGATGAGTACCTCCTTGTCAAAGAGAAGAGAGTAAAATTCTCGGCTAAAATGGCAAAGCACTGAATTTCAACTAGAAAAAGGCAAGCCGAAAGTAATTGGAATTTATTTAGGCAAGCGAAAAACAGTGACTCGAATAATGAGGAGAATTAAAACATTTCACCTCAAAGATTCTTGACACTAAAAATAAGACTGATTTTAGGAAACCATGGAATCTAAACAAAAGTCTGTTAAATGACGATAGAGAAGCCCAGAATTGGAGTTTTGGAGCTGATATAAAACGAAAATATTACATTAAATATTGCATTTCCAAGACACAATTTTTTTCGTCGATCAGCCGAAGAAATTGGTCGTCTCGCTAAGGCTCAGTTCCCTGAGTGACTCCTTAAAGATAACATTACCAGACAGAGCAATAGCGCATAGGAGCTCCCTAAGATAAGAGGGCCTGTATGGGGTTAACCGACTTGCGAAAAAAGGCGAAAAATATAACTGACTATAGCTACTGTGAGAATGCAAAGTGAAATTTAGGAATAGCGACATGGAAACATAAACGACATTCCACATAGTTCAACGTTGTGGGTATTTGTATTCAGAAAGAAGAGCATTTTAACTTAGGAAGTAGCCACTTTAAATTTAAGGGTGAGGCCCGGGCTCATTTCTAGAGTGGTTTCTGTTACTAACTAAGATGAATAATCAACATGCATGTTTAATCATTAACTGGAATTTATTGACAAAAATTTTTTTCTAAGTCCGACTACCAAAAAAGTGATTCAATTCTATCCGACAACCAACATGGCGAACCCCCTATTTTCATACCCAAGAATAACGATATCGCTATCACCCCCAACACAGAAGGCCACCGGAGATGATGGCAATAGCGCCAAAATACTTAGAACATCGGCAATTATATTTTTACATTGTTTATTTCGTCAAAATATAAATTAAGTAATACCTAAAACATTACAATTTTCTTTTCCTCTTTATGTCGAATCATAGCTATTACTTAAAAATGAATGCTCTAAATCCTCTCGGTAAATCATTTCACAACACATTTAGCTTTTGAAGTCTTCTAAGACTAGTAAATAACAACAACAAAAAATAATTCATTCGCCACAGAGATACTGACCAAGTCTCTTTTAATTTTTTAAGTTTCTTCGCTGTTAATGTTCGGCCAGCTTGTTTCTTTGTCAATTCAAAGCGATGCAGTATAAATTGTTATTTAATCTTCCAAAGCTTAACCAAAAAAATTTTTTTTTTGCAAGGCACAATCATTTAATGCCACTCCAAGCATTCACGCATTCTTGTTCTGGCTGACACCTGCAAGAAATAATAGATATGTAAATGAATATACAATAAGGCAGATAGATAAGAGGTAAATGCATAAATAAATAATGAAAAATACATTATCAAACGAACGAACGAATTTATGAATGAACCAGTTAATATCAACATTTACGAAACAAAAAATTATTTGCTTCCCAAATCCTTTTACTGATCGTACAAACGAGCTGATTTAACAACAACCTTAACTTAACCTTAATTGAAATCAATATTTATGTGTAGATGATGTCTAAATGCTTACCGCTCCCACAGTATCGAAGAAAACAGCCAGGTGTGCTTGGAAGCTTGTAGACATAAAATTCACCACAGTTTCTGACGTGAATATAAATCTGGCGTTCACAGCATTTATTATTCTGGCGTTTATAAGGATTACTTTCCGAGCTAAAACAAGCTTTTCTTCTTTGAATTCCATCAAAAACCTAAATTAAAAACAAAAAATCAGCAATGAAAATCCTCCTTAGGAACAAAGAGATTGAAGGGGAGAATGGATGCAATTCAAAAAAGGCCTGATTTTGATTATGCCTTGCGAACGTATTTCCAATGAGAGGTTTCATTAAAATATTTAGATAGAAATGTCAGGGAAGTGACAGCCATTTCTAAATGTGATAAAGGTAAGAGTTGTATCAGCCCAGGATTACGAATGACAAACAATATAAATAACTTTTTATAATATCCATAAACATCAAAGCTACACGCCTTTGGGCTTAACGTCACAACAAACCTTGGGATGTGTTCCATTCATCCATCCAGCCATTGTGGTCTGGCAACTTCCTGCCTGCACACACTCATCCGCCATGGTTTGCCCAGCCGCGCCGGTGAACCTGTACCAGGCATTTCTCACAAACCCAGAGTTCCAATGGTCGCACTTGTCTCCTTGGGAGACAGTGTTGACGTTTGTCTTTGACCTGTCTGCTGAGTCCAGAACACGATAAGTGGTGCATTCATTTTCTGTGAAAAAAATACAATAGATAGTTATTCTTAAGAGCAACTGTAAGTGATAATCTTTGTTATAACTTTTGCATTTCTATTTTTTTTTTTCGACATCGCTTTTTTCTTTATCTTCTTCATATTATTTTTGCTTGTTGTTGTTATTCTTTTTGCTGTTGTTTTATTTTTCTTTTGCTTTCTTGTCTGTTTTCTCTTTGGTTATGGTCGGTCTCGTGCAGCATGTCGTGGTAATAACTTTCTTTAAAGATACAAACCACTGACCATTAGTCTAGTTAGTTATTGGCCACCATCACTGGGATCGGAAATCTTGAATATTCTATCCTCTTGATATTGTTTCCTCTTTCACAATGATCGCCATCTCGTAAATTCTTTGTAGGATTTAAATGAGGAAATTCTGATATATCCTTTTACTTAGTCGCTCACCTTTCTCTAAAAGCTTGATCTTGTACACGAAATTTGCTCGCTCTTCTCCAACACCTTTGCTACAATTCTTGGAAGGACCATCTCTAGCATAGGTCAATTGAGCCTGTGGGCCACTCCAACACTCGCCGTAAAATTGAAGTCCAAAGTAAAGATATCCCTTTTTCTTGGCTGCTTCAGCACAAGCAGCTATGGTATTGTTCAAATTATTCCAGTCTACTCGACCACCTCGGAAGTTTTCTATCAGCTCTGGAAGAGGTCTTGGCTTTACCAGAGTATCCCTGTAGCAACCAATCCGCGAATATTCTATTGCGACTGCAAATCAAAAGAGCCACGTAACATTTTCATTCAGGATGTAACATGTCATTTTTTCGTAAATAAATAACAAATAAAATAGCAAATAAAATCGATTTAGATCAAATTGGGAATATTTTCTAACATTGAACCTTACCATCTTGTGAGTTTTACTAAATTTACAGGTCAACAAGTTAATTGATCATTGTTTTAATCTGCCCTCACTAAAAAGGTACATCAGTTTTCCGCCTGAGTTTGTCATATCCGTCGAGAGAGAGAGAGAGAGAGAGAGAGAGGGGGAAAATTTACTTGTTATTTTAGCGGGAACAGAAGAAATCCTTAACCAATCACAACGCATGATTTGATGATTCATTAATTGATCACGTTACATTGCACTTTAAATGATTGACAAGTAAATTCATTGAAAAGTCAGTTATGCTTACCAGTGCTTTGAAAGGTCAGGGCAACAAACAGCACAAATGTCAGTGGGCTGTACATCATTATTTTACTCAAATGGGTCTTGAAGTCTGCGTATTGAAGTAAAACCTATTCAGTTCTTGCTGGAGCTAGAAAATTGTAAAACTGCAAAAAGAGCTTAAACTGCATGGAACTATGACGCAAATGGGGAGAATTAAGTGTACTACAAATAAAAATTCTTTTGAAGATAGGTATAAAGTCAGGCGTGTAGAAATCGATTCGATTTAATTTTTTACGAAATTCAGTTAATCCAGGGGTTCATATTAGATTCACGTTAAACAAAACGAAATTGAAAAAAAATTGTGTTGTTGTGTTTTACGAAAGGCCAAGCAAAAATAAATTTGATGTGATTATCATGCTGAGAAGTAAACAGATTGTTCGGCCTCAATCGCCCCATTGAAATGATCGCCAAAGGAAAGGCTTGGGTAATAAAACTGTTCAGACTGCCTTGAAACTCATAAAACTCAGCCTGAATAAACAGCTCATAGCTTTTGACGAACGCCCACTTTTTAGGTAGGCTGATAAATACAAAGTGGCACTCGACTGGCAGACTGTTGACAATGAAGTTATTGTCTTCCAAGTGTGTATTCAGCATATCGCGTTTTACTGTTAGATTTAACTTCTTCAAGAGAAAAGAAGGTAATATTGATGAGCGACCAAAAAAGTTTCTGATAACAATATGAAATACAATCCCTTACCTTGAAAATTAAACAAGATGCAACTTGGCTGACTCAGTTCTTATCCTGAAAAAAATCTTGTAACAATGCAGCGTAAAGTTTGTCCAACCGTCTTTGATCAGTAAGCTTTGGTCTCCCCCTATTTATATAGTATAGTTCTCGGATGACTCATATGTAAAAGGATACCTAAAGTCTATTTTTGTTTTGATATTCAGTCCTACGTACGATGGGTGGACTGAACCGCTAAATACTCAACGTTAATTCGTTGTCTACTGACTCCCAGGAAACAGGATTTTTCCTTTTCTAAACGGCCCGTTGAACAAGAATGAGTGCTGCTAAAAGCCTTTGTTATAAGTACATCCGTTACGTGACGCAAGAAGTGATGCTTAACCGTAAACTATACGATGCGGTGGGAGCGAAATTATTACTGACTTCCTGCACACCCGAGAAAGTGTGGACGGGTAGCACGCATAGAGTTTCGTTCGGAACTTTGAACAATCGCTTAATCACTGCTAGTCAGGAATTCCTACGTTGCCTTTGATGGAAACGACAATCATCGAAAGAAAGATTGACATTTTATCCTAGTTCTTACTTTCAGTCTCATTATATGCTTTAAAAGAAAGTGTCAGCGCAAGCAGTCAAGATAACTCAAATAGTGGCAGCGGCACAACAAAATAATCGCGTGATATTTTATTTCCCTTTTTGTTCTGTTTAGAGTTTCATGTTAGTCAGGAGTGCAAGTTATTTGTTAGATAGTAGATATTCGATACTTAAAGCAAAATTCCAAAATTGTGGAAAACGTTAGTGCAATCTCGACAAGCGCCCAGGGTCAAATATTTCAAGTTGTTCATTTGAGAGGGTGAAAATGTTCATTTGGAATGGAGGATTAAGATTTCTTTTAGTCTAACCGACTTCTACTTATGGTTTGACGGTGGTCATGTCGACGGAACTCGTAAGGAAGTATCACCTCCTACGTATATAAGATATTGCCTTTATTGGGGTATGATTAACTGATTTTTTTAAAACGGAATTTAATACAACGCTCACGAAATTGCGTTACATAATTCAACGATCGAGGTCTTGCATCACGCTTGACGTGCAGTTAAACATAGCTTTCTTTTTTACCAAATGGCCGCGTCGTTTCAGATTATCGCGTAGATTCTTGTTGTATCAAATTCACATCCATCACTGAGCCTCTCTACTCATAATTTGCAGTGGAAAAGCCATGATATCCTGGCGATATCTTATTCATAAAAGGAACTTGGAAGTAAACCGCAAAATTCGGATGTTGAACAATATACCGGAATTGCAACAAAATCAATTCCTTTAGATACGCTTTGCTGCCCCTGATTCTTAACGTTGTGTCATTTTGTTTACAAGGTTGCCAAGAGATTTCGAACTCTTACGTCCAAATATCACGTCAAAGGGTTAGATAATTCCTTTTTTAAGATAAACCCTAGCAAAAAAATAAAAAATAAAAATAAATAACTGTGTTTTTGTATGCTTGTATTGGAAATTTTAGCTGTCTGCATCTGAAATGATTAGCGGGTAGGGACTTAATAATTGGCCTCAATCTCCGTAATGAAGAATCAGTCGTATCTCGTAGCTCATATCAATATATTTGAGTAGATAAATAGATAAATGACTAAGATTTTTAGGAAAAGAGTGAGGAGATGTAAACCTTGGCTGTATATATAGGTATCTCCAAGAGAAAATAGTGGGATATTTTTTACTCCTGGGGTCTTCTATTTTTGGCTATTATCTGAAAATAAAGAGCTCGGAAGGTGTTTCTTGATGCGTTACAATTTTTCTCAGTAAGAAATGAACGACCCAGTGAGCATAAAAACGTTAGATGGTTAGAATCTTTTGAAATATATATTTGACCTGTTTTTTTCAGTCTCGTTTGGTTGCTAAGATATGCACGTAACGTTAAGGTCAATTATACGTCAATTGTCTGGATACAAGCCGTACTTTTGATAGGGGAAATAATTAATATCAGAGTTGTGTCGCTATTTTTTTTCCTGTCGGAAGTTAAAACGAAAAAGGGAGCTTAATGTGGCAATGGAACACATGCTGGCGGGATTACCTTTTGTTTTTCTTACCTTTTTCAGGGATTATGAAAGTCATGGTAACATCGCCAATTAAGGGTGTTAATTTCTGACTTCCGAGGCAATAACGCGTTAACATTCTTAGCTCGCTACACTCAAGACGAACTGTTTTCACTGAATTTCCGGACTTTCCGATTTTGTCTAGCCAAAATTGTCCTAGTGAAAACACAACCAAGATAATTTTGTCGTAATTTGTCTAGGAAGTGAGAAATTGTCAGCCTGACTTGGCAATGTTATTCTGAATTAGGGCCGGGTCGCACTAGAGCCAATTTTGTTTACTTCCAATTTTTGGCGAGGAAAAAATTGGGCCAAATTTTGGCGGTGGTCGCATTGGACCAACATGCTTGAGCCAAAACTTCGCTGATTGACATATATGTCATGTCACGATATCTACAGTCAAGAAAACATCTCGCGCATTGCTTGTGCAAGAATGGATCGTCATATACAGGTGATTATTTTCGCGGCTTTCGGGCTTTTGTTGAATTTTGTGTTTCAGTCTCAACAGAACAACGCAGCGTTTTTAGTATTGTTGATGCGGTAGCCGGATCCAGGTAGGATTCATTGGCATTTCCAAAAAACTGCCGCTCGTATTCCGCGTTTCCATTGTAAAAACCATAGAAAGAAGGGTCAGATGGACCGGGAAAAAAATAATTTTGTCCCGACATTATACGTGCCAACCTGCACTAGCCGAACAAAGTAATTTTTCCCGCCGTAACTTGATCCAAGTATGTTTGAAGAAAAATGGCAGCTCAATGGTTAAACAAACAAAATTGTTTGCTTTGCCAAAATTTGGAAGCCTTCGAGGCAGCACTTCGGCTTCTTTGAAGATTGGCGAAAATTTAGCAATCAGCAAAAAATGGGCTCGTTTTTGAAACTGAGGGTCGCACTTATTTTACGTTACTTGGTGACAGATTTATTACTTATGCAAACAAAATTGGCTAAAATTCGCTCTAGTGCGACCCGGCCCTTACTCGATGACTGCAGTTCGATTTCTCTTGATTGAACGTTGCTTAAAAATTTTGTCTTATTATCTACAGAGTGCCCTGACAGCTGTCGCCTGTTGTTTTGTTTATTAATTTGTATAGCATCAATTCTCTCCTATGAGCAAAACATTTCGATCTATCGAAAGTTTTGATGAAATTAGGAAGGAGTGTGTAGGGCTAATACATGAAAGGGAAAATACGGGAATAGGTTGCGGATATGCCGGACATGCGTTGGCTTTATCCTCTCATGTGGCCCAATACTTATTGGAATAACTAAATCTTTACCGGATAAACTGGAAGATGCAAATTATTATATTCTCAGAACGTTATTAGGTTTTACCTAAGTCCACTTCGTATGATAACATTCTTAATTAATTAACACGCGTACACTAGAACTAAGGAGGTTTTTTCATGTTTTGATCCTACTTTTTAAAAGTTTCATCGAGTAGGGTCCTACTTATATTAAAGATTTCTTTAAACTTCGTACAATCAATTATAATCTTAGAGGCCCAGGAATTGCTGGTAATGTAATACTTTTAGAAGTATAATAGACAAATTAAACCTTGTACCGTTTATTTATCGCTAAGCACCATAGTAGGAATTTGTTACTGTGCCCTGCATATAATTTTTGATAGTAGTTTATACTTATGTAATTTTCATTATTTTCAGTATTTTGTAATTGCACGTGCGCATTGCTTAATGCTCCTAGGAGTTATGTGGATAAATAACCTATCTATCTATCTATCTATCTATCTATCTATCTATCTATCTATCTATCTATCTATCTCTCAAGTAAGAAACGCCAAACCGATCTGTTACTGTTGTCTCGCTTGTCTCGTCTATAAGGTTGGTGTTAAACAATTTTTCTGCAACTTATTTCCCAGTCGCGCAAACTGTAGATCATTGAACAAATTACTCTGCTTCATCCAAACAAGAACCTTAGCAGTCTAATGAGAAAATTTAGAGATGTCCGCCGACTTTTTTAACCGTTTGAATATCGGAAAAAGCTTTCACAATATGGAGTCAAACTTTTGTGCAAGTAAAACTTAAAAGAAAAAAAATACAACCCACTCGTCGAAAATAATCAGAAAGAATGTGCATCATCATGATTTGAGGCGCAACACGTGATCAAAAATAGCTCTTTGATTGAGAACCGGACAGAAAAGGCGTAACCTTTCCGTGACCCATCAATTCGGCTCATGAAACGGACACCAAACAGGAAGTCTGATAGTTACTGGCAAGAGTTATTTGAACACTAAGATAGGGAAAAATGCAGCGTCAATCTAACATATGCCAATAGTTATCATATATCACTCGGTAGAAATGTCAATTTATGAACAGTTCAAAATTAATAACTCTGAATAATTCCTTTTTTTGTCATCTAAAAATGTAAAGTCGGTTTTGGTCAGTTTAGTTAGGTAACCTTAAAATTGTAACATACTTCTTGCCACATTTTCGTGCTAAAGTCGTACTGTTTTGTCCAGTTATCATATATTACTAGGTAGAAATCTCAATTTATGAACAGCTGAAAATCATAACTCTCAATAATTCCCTTTTTGCCATCTAAGTCGGTTTTGGACCATCTTTAGCTAAGCTTAAAATTTCAACATACCTCTCGCTATATTTACGTACTAAAGTCGTGCTGTTTCGAAGATTTTTCGACTTTCAAAGATATTCTTTATTCTACCAGCCGAAAAGTAAAAACAACAGCAAAATCAAAATCAACTTATCGCGTGTAGAGTCCACATAAATATGATTTTACCTATTGTAATTAAGAAGAGTGATATCCTGTGTTTTACATTGAAATATTGTACGCGTAGCAACCGAGCAGCGAGATCGATGTGGTGTTGTGAAACTGATATCTAAACACATACTGTAACTTAGATCGTAGAGTACTTCTCTTTTATCAATTTCACTAGCGTCACCCCTGAATAAGCAGTGGATTAAGATCGAAGAAGCATCTTTTTTTTCTCTCAAGTACAACAGCTTTTCTGGGACGGTATGCAGTTGCTAAGCCTGAGATTTAATCTGCTTGCGTCAGCATACCCAAGCCTCGCCTCCAAGGCGCATAACGGTGAATTTTACTTGGCACGTATTCTCAAAACATTGAAATCAAAAGCATACCAACTAAGAAAATATTCATGAAAATTTTAGTGCAAAAGAAGTTTTGGGATGAACTTTCAATAAATTAAACCATCTTGCATAAAGCAAATTAAATGTGCGCTCACATAAAGCAAGACCAACTGTGATGGCAACAACAAGGGCGATCAGGACAGCATCGGATGCGTGGATAATCGATCGAAAAAGAGCTGTACGTTAAGTGTAAGTTAAAATGGGCTCGCTATTCGTTTGCGAGCAGATATCAGCTTACGACTGAAACCAATAAATTATCAGCATCACATAACATCGCTCAATCTTTGCAACTGACCTAGCTTGATGATAACAAGGTATTATGCTCGGTATAATCCTTGTAGTTTTGGTCTCTTTTCTTCCCTGCTTTCTTGCTGCTAGCCATGGTGAGTATTTCATGTTATGAACTTTTATTGGATTTTATTCTAAGCTAGCTTTCTATGCTGTATCTTTCCTAGTTAAGAAAATTATTATTCTGCCTTATTCGAGTTTATCGACACCTTTCCAAACTGAGCACCATAGGTGGATTATTTTAACATGTTCTACATGTGTTACCCCTTTTTCTGACATTAACAAACATTAATTCTATCGGGCAAACTTCAGGTTTTCTAGTTGTTCCACTTGATTGGATATAGTAGAAACTTGAACCCCCGGTAATTGAGCGATGCATGAAATTAGAAGTATTATATTATGGATTAAGTCTTGGCAAGAGAAAAGGAAGCGCTCTCTTGATCGCGGTTAACCTTCAGACAAACAAAATGAAGCAAAAGATTTAAAAATGAATGAATCACTGAGGTAACTTGGGCGTTGCTGTCATTAGCGTGCTCGCATTGAAAGAAAAACAAATATTTTGCATGTTGAGTTATCTTGTAAACATCACTTAAACATTCGTTAGATATTGCATCTTTTCGCCTCTCAGTAAGCCTAATTTTAGTTAATTTTTTCCCTCAATTTGGGGAGATAAACCACTTCTGGAAATTAATATGCTTAAATCAATCTTAAACTGCTTTCCGCTGCCGTTATTTTAAATTCCAGCTGTAATATTTACTCTATTGCCAACTGATAGATATTACACTCATGTGATGATGAAAATAGAACAAAAATATAATTTTCCATCACAAGAACCAAAGGGGTGCTCCAAGACCCATCCCTTTTCCTTTCTTTTCATTTTATTTCATTAATTTTTTTCGGAACATAGAAATATTTCTGAAACCATAGAACTAAATAACCCAGTTATATTTATGAATGGCAAATACTTACAGAGTACCTATTTCGATTTGACCTGTGAATTGAAATATTATGATGTTACAGGAGCCCATCAGTGATGGGCTCCTGGATGTTAGGGGCGAACTTCTTGATTGGAGAGACTCAGTTGATACAAATAGAATGCCGAGAGGAAAGAAAATTGAATTACTGTCCACTTTGAATAAATACAAAGTTGAACTCTACGCGAAAGAAAAATAGTGAGAATGTAGTTGCTCAATCGAAGGAAATCGAATACAAAAAAAAATGATGCAAAAGGAATCAATGCGTAAGAAAATGATCATTTTTTTGCGCCATTACTTTGTGTTACCCATTAGGGATTCATCATCATCTTGTAGTGAGTACATTTTCTGTCTTTCTTCCCTATAAAAACCTCTATGAAATAAACTCAAAACCTCAAATAATTCATTCTTTTACTTTGTAATAACAGCAAACATATTATTTGCATTTGATCGATTCGCAGAGGGCAACATCAAAGGCGATCAAATTAACTGATACCGTATCTTCTCGGCATCAACATTGCATTACGGCAAAAATCGATCACTGGAAACCAAACCAATATTTACAGATGAACGTGGTGATTCACAACGATAAATATACGTAATTGATGACTAGAGATGATAGGGAACAATCGAAATCCGATTTAAAGATAAATCGTATTGAAGAAAAGCAATGTTCTGAGCGTAAATAGTATTGTTTTGTTGTTGTTGTTGTTGTTGTTTTTTTTTTTGGAACGCGCGTTTTATTCCGAGTGATACACGAGAATATTAATACTTAGTTTTGGTATAAATCTATCAGGGCTTTATCATAAATTCTGCAGTCGCATTGGCTGACTCCTCGCTAGCTCGAACTTTCTATCGTGTAATAATTGATAAGGACGATGGCTGAATCAATTATTAATTACAAATAATCTGGTTTTATCGACGGAGTTGATTATTCAAATTTACCACCATAAAGAGTTTCTAGAGCTCACTTTTCGTACTTTCGGTAGTTAGACTACCAGCAAACTTCTCACCAACTCACCTTAAATCTTTCCGCGGAAAAAATAACGAGCGTCCTCCAGTGCTAATAATGAGGGCTACTCGCACACTATTATTTATTGATTTATTTTTCACTATACATTCATCAATTTATTTTCACTAGTTAAGGTATAGATAATAATATTCCTTGTCTTCATTTATCTCTCTATAGGAACACCATGGAAATATGGAAACACAGGTTCAGTAAGAGGCTGTTAAAATAAAATAGCACAGTCCAATAGATTTAGAGTCTATGAAGAATATGTAGTCATGATCTTCCAATTTTCTACAGTCTACCATTTTTTCATTGACCGATTAATTGATTATACGGTTTTTTTTTTAATCATTTCTGTTATCAAATTCTTTATTGATTTGTTTTTTAATCTGCTCATTATTTATTTATTTACACTTATAAATTTTAGTGCACAGTGGACACCAGACAGTTTATGGCCCGAAGGATTGGGTCCAAGTCTCACGTCACTGTGGAGAGAGAGCCCAGTCTCCAATCAATATCGATACTGTCCACAGAAATAGTTTTGAAAAATTAACTTTCCTAAAAGGGTTCAGCTTCAAGATTGCAAACATGTGGAGAAGTCTGAGAGGCAGATTATTCAACAATGGTCATGCACCTACCATTCAGATTGAGGCCGGTTTCGGTCTACTCACTGGGGGTCCCTGGGGAAGCGCCCGCTATAGGCTTGCTCAACTTCATCTCCACTTTGGTTGTAAGTCTAGCCCAGGAGGTTCAGAGCATACTCTAGACGGTATGCCATTCTCTGGTGAGGTAAGTAGGGTACGAAATCGTCTTCACTATCACCAGCATCAGCTCTAGCCTTACACTTACCATGAACATTTTCATAGAAATTTTTGTCCAATATAAACATAATTTTTTCAATATTGAAACTTAATTTGTCCGATTATCGATCACCTCTCGAGAACAATTATGGCAAAAGCTTGTTACACAGACTATGAGACAGGCAAATGAACAGCGAAAAAAAAATTTGATTTCAGTAGTACAAGCGTTGAGTCCCTCAACCAAACCACAAAACCCCAGCAGAAAAATCATACAACATTTTATCCTATTTTTACACATAAAGGCGTTTATAATTATTTGCTTTTGATCCTATCTTTTCTTTCTCAATTCAGCTTCATCTGGTGTTTTATAACGTAAAGTACGCTAACTTTGACGCTGCCGCTGACAAGCCAGATGGTTTAACTGTCATCGCCGTCTTTCTGGAGGTAAATATTCCCTTCTAGAGAAAGATGTTTTATGTCCTGTCACAAGCGTAGGAGAAAGAAAGAATTCTGAGTCCTCATAAGGAATCGAATATCAACACCTTCGGATTCCGCGCTCCGATGCTCTACCACTGAGCCACAAAGACTCTATGGTGAGCGAGTCCCATTACGAATATATGACACGTGTCTTGCATACTGCTAAGATGAGCGATGTCAATGTATTCCCTTGTAATTACCCCTTTTTTTAATTAAAGAAAAGAAGATTCTTCTGCAACTTGCTCTTTACTATTTCGCTTTAAAATATAGCAAAATCGTTTGGACGTATCAAATCCGGAACTTGGGAAGATAGTAAATTTGTTGAGGAACATGGCCAGAGGTGATCGAGGTGTGATTATGGCTTCTAATCTTTCACTTTGCTTTGTTTTGTTGTTATTATCGTTGTTATCATTGTTATTGTTTTTGTTGTTGTTATTTCGTAAGATCAATTTAGTTTCTTTTTCGATTTTAAGAAATAAAGCACATTTGTTACATTTTTTTTATATAAAAGTCGGGTGTTAATAATATACTTTACGTCTAAATGTCATAATTCAAACTCGTGTGGTGAGATAATCAAAGTGTATGGTCTCTGTACATACAGTGAGTACCTCGTCATGAGCTTGTGACCTCAGTCGTAAAGAAAAATTAGAGCTGCAGGAAGAGCGACCTATCATAAAATAAAACATCTAAATTTGTATTATTTTTGTCTTCGCAAGATGTGTGAAGGGATATTACTAACTCTTTTCACGACACGTGACTTTTACTTGTTTGATTATAGTTGTAATCGGTTGTAATGTTGACTGACAATGATAAAAGATAGAGAAATACATACAGACATCCATCATTTATTTTCAAAAAAATTGTACTATCTTTTTCTCCCTTTTCTTGTTAGAGGAAAACGAAAGGAATTTACTGGACCTAAATCTGTACTCTCTGGTGCCACAGCTGACGGATCTGTCCATGACACCATTTTTCTCGTACAAGGGATCTCTGACAACCCCTCCCTGTTATCAGTCTGTTAACTGGATTGTACTCGGTCAGTTCATCCCGGCCAGTACCTACGTGGTGAGATTACATGATAACCTTACACTTAACTCTTCCCACCCTAACGTCAGGATCTAAGTTCTCTATACTGTTCTCCGTACGTTTCTCGTGGTACCTTCAAGAGGAATTTGCGTAATAACCAAGAGTCTCTACACGTGGTGATAATTTCCTTTATTCTCGTGACCTTGGTGTGTGATACAGGTGTGATTTTGTTGGAAGAAATTAAATGTTAGTCACCCTTTGGGGTCAAAGGCTTAAAACTGCACTGATTTACCTTCTTCCTTCTTCCGCTATTCTTGATTTTTATCAAGTCATTTTTAATTTTTTATCAACATTAATCAATTCGCTGTTTTTTTTCATTTACTTGCTATTTGTTGATTTTCAGATGGACGTCATGAGAAGTCTGCGAAATCAAGAGGGACACCCCTTATGCAACGGTTCCAGACCCCCTCAACCGCTAAATGGCCGTGTAGTTCGCGGGTACATGGGATAGCTGCTTACGAGTTCATAACAACCACTCTGCTTTAAAAGACGTATCACCATTTCTTTCTAGGCATTCTGAAACATTATAGACCGGCTGCGACAAAATAGAGAAAACGATTTCGTAAAAGGACAAAATGTGCAACATTTTCATTTTCAGTCATTTCAAGAGTAAATACGCTTGTGTTTTTCAACCAACCCCGTTCCCACCGATAACGTAGCTTCATCTTTCTGTATAGCCCCCGCTAACGCAGCCTCACGGTTTCTTTAGAAACTTACCCTCTTTTGTATTCAAATAATTAATTTTCAAAACCATTAAATCTCCAAAAGGTTACACACTTAACCTTGCAACTAAAAAAAGAAGCCATGTGCTCGAACATTCGGGTAACTAAAACAAAACAAGTCTTGTTTTTATTTTGTTCATGCAAAAAACTCGTCGCGTCCAGTCCTGTTTAAGGGTATAAAAGCGCAGCTTATGATTAGGGGACTTCGTAGGCCTTTGCTTAATATTTTCGTGGCCTCTCGATAAGCCAAATAACTTTACTAACAAAAAGCTCTCTCTTTTTGAAACATCCACTTGCACTGTTGTATCGTAATCAATCCACATGTCTGAGAGAAACTACTTTGCATCATAGTAGAACAGGCGCCAATATACTGATACATTATTGGCGCCAGAAATTCGCAACTAGATGTGGAGGTACAATACATTCACACCTATTGTGCATAATGAAACTACTGTAAGTGTAAACAAACCATCTTTTAAGTTTATTTGGTGCAAGTTAATCAGAGCGACACTCTTTCAAAGTCACAACTGTCATTAGATATGTTGAATGTTAAATAAAGCACCGCTTCATTCTTACTAAAATCAGAAGCTTCTCGTGTGTAAAACACTTTTTGCTTAAAACTGAAATATCGAGCAATTAACAGAAGACCAGGAACATCGTTTCGATACGATGATATCAATGGCTGAAAATTACTAACTTTACATGCCCTCTTTCCCCCCTCAGCTCATATTTCAGTGAAATATTTCAGTAAACCACACTTGGAAGCTCATATTCTACTTAACTGACGGTTGAAATGTCCGTTTTTTTACCAAATGAACCGTAGGTTGTGATCGAACTCTGTTTTCCTTATTTACAGCCTTTGTCTGGCAGTGTGGCAGCACTCAACCAAGTACAAACAGTACATTAGAGAAACCAAACGTAGAATCATCTTGAACAAAAGTATTGTGTTCAACATGAATCATTGTGAACATTGTCGATATTATGAATTATGTATGTATACCCTCGAAAAAAGAACCCTTAAGAGAATTCAATTAAGTCCTCGCGCACCGAACCTAAAAAAAATTAATTAATTACTTAAAAAAGAAAAACGAAACAATGGAGAAGAAAGATAAAGACAAATATAAGTTTCCGAAGATGTAAGAATGATCCTATTGTGCTCGATCGGGTTCCAATCTTTCCATTCGAGTGGTTAACCATCAACCACAGTCTTCCTTATAAAGAGAGGGCATAGATCGACTTGGTGTTTTTCCTCACATAGGAAATAGCAGCTTTCACGATACTGAACGTTCAATAAAATGTTTAAACGGTAACAAAAGACTGGACTGGAATGAATTGAACTCGACTCGACTAAACTGGATTCGACTGGACGAGGGTAGATTAGACTTGACTAAACTAGACTGGATTGGACTGGACTGAACTGGACTGAACTGGACCGAGCTGGATCGGACTGAATGGATTGGACCAGACTGAACTGCACTGTACTGGAATGAAATGGACGAAATGGACTGAGCAGGATAAGATCGGACGAAATAACGAGTGAAAAACTAATGACAAAATAAAGGTTCCTAATAAAAACCTTCGTTGAGAAGTACAGTCAGTGATTTTATTAACACATTTTTACTCAGATTTTCGCGTTTACTCCTGCAGCTTCATTTAGTCTTCTATAATACAAAATAAAAAGATTTCAAAACAGTAGCCGACAAGAGTGATGACCTGACCGTAATGGGCGTGTTCCTTAAAGTAAGAACTATTTAATTTTTTACCTTTAAAAACTGTTTTTTTTGTTGTTGTTGTTTTTAAGATAAATCAAGAAATTAGGCTGCAATTCATCATTTACTTTTTAAAATATGAGAGAAAATTTTCCCAGAAAAAATTTGAGGTTATTGAGGTTGGCTGACGAATGAGGAAAGTTACTGAGCCAGGTAAAACTACTTTCAAATGTTTTTACTCCATAGCTCCATGTTTGTTTGTTTGTCTACTTTTGTTGTTGTTGTTGTTGTTGTTGTTGTGACCCTAGACTGTAGACTGATGATCTAGAATGCCTTCCAAACCCTTTTTCCCGCTCTGTATTTTCAATCTCTTTTTTATAATAATTTTCGACATTTTTCTGACCCATGTTTTAGTTATGATAAATGGTGCTTGAGGTTTTATTCATGTTTTCAATCAACCAAGAGCACACTGTTGCTCCACAAAGGAAGCATCTTGCAAGATGTAAACTATCTGGCTTTTTGGCACTCTTCGTGTTTTGGAAGGAATGGCCAACACCTCCATTAAACAAAATCTCTTGAAGAATTGAGAATGAAAAATATCAAAATTTCAAGTTGCAATTTCGCGGGGAATATTTCTTGATTATCTTTACATAATAATAATTAAAAGAAGAAAAAAACTGAGAGAGTGATAAAGTTGAAAATTTCTTTGAGAGATGAGGATGTTAAGATCCCGGTAATCTTGAGTATGTGCACTTTGGTGCCAGCACTAACTGATCTGTCTGGGACGTCGTTTTTTTCAAACAAAGGATCTCTGACCACTCCTCCCTGCTATCAGTCGGTTAAATGGATTGTGCTGTATCAGCCTACTCCTGCAAAATACAAAAGTGGTAAAATTAACTTACTTTTCACGATCTGCGATAGAGTTAAAATTCGCTGCCAAATAAGTCCTATCCCCCCTTCCCCTCACAGAACTTTAGTATCAGACCCCTAATTACTATATACACGAGCTGTCTATTAATTAATAATCGTGCGGCTATATCATCAACCTCGAGCGATGGCATAAAAACTAACAAGACCTAACAGGGGAGCTTACTAATGCAACCTCATTTACATTCCCACACGACTTGTCTTAAGAGACGTATAGCGCATATCTGACAATTTAAGAGAGAGTTCTAATTTGAAAGCAATACCTAATTATAGCAATAAAACAATCAAATGAGGGGAATAGCAAAAAATTCTCACGGGGCCACATTAGAGTTGGAATCAGGGTTCTTCTCTTTTTTTGCTATTTTGTTGTTGTTGTTTTTTTTGGTTTTTTATTCCTTTTTGGTTTCATTATATTTTAACCCTGTGTGTTACTCCGACTGAAAGAATCATGGTCTGATCTTAACCAAGGTATATATATTATTACGTAATTAAAATATGTAGATTAATGTTTTTAGTTGAAAAAAAAAACCTAAAGAATGTCATTACTTTCATGCTGTTGTAGCGAGACGGTTAAACAAAATCACAGATTTACATCCTTTTAGTGCATTAGCCTGCTGGAGACCTTCCAATTTTTCTATGACATCATTTCAGAGTGTCGTAGAGGAGTATACTACGAATGAAAATGAGTTGATTATTTTCTGAATAGAACAAGACAATTTACTTGGCAGTGGTGAATAAAATACGTGCTTGCTTAAGATAAAATGAAAAGAATTTTCTTTCTAACGTGATCTAATCCCATTATAATCTACTCACTTCGTATGTAAACGCTGAGATACGTAAGTCGTCATCATAGATGTTTAGGGCAGGTTGGGTGTCAGTGTTCATGTGCGCAAGCAGTAATCGGAATGGCAGGTAATTTAGTGTTAACAACTGAGTTGAAAATGTAAATTAGCCACCGTAAAGGGTAAAAAAGCTGACGTTTCGTGCGCTAGCCCTTCGTCAATCGCTCTGACGAAGGGCTAGCGCTCGAAAGGTCAGCTCTTTTACCCTTTATGGTGTCTAATTTACATTTTCAACTCAGTTGTTAACACTAAATTACCTGCTATACTCTCCCACCGACGCAGCATCACAGTTTCTTTAGAAACTTACCCCTTTATTCAGTAATCGGAATGCTCCGGGAAACTGTCTGTCAAGACGTCCAATCCACACAATAACAAAAGAACTTGAGATAAGGCGCTTTCCGGTGATTTTCGGATAAAAGAGGTAAGTTTCTTAAAAACTGTGGTGCTGCGTCGGTGGGAGAGTATAATAAGGTTATTTGGTATCATCAACTTAGTTAAAAAGTAAATTGGCCACTGCAGTGAGTTTAAAAGCTGACTTTTCGAGCGTTAGCCTTCGTTAGAGCGAATGACGAAGGACTAACGGTCTAAACTTCAGCTTTTAAATTCTCTACCACATAGACGCTCCATCGATCCTCCCAGAGATGGAGATTGCTTTTACCATGCCGCTGCTCATCAGTTGG